TGTGTAAATGAAATGTGCTCTTATCACGAATGGAATATCGTCTTTTGTGACTGGGAAATTGCATCAATGCGTATCACAGCTTGTATTTCGTCACGAAGCGAATGTACATGCGAGCACGTTGTGGTGGAAGAGGTACTTGCGTGTACATGGAGAGTGGGCGGGAAAAAAAGCATCACCTGCTCGTTTGCGAGTCACCTGGCTATCAATCCTGTACTGCTACGAGCGAAAGCAAAGAGTTGGATATTAATAAATAGGAGGATGAGCAGAAGATAAATCGAGAGACAAACCCGCTCCATTCCCCTCTTTTGGTTTCCTCTTCTATCCCTACTTCCGACGAGCTGCTGCTGCTGCTCTCCATTGCTGTGCGTTGGCGCTGCCGGTTGAATTAGTACATGGCAGCTGCAGGCATTTTCTGGCTCGCCGCATCGCATCGCATCCACAACGCATCACAACACACGTACTCGTACGCAGCACATCACTCGCTATCCGTGCACTGGGCCTCGGTCGTTGCGCCGCCTCCTGCTTTGCTCATTGGCTCACTGCGGTGCTGCATGCCTCGAGCCCGCTCCCACCAACTGCTGCAGCCGCCATTGACACCTCCCAGGGTGCATTATCTTGCCTCCAGGTATAAGCCAGCCGCCCCGATATAAAAGCCGTGCCACGTCCAATCTCCTGTCTCGTCGGAATATCAATTGGACATCCTGTCTGCGGCGATCAAACGGGATATACGGTCAATGCTCTTGTCCTACCGACTGATATTCTCAGCATACCCAATACTGCTTCCACAGTCCAAACCCCAGCGGTCTCGTGCGTCATAGGCGGTAGCGGGAAGCTTCTACAAGGTCCCAGCACCAGCGGCCCCACCCACGGCTCACTCGACCCTGCTACAGGTGCTAAGCCTGACAACTGACTAGGTTCCGGGGCTATCGAGGGCCTATTAATTGGTAGTGGCCATCTTCTTTCTCACTTTGTGTCCCAGCTTCCCCTCCATATTCTCCATACCAAACGATTCTTACCCTCTCTTTCTTTTCACCTTCCTTCACTACGATTCAATACTACGAAGACAAAAAGGCAATCTTGTGTTTCTTCTTGTGCTTCGACCAAGCTACGATACCGAGTGTCAACTCTACTCTTTTGCACTCGACTCATTTGAACTTTTTTAACTGTCGACATCATCACCCCACCAACTGCTACCTAGGGAGAACTCACACTGTCATCCGGCAGCCATCAAGATGGTGAAGGAGACCAAGCTCTACGATACTCTGAGTGTCAAACCTGAAGCGTCGCAAGATGAAATAAAAAAAGGCTACAGGTATGTATGGATAACCTCATTTATTTTTGACGATTTGCTTTCCGTCCCTTACCTTTGGCTTCCCTTGCTTTTGTCGTCATTGCTTGGGCCAAGAGCTAGCTGTGGGTGGCAATTGGGGAGCATGACCAATCCGCAAGCCTCCTCCTCCCCACACAGCTTACCGCCCAACCAGCATATTCCCGGTTGAGAACAGAGAATTGACCATTGATGCTAACCACAACTTCGCATACAGAAAAGCTGCCTTGAAGTGGCACCCTGACAAGAACAAGGACAACCCCAATGCCTCCGAAAAATTCAAGGAGTGTTCCCAAGCCTACGAGATCCTGTCCGACCCGGAGAAGCGCAAAATCTATGACCAATATGGCCTCGAGTTCCTGCTGCGGGGTGGTGCTCCTCCTCCCGAAGGCGGTCCAGGGGCCAACTTCCAAGCGGGAGCAGGCGGTATGCCTGGCGGCTTCGGTGGTTTCGACTTCGGAGGGATGCCGGGAGGCGGCGGCGGCGCCAGGACTTTCCATTTCAGCACTGGCGGAAACGGCTCCAAGGCGTACAACTTCAACAACCCCGAAGACATATTTACAGAGTTTATGCGTAGCAACATGCATGGCGGTGGTGGCGGCGTAGGCGGCGACGACGACGATTTTGGCTTCTTCAGCAGTTCATCATTCGGCGGCGGCGGCGGCGGTCCTCGGCCGGGACGAACGAGGGCGAGATCTGGCTTCGCTGAGGCGCCCAGGAACCGCGAACCAACACCCGAAATTACCACTGTTGAACGGCCGCTACCTCTTTCTCTCGAAGAGTTATTCAATGGAACGACAAAGAAGATGAAGATTAAGCGCAAGACTTTTGACGAGACCGGAAAGCGAGTGCAAACCGACCAGATATTGGAAGTACCCATCAAGCCGGGTCTGAAGAAGGGATCTAAAATCAAGTTTAACGGAGTTGGCGATCAAGTAGAGGGTGGTAGACAAGATTTGCATTTCATCGTTGAAGAGGTAAGCTGGCCCACCACTGAATTCATACATACTTTGATATGAACTATTACTAACTACTTGACTTACAGAAAGATCATCCCCTCTTCAAGCGAGAAGACAACGACATTGTGCACACCGTTACCTTGGACCTAAAGGAAGCCTTGACTGGATGGAAGCGAGTAGTCACTACAATTGACGGCAAGCAAATCAGCATAGAAAAAGGCGGCCCAACCCAGCCCGGAAGTGAAGATCGGTATCCGGGGCTGGGAATGCCCATGACGAAGAAGCCTGGCCAACGAGGCGACTTTATCGTTCGCTACAAGGTCAATTTCCCATCAAGCTTGTCCCAAGATCAAAAGGCACAGCTCAAAGAGATTTTGTAAAGGACAAAAATGTTAGAAAAAGAAGTTTTTTGGGACGCACAGAGCTTGAGAGAGGGGGAAAAGAACAATATATCCACATAGCGACAGAGGGCTTGGTATGCGGGACATGAACAGGACCTCAGGAACCGAGCCACGAGACCCCTTTTTGCAAGGCTGGGAATGTCTGTGCAGTCCGACATGGATAGGGCGGTACGATGCCGCCTGATAGTACGATGATGGCAAGCTGGCGTGTTTTCTTCTTCTTTGTTTTTATTATTATTTACTTTTTTTGGGCACTTTTTGCACTGTCAAAACGAATTGACAGCGATTACGGCGTTTCAGGGATGCATTTCTGGGAGAGTTCAAAGCACGCGGTGGATTCTTTGTTGACATGATGGAAGAAAAAGACATTACTAGGATATTGTGGTTGAGGTGGACTTGAAAGAGGCTTTACTTCACTATAGTAATCGTGTTCATGTTAGTCGGGTGTTGTAGCCCAAAGCCGTACCGAGACGGATGGATGGAGGGATGGATTTGATCAACTGAACTTATAGCGGATTTATTTTGGTAAAAATTGTTTATACAAGCAGTAGCATTTTTTTGGTTGCTTCATCAACTTCATTCTTCGAATGGTACGGCCTGTGGGTTTTCAAATTAGCGCTTGCAACAACCCCTGCGGGCTGTTTAATTACAGTGCTGTCATGACGATATCATCACTTATTCTTACGGCCTTTACAGAGTGACATGCTGGTCTCAGCCACGGGCGGCTGCGTTCCATGGGGTGGTCACGGGGATTTAAAGCACGAGGAGAATTCCAAGCGCAGTTCTGATTAGAGTAGCTGTATTCATTGGCTCGACGCATTTGATGATGTATTGCTGTAATATATAACATTTGATTTGGTAGCAGCAACAGCAGCAGCAGCAGCAGCATCTTGTAAGCAAGCAAAACTGCCGCCCGCAGCCGGATTTCAAGCTATGGAGTCAAAAGCAAGCGAGCGTGTCCACTAACATGGTTCCGAAGGAGGGGCAATGACGACACTGGGCAAGGATTTCAGGGGGAGGGGTAAAATGATGGGTGAAGCAAGGCAAGGCTGTGAAGAAGCTGCGAGACTCTAGGATGTAGATTTAGGGAAATAAGAAGGAGAAAAAAGAGACGCTAATCAAGGGGGATGCAGTAAAAGGCCATTGTTTTGGGATTGTCGATGGAATGAATGGCGGTGCTGATAATTTGAGTGTAGTAGCTATTTTATTAGCATGTGATTTAGACGATAGAATAAGAGAGACAAAAATTGAGTTAACATGTAGTTATGATTCAATTGCGCATGGCTACGACATTTCTGTAAACGGCGAGAATCAGGATTTTGAGGGGGCCTGCATGCGAAATGCGTTTTACACGATGCCGCATTGTTTCATATGAGGTAATTTTACAGATGGCACTGCACTCTAACTGGGCCTTGGAGTAGGACTTGCGAACTCCCGTGTGTTGCTGTGTGGAGAGCTGCTAAAGGCGTTTAGTCTTTACGACGTGCTGTGGGTTGGGCTTATATACTTGCTGCTTCGCTCGTTTTGTTCTCCTCCTTCTCCTTTTCTTTCTCTTCATACCATTGCGAACCTAGAATCTAATTAGATACCCTCTCTTCTTCTTTTCTCTTCTTTGGAATAATATTATCTTTAGAATATACCATCAAAATGCCTGAAGTAAGTACCAGTCACTACCATTACTCTACTTCTCCGTACTGTCTTCCCCAACATTCGCTAATTAATTCTTCAGATCACCGCCATCCTCTTCGACTGCGACAACACCCTCGTCCTCTCCGAGGAGCTCGCCTTCGAGGCCTGCGCAGACCTCATCAACCAAATCTGCGCCGAGCGCAACGTCCCCGTCAAGTTCACCGGCGAGACGCTCATCACCGAGTTCGTCGGCCAAAACTTCCGCGGCATGCTCACCACGCTGCAGAAGACGCACGGCATCGAGATTGCCCCCGACGACCTGGAGAAGTACGTGCTGATGGAGGAGGACGCCGTCATTGCCAAGCTGAAAGCCTCGCTGAAGCCGTGCGTCGGCGTCGACGAGCAGCTGCAGGCGCTGGCAGCCAAGAAGCAGTACCAGCTCGCCGTGGTGTCGTCGTCGGCGCTGAGGCGAGTGCGCGCGTCGATTGAAAAGGTTGGGCAGGACAAGTACTTCCCTGGGGACGTGGTCTTTTCGGCGGCGACGTCACTGGAGAAGCCGACGAGCAAGCCGGACCCGGCGATTTACCTGCATGCGCTGAAAGTGTTGGGCAAGAAGGCGGAGGAGAGCGTTGCGGTGGAGGATAGCAAGAGCGGCACGCTGAGTGCGACGAGGGCGGGGATCAAGACGATTGGCTATGTTGGGCCTTATGCGGATGATAAGAAGGAGGAGATGGAGGGCGTGTTGAGGAGTGCGGGCGCGGTGGTGATTATGCGTGACTGGAGCGAGTTTCCTGCTGCGCTGGCGAAGATTGAGAAGGGCGAGGTTTAAACAAGCTTTTTTTGCTCGTTTTCTACATTTTGTGTTTTGGATTGAAGCCTTTTATATTTTAGAGCCTTTTGGTGCTCAACGTCTTGCTTAATAAAGAGAAGAAAGAAACAAAAATAGAGAAAGAAAAAGAGCTGGCAAAAGGCTAGATATGAATAGATACGACGGTATGAATTGACGGTCTTGGAATGAGCCTATCTGATCTAACTGCTTTCTTTATATACAAATGTTTAATTGTGATTCATTTACTCCAGTCCATCAGGAAACTGTTTACGCTCTGCAATGTCGTCCTGCTTGGATTCGCCTCTGGATACACCGTCATGATGGTCCCTAGCCTAATCTTGACCAGCATTTTTGTGAACGACGCATTTTCATCAGGGATGCGGAAGTTGCCCTGTTCGTCAAAGAGGTAGCATGACAGCGCAAGGGCGACTCCCACTGAGAGGTCCTTGCCCGAGTCACAGGCTACAACAATCTGCGGTGGTTTTTTGCTCTCACTCGCTGAGGAATCTGATGCTGAATGGTGTTTCTGTAGGAAACTAGCTGCAAAGGAGCATATCTCTGGCAGGGCGAGGCGGAGATTGCGGCTGGCAGTCTTGTGTTTGCCCAGGTCGACGCGAATATGCGTTGGAGACTGGACCCATGATTCCTTTGGAGTGGGAGAAGCGTCGGTAAGTAGGATGAGGCACTCGTCTTCTTGCTTGACCGGTGGGGTAGAGAGATCATGGGATGTTGATATGGCACGGACAGATATGTGCGGTGTGAGTTGTTTTCGCGGAAGAGCGGTTTGACTGCCTTCTCCGGCCTGGCGCTTTATCTTGGCTTCCTCTACTAGACGAACGATGAGGTCGGGAAGATTAGCTTCAGGGGAAGAAAGGAGAGCTGTGGTATTGGCCCAGAAGACGTCAGGGGTGAGTCCTAAGGCCCAGTTCTCGGTGTCGTCTCCTGCGCCTTGGATGTAGCCGCCCTCGTCTACCTCGCTGCCAATGACTCGTCTGCTGGCGGTGCAGCATATGACAGGTCTAAAGTCTTCGAATATGACATTTTGTTGATCGATTTCACTGTCGTTCTCTTCTTCCTCGTCTGAATCTGGAGAGATGGGGAGGGATGACTCTTGCGTGATCCAGAGGGGGCGAAGAGGTTTTGTGAGTGATGTGGGGAGAGTGAGGTTGAGTTCTTTGAGAGAAGCGAGGAATGATGGTATGAGGGCGAGGATTTGGGAGTGTGTTGATGCGGGTAGGTAAGGGGGGAGGAAGAGGTTGGAGGAAAGGGGGTGGTCTGGGAGGAGGGCGCGGTTCATGACGGCGCACCAGATGGGGATGGTGGTGGAGAGGGCATCAGGCATGCCTATCAAATGGTCAGTATAAGATTTATATAGGTGAACAGATTTAAATGAGAGAAAGCATACGTTTACCGCGGCGGGTTGAGTCGACAATGATGATCCTAATCCCATATAAGTCAGCGATGCTATACTCTTCACTACATCCTTAATATAGAGCAAATAACGATCAAATGGAATTTATACATACCCATCATTCTCCTCAATCAAATCAATCAAATGCAAATTCAGCCTCCTAGTGCTAAACTTCCACGCCCGCTCATGCCCATCCGTGCTCTTGAAATAGGCGCTGCCGTCCTTGTTCTCCGGCGGAATGTACCAGCTCCCGCAGCGCTCATTCGCCACCAGCGGCCTGCCTTTTCTCTTGGGCTTCTTCCCTGATCCCGGATCGTGAGATTGTTGTTGACGAGTGGAAAAGGCAGAGGCGACTTGCGCGACGTAGGCGGCGTCGGCGTGGATGGATTTGAGGCGGTTGTGAGGCGTGAGGGTGCTGCGGCGCAGTTGGGTGAGGAGGCTGGAGATGGAGGGCTGGTTGGAGAAGATGTCGTCTTCGTCGATGTCTTGGGATAAGGTCATTTTTAACGATCTTTTGCTTGGTTACTTGTTGTGTGGTGTTTCCTCATGAGCGGTGGTAGTGATATGAGATACAAAGGTTCTCAGTGTTGCAGTGAAATTTTATATTAGTGGCTGGTAGTGTGGGTTCATGCTCAAGTCTGTCAACTCAGATAAGAAGCATCGCATCAGCTACCAAAGTTGACAGCATTAAGCTACAACCAAGCAGCATTTTGATTGAGAAAATTTTACAATTCTATCTTATTTTCATTTTCGTACATTATACTCCTTCATTACTCGCTATTTAATTTACACCAGCTTCCACGCTCCATTCTCCACCACAATCTGAATCTCGCGCCCCTCGTCAATACTCCGTCGTCCAGCCTCCAAAATGGCCGTTGTCGCAATCGTGTTATTCAGCGTTGGCAGGCCCTTTGCATCCAGATCCGCCGGCTTCGCCCTGCCCTCATTGACCGCGCGGCAGCCGTCGACAAACTTCTCAATGGAAATGTAGCCGTAGCCCGTCTGGCCGTTGAAGTTGCCGTCCTCGTCGGGGGCGTATCGCATGTAAAAGGGGTTGAACCACTGCAGCTGGCCGGCGCGGTCGTCTGCGACATCGTAGCCTCGGTGGGCCTGGTCGACGCGGATCTCGCCCTCCTTGGCCAGGTAGTGGAAGTACTGGTTGGTGTGGATGCCTGCGCGCTGGGGAGCTGTCCATGATGACGTGTAGACGGCAATGGCGCGCTTGTTGGGCTCGTCCTTGCGCTGCCAAGTCACCAGCAGAGAAATAGTATCTTCAGTCTCATCGACACATCCCAGACTGGTGGCAACGCCCTTGGAAGACGACGCAGAGACCTTGACGGGCAGGTATCCGCGCTGCTGGACCATGGAGTCGCAGATGTCAATGTGGTGGCTGTTGAGGTAGTACGAAATGTCCGAGTCCTTGCCGGCCCACGACTTGAACGTCTCGAGCTGCGACTTGGGCTGCGACATGTACGAGTAAAAGTAGTTCCAGTCGCCCAGCGCCTGGGCCTTGAAGCGCGCGTCGCTGTAGGCCGGGTCGAAGCGCTTGTGGTGCTCGATGAAGACGTAGACGCCCTTTTCGGCGGCCTTTTGCGCCAGCTCGACGTGGTGCTGCAGCAGCTTGACGGCGGGCTTGGTGATGAGGACGTGGATGCCGCGCTCGATGGCGTAGAGGGCGATGGGGAAGTGCGTGGGATCAGGCGTGAAGATGGTGATGGCGTCGCCGGGCTTGAGCTGGTCGATGGCGGCCTTGTAGGCGTCGGCGTCGACCTTGTCGTTTGCGGGGAACGAGTCGAAGGAGGTGTCGAGGTTGTTGTAGACTTGGGTGATGTTTTTATCGAGATGTTCGCCTATTATACGTCCAAAGTTAGCATCCATATATGTCATTTCATCTATAATACAGCAATACTCACGGATTGCCGGAAACTTTGTGCCATTGACGCCCACCATGCCCAGCTGGCCAACCTTGCCTCGTCGTCGCAGGTCAAAGAGGGTGAGGCCAACGACGCCCACCTTTTTGTCGGAGCCAGACATTCCACCACCGACGAAGCCAGTGGTGTACTCGCCGGTACCGATCTGTGTTGAACAATTAGCATATGTTTATCTATGCGCAACGAACACAAGTTTTGAGAAGCTTCACTCACCATCAATACGTTGAGAGGAGTCGCCATGGTGAGAGGTGAATTAATTGGGGTATCTTAGAATAAGGAGACAACTCAATGAGAAAGGAAGCTAAAGAAAGAAGCAAAGGATGTGATCAAGTTATAAAGGCTAGAAAAAGAAAGACCATCTACACAGCCTTGCCGAGTCGCGTTACAGCTCCTACATACGTCGACGGCGCGCAGACGGAGGAATTGAGGGGCATTTGGCGGGGCAGCAATTGGAGGGATTAAAAAGACCGAGTTGCATATTCAGGGACCCTCAGCCTGGATCGTGGGCTTTTACTTTGCATGGACTCAAATGCAGGTAATTAAGATGCTATCTGGTTTCTGATAGACGCGGTTATAGGTGTACACAGCTACTGTAGTCTTGATGTCTCAATCTAAAAGCTAGTAGTTGTAACATCAATTGCAATCATGATGCTGAAACAAGACTCTGTAAATCCCACGTTTTCATGGTCTCGGAGGTCACTACCCCGCGCTGAATGCCAATGACCCCGCATCATCTTAGCTCTGTCAACCAACTAGTAGTACTTATGTTCTTACAAGTACCTACACGTAGTTAGGCCATTGGAGACAGTAATCAATCATCACCTATATGTGTTCACGATGTAAGTGAGTAAAGGCAACCTTGAAATGTATAAAGACAGAAAGCTGAGCCAGAGAAACGCTTTGACTTCCGTCTACGGAGTATTAATGAAGCTAACAACGCCTCTTCTTCAACACTCGGCCACAATAACCCGACGTACATGAGTCCTTGGCCATGTGCCTAGCTTCTTCCATATTGCCGTACTACCGACGGATGAATTGCGAGTAGCTCAATCCAGGTACAGCGGATCTAGCTCGGGGTTCTTTTACCGACATATGAATGGCGGAAAATCCATCAAACTGGCAATTCCACCAATCAATTCTTCTACACTGAACATCCCACTTTCCTCCATTGTACCTCGATTCCCCAGAATCATCATCGACCGAGCCGCGACATGATCCTCTTACACCAATATCCACTGTCATGGGCCGTTTTATATCCAATCCGCCGCTTTCCAAGGCCTCCAAGTCGCTAATTCCTTCTACTCGCTCGCCGTCTTCGGCTCAGGCTCCAGTTTGATTTCCTGACGGGGTCAGCCTAATTGTAAGCCATGACCTTGATATCGGAAGCTGATCGGTGGCTTCCCCTCCATGTACATTTTGTAAGACAAGCTTGTCTGGCTAACGCCGGCTATTCTTTGACCGAGTGTTCATAGATGAGCACCTACTTGTATTTATAAAGATTGGGTCCGCCTTTTTGAGAACTACAATATCATTTTCGGTTTCTGCCATCTTTCTACTTCGTTGTCCTCTCTCTCTCCATTGTAAAACCTCATTCTCTCCCTGTTCCCCTACGAGTATACCCAAATATCTCTTGAGCTTTCATATACCCAGAATCACAATGGCAGCTCCCAAGTCGCTGCCATGCGGCATCTACGCCCCTACCATGACCTTCTTCGACCCCAACACCGAAGACCTCGACATCCCCACCATCAAGAAACACGCTGAGCGACTCGCCAAAGCCGGCCTCGCTGGTCTCGTCGTCATGGGATCCAACGGCGAAGCTGTCCACTGCACAAGAGAAGAGAAGATTGCCGTCCTCAAGGCCACAAGAGAAGCTCTCGACGCCGCTGGTTTCCAGTCAACGCCCGTCCTCTTCGGCGCAACCGAGGGCAGCGTCAGAGGCGCCATTGAGCTGTGCAAGCTGGCCGCTGACGCTGGTGCCGCAGCTGCTCTGGTTCTGCCGCCTTCATATTACCGAGCTCAGACCGACGAAGAGTCCATCTACAACTACTTCATCGCCTTGGCTGACGAGAGCCCTATTCCAATTATCCTGTACAACTACCCCGGCGCCGTATCTGGAGTCGATATGGACAGCGACCTGCTGATCAAGCTGGCCGAGCACAAGAACATCACCGGAACTAAATTTACATGTGGCAACACCGGAAAGCTCACACGAGTCGCCCTCGGCACAAACGCAAAGACTCCCTTCCAGGAGGGCTCAGGGTACATGGCCTTTGGCGGCATGTGCGATTTCACCCTCCAGACCCTTGTCAGTGGCGGCAGCGGCATCATTGCCGGAGGTGCCAACGTCATGCCCAAGCTCTGCGTCAAGGTCTGGGATCTGTATTCTGAGGGCAAGAAGGAGGAGGCCGAGAAGCTGCAAAAGGTTCTTAGCCGTGGCGACTGGCCGTTGACAAAGGCTGCTATTGCGGGTACGAAACAGGCGATTCAGAGTTTCTATGGCTATGGAGGATACCCTCGCCGGCCTCTTAAGCGCTTGGAGCAGGCTAGAGTGTCGGCTATTGAGGAGGGTATTCGAGAAGCGATGGATGTTGAGAAGTCATTGTAATTTATCAGAAAAGTCATCAACATATAATATATAAAGATAGCGGAGGCATTTAGAAGAGCTATCGCAATATCCTGAGGCCTGGTTCTTGATATGCATTATATGCGTGTTAGATCTCACTAGACAAAGCCATACTGTCCTGGAAGAAACACCATCTTGGAGAGTCTATTTGGACTATCATCGCATCATGGACCTCTGTAAGCGTCTGGGTTAATACTTGATTCAGGGCTGTCAAAAGTACCAGTAAAGAAATTGTATAGAGAAAAGGAAGGTGCAGAAGAGCCGGTAATCAGCCCCTCTATCAACATACATGAGCTATCAGGGAATATATAGTAATTGGCGATCTTATTCTGCAAAGATAATCCGCTGCAATGTGAACTAGGGCTGCTGCTTTGTGCTAAGCTGCCTATCTCCTCAAGTTTCTTGCTTTTCTAATCAAGAACACCTTCGCCGATTCTGTTTCCCCATACCGCAATGCAAGATGAAGAGTACGTGTTTGTTACCAACCGCTCCACCAGCGGCTTCTTTGACCAAGAAGTAGCTTGGTCACATCCACTTTGCCGGCCAGACTTGCAAGATGAAGTGGCGTGTTTCCATCGGTATCTTTAGCCTCGACATCAGCCCCCCCCTTTCGAAGCAGTTTGACCACATCTACTTTCCCATTCAGTGCTGCAAGATGGAGTGGCGTGTTACCACTCTTGTTTTTCGCTTCGATTTTCGCGCCCCCTTTAAAAAGCAACTTGGCTATACTTTCGCTACCACTCCATGCCGCAAGGTGAAGTGGCGTGTTGTCTTGGTAGTCACTCATTTCAATATCGGCCTGTCGAACAAGAAGTAGCTTAGCCGTCTCTATTTGCCCATTCTGCACTGCCAGATGCAGCGGAGTGTTGTAGTTGTTGTTTCTCTCAGAGATTTTGGCTCTTCGGTCAAGAAGCCTCTTGGCTATATTCGCTTGTCCTGTCATTGTAGCAAGATGTAGAGGAGTGTTGCCGAGTTTATCCTTAGACTTGACATTCCCTCCATTATCAAGAAGAAATCCGACCACATCTGGCTTTCTATTCCGAACCGCAGCATGAAGTGGCGTATCGTCACTGTTGATATTTTGTTCGCCGTGGCTAGTGTACCCATTGGCTGGCCGTATGTAAGCTTCCTTCTGGTCACCTTTGAGAAGCTCCTCTTCCTCGCTTTGTGGCTTGTAAACCTCCATATGGTTACCGTTGATCAGCTCTTTATATGACTCTTTTTGTTTACTGTTGAGGAATTCTTCCATGCGACGGTTGTTATCGTCATATCTCTTTCGCGCGCGTTCCATATCCGTCAGTTGCCTCTTGAACTCTTCGAACTCGTAATCCTTGCGCGCCTGTACTTCCTTCAAATCTTGCTTGAGCTTAGCCTGTTCTTCTTCTTTGAGGCGGATGTTCTCTTCTCTAAAGATGCGCTGCAGCTCAGCATTGTTCAGCGCCATCGTCTCGTGCATTTTTTCCTTCATAGCTTGTAATTCAGCTTGGTACTTCTTGCGCTCCCGTAAGATATCTTCATTTAGCTGCAGGCCCGCCTTGGTCTCTTCAATCTGGTGCCCTTGATTGACTATCTCATTTTGTAGCTCTAGTACAACTGTTGATTTTAAAGAGAGAATATGCTGGATGATATTAAGGCAGCTCTTGCGTGTTTGGGCTAACCGAAAGATACGATTACATTGATTGTGCATATAGCCCCAAAATTCATCTGATTCGATGAGCTCTCGCTCGCGCTGCTCGTCTGTTGCCTCTTCAACAAGGTTCCACATCGTGGTGGCGAGCACGACCGACGAGAAGGCATTTTCACCGCAAAGTTTTTGAAACATAACAAGGTTGCGGCGGGCAGATCCTGTCATGCGAACATCGGTGATTCGGTGTAAATATATCATGCCGCTAAGCCTGGTGCCTTCTTCAAACGACCTGCTGAACCAGTGGAGATCTTGGAGCACCTGTACATCAGAGCGCAAAGTGTCGTCAAAGCGTGGCGAGCAAATGAGATGGACGCATATCCGATCGTTTAAAATTAATGCGATGTTTTCAACACTTATAATACCTAGTGTACGTGGCTATTAGTTGTCGTGTTAGGTAAATATTGGAGGCTATGGCGATTCACTCACAGGACTTTAAATAATGACCAATCTTGACGACCTTGTTGGTGCACATCAAGATTGAAGAGCTTTTCCCAGCACTAGTGACACCCATAACTGCGATGTGTACATGTTTCATTTTAATGTGCGATTGTATAGCTTATAGTTTGAGAATGTCTGCTTATTGCTCTCACATTTCGCATAGTCCTCAACGAAGGTAGCTTAAACCAAGGTACAAACATTAGTACTTAATCATTCGGTATATGGGCATATATATGCCTATGGATAATATTCAGACATAGTAGGCATAGACTGAAGCGACGAGGCCAGGGTCCCTGTGCTCTCTGTTCGTTTTGAGGGGAAGAAAATGATATTAACATATCATCTATTGATAGTTCATGAAACTGCTTACCTTGTCTCGTATTAGCATCGATTACTGGCAAAGCTTTCAATGAATACTTTTGTAAATGCTGATGCCATAATTATAGCATACTTCCGCCACCTCTGGTTGGAATGAGAGTCCGTATAGTTCTCAATGCCTCGGATAACAATGCTAGCGAATAGATTCATTAAAAGGCGACTGAGGTAGGTATATTAATATAGCCTTTAAACATCTGTGTGCACTGCCGTGTTGATACATCTCAGATTGGATTAATTCCTCCTCAAATGATATTAATGCTAGTTGTTAGATGTTATGCTGGAAGCTACTGAGATAAATAGACTAATACAGCTTTCTAGAGTCTATACGTACTACGCTGCTTTTATATCCTAGGTTTTGGCTATCTTGCTATTTAATCAAGATGCTAGCTAGCTGTTGGTTACTAGCAGAAAGCAGTTAAGTAAATAATCCCATTGTGGCCCACAAGATTTTGCACATAATCTTTTTTGTTTGAAGATAGTATTTAAGTGAGGCTGATGACAGCTGTTAGCTGTTTGGTGAAAAGACGCCCAACTCAAATCCCTTGTTATAGCCTCTAAATCTTCTGGTAGCTTGTACCGTTTTTACCCTAGATCTTAATAATATTGTCTTCCAGGAATGATGCTAACTGTCGTCTGTCAGCTGAGAAAGCGACATAGTCCACCTGATGTGCGCGTCAGCGAGCATGGCGGAATGATCGGAGGCATCGCTTTGATCTAACTGTGAAGACCCATCCTCTAATTCGTCGCCAATGTCTTCGAAATATGGAAACATGGCAGATTTGGCACTGTCAATGTCTTGAGAAGAATTGGTAGAAACAGGGTGGTCTATCAGCCGAGAAAGCGACAGAGTATACCTGATGTGTGCGTCAGCGGGCACGTAATGATCGGAAACGTTGCTTTGATGAAATTGTGAAGACCCATCCTCAAATTTATCTTCGGAATACGAACTCTTACGAAAGTTGACACTGTATTCGGAAGAATTGGTAGAAACAGGGTGGTCTGTCAGCTGAAAAAGCGACAGAGTATACCTGATGTGTGCGTGAGCGGACTTCGTGGAATAATCGGAAGTATTGCTTTGATCAATCTGTGGCTTGAAAGACCCATCCTCAGATTGGTCATCAAAGTATTTGTTCGTGAAGAAATAGTCGCTGTACTCGAAGAGATTGGTAGGAAGTGTGACGGAGTGATCCTCTATGTCGTAATCGCTCAGTTGTATAGCTGGAGGTCCCACGCTCTCGTGCGCAGCCCCCTTGATCCAATGTTGAAGATCCTCTATATGATCTGAATCCTCTGGAAGGGTGAAGCTGCCCGGTAATTTGTTCAAATCATACTCAATAGGCTGTGGCCATGGGAGTGCCCGGAAGGCAAAGTCATAGGCGTGTCGCAAAACGTGGTCGACAAGTTCCGGCGAGTCTTCGGGTCCACAGGAGGAACACAAAGGACAGGATTTTATTCCCATTCTTTGTACCGCAGACCAAGAGAGAAGGGTTGCGAGCGAGTTATATAAGAGCTCATCTCCGTGGGCATCCTGAAGGTGGCTGCCCATGCTCTCCATGGTCGAGTAATCTTCATCTTGCTCTTCGCAAAATGGACATTGCCACCGGGGCAGATGAGTCTTTTGAACATGGCTTTCCCATTCATTTCTTGTGCAGAATAGAAGCTGTGGAGTAGGACAGTTCTCGGCAATGCAAGTATATGGACACAGATCCTCAACTATATGCTGCCTTCAATACAATAATTAGCCTTGGAAAGATCAAGGGGATTGGCATCTCACTACTTACTTCCATAGCTTGGTATTTTGGAAAACTCCAATTGGTAGAGACTGGCAACAGGAGGGACATTTAATAATCTCTCGACCCAAAGGGATAGAAGGGGCTTTTGGGAACTCGATGTCAGAGGCGATGAGTGTGATTTGCGTTTTTGTTATGCTTGGAGTATACTTTTTAGCAACTGGAGTATATTTAAGAGTTTCTTCAGCTGTTGATGCAAGAGAAAACCTTGAAATCGTTGGCGCTGTGGTTTCCTGGCCCCTGGTAATTGGATATGATGTCGGATTTGAGTTATTGGCTGCATCTGCGTTCCGTATATCCGCAAGAGGCTCTTCCTTTGGAACACTACCTGCAGATGAAGGAGCCCCAGGAATTGAGGGACGTATATGCACGTTTTGCTGAATTCTGGAGCGTTTTTGTGCTACCAAAAATTTATGCCTTCGTCTAAGGTTTGCTTCGACAAGGCGGTTTTGAATATCGGACAGTTTGGAGTTGTCTAAATTGGTGACATATTCACCGTTCTCTGCTTGATGGAAAAGAGCTTCTTCTGTCGGCCGAAGACGAGTTATACATTCGAGATGCGTTCTTAACTCTTGGTGATTGTTCGGATTGAACGTCTTGTCGGCCCTGCGGTTTCGTAATGCCTGTCCCGTTCGACGGATGGCCACGCCGATCAAAGCCAAATTCTCAATAGCAGAGTCAAGGTTTTGGATAGCTTCTTGATGGTCTGTTTCGTCGTAGCTCGTTTTGTCTTTAGCAAGGACCGCGCAATGGTCCAGAGAGTCAGCCAGCATGATAAGAACGTTTTTCACCAACGCGAGATCGTTTACACGACCCTGAAGTCTGGAATCCAACGAGGCGCCAGGCTTTGCTAAGGCGCCAACACTGTCAGCCCAGAGGTTAAAGTCAGCTAGCCGACTCTCCAATGATTCAATGCGCTGTGAGCCCGGAATATGTGACGCCAGAAGGTTGTCGAATTTGGAAATGCAGGACTCTGTGAGCGCTAAGATGGAGAGAGAGGTTCGCGACATTTTTTATTGTTATCTAGTTGATAAGATAATTGCTTCTATAAAGCTAGCGAGATTTAGAAGCATCACAAGTGTGAAGTTGTCTTGGGCATATATCAGTTATGTGAGGGATCACGAGCGAAAGCAAAGCAAAGAAAAGAGAACAAACAAAACAACCAAAGACACTGATGCTCAAGGAAGCAAAATGCATGTGACCGAAAACTGTGCTGATGTTGAAGACAAAGAACTAAGCTACTAGTGAAAAACAGTGGAGGAAGGAGCAACAAAGCATCTCGCAGTGCGTTATGTGTCAAGTTACTGGCAAGTCGCACTGCCAGAGAACATGTACCAAGATAGCACGACTATCAAAGTTGACATTACTGAATGGATACTTGCGCTCTTAGCTACGGGTAACTGTGGGTGTGAAGAATAAAGCACGCCATGTACCTGGGCTAAGATACTAAGGTATCGATCAATCGCGCCTAAATGAGGGGTCTTGCTTGCTGGGGTATGCATCTTCATCCCGAGAAACGGCGGGTTCCGAATCGTATGTACAATTGAGCTACTAGCAGGGGTATCAAGGCAATCTCAGCCGCATATAATTGCTACCTATGTAGTACTTTTGTATTGCAAAGGCTACGTGAGCTTAGAGTCGCTACCTGTCTACCGAAGGTACCTAGGCATATACCTACATGTGCCTAAGTACCTGGCAAAAGTGAGGGGAACACTCCAGCTGTCTTGGCTCTGTATTCATACTGAGACTATCGTAGTTCCACTAACAGCTCCTAAGTATCGGTAGATAGCCCAAGAGCCCAATTTTCATAGTACTACCATCGAAGAAAATAGAACATTCAAGGCGTCAAGCAAAGATCGCCAAATATCGTTGGGCATTAGCCCATCTATCATGCTTGAAAGAGCTACTTAGCTACGCCTTGAAATTGTAATCTCTTTTCAAGACATCAACTCACCATGATAGAAGACGAGCCTATTTCAACCCGCGTGTCATCACACGCTGCAAAGCTCTCCAAAGCTATTTTCCATGTGTTGGCCGAGAAACACCTAAAGCCTTCTGATTTGTGCTACAAGGTAGCAAACGATATCGCTGTTCGGCTTCATCTGATCGACCAATATCTTGGCTCTCTTCCGCCATACTGGATAGAGCTTGACATTGAACAACTCTGCCACTCTATTCTACAAGACCTACAGGCTATGACTCAGCCAACAAAAGAGTCGACCAGCCCAATCTTGCATATATTACCATTTCTTAAATCTTCATTTCACCAGAAGAGTCATTTAGATCCAGAGACGTGTCTCGTTGCTTTTTTCAAGACACGAATAGAAAATGCCAGAGGTCTCAAACTCGCTTGTGATGACCTCATTGGTAGGCTAACTAGAGAAGAAAATGATGCGGATCAATTACCCGGCTCCGCGCTCCAGCAGCTCGAGATCCCATTCATTTCTGACGATCACATTGATACAATCTTCAAAGCTCTCCAACACATTACCCAATGCGAACCAACGTCTCACGAAGCCGGTAACACGATGACATCCAACAAACTAGAACCACAACTGATACGACATCCGGCACGGCTGTGTCTGCACGATCTTTCAGACAGCCTAGGCTCAGCTTCACGCAGCATTTTGATCCTTATATCAGCCATAGATATGACTCTTTGGCAAGAGTTTTGCTTGAATATGTAGGTATTTGTGTATCTGGCATGGCACCTGCGACCACACCCAACTGTGGAAAAAAGGAACGGCACCGTATCAGATGATCCTATCTAGTCGTTTCCCTCTCCCCTTTGGTCGCAGGATCACTGATCAGTGGCTATTGCCAGCCAATCAGCCTAATCACCCAAAGGCTATTGATCGTCTTCGTAACTGAATTTCTGCTAACTTTTAAGGATCTAGTCAACCAGAGAGCTCCATAGACGATAATCAGGAGTTTCTCAGTCAAGGGGGTTTTTGCCACGTCCTGGAAAGAGAGATTACTGCCCGTCTTTTTCTCTCTTTTGATATTAATAAGAATTTATCTTTGCTCAATAAAACACAAGTTTTGAAGCAGATCCTCCAGGCCGGACCTGGTGAGTCCCTTGGAAGTATTTTACGCCACTACGATCTTACACCCAAAGATAAAGTGATGCTTTCTTATGCCATAGCACGATCATACTGGCAATATTATGACTCAGACATGATGCGCACTAAGTGGACGAGCGACACTATCTGGTTCATGTCTGAGAGAGAGAGCGGAGAACGCGACGACCCGCTGCCTCTATGTGCCTATTTGTCGTTCCCTTTTGGCATGCCCGATAATATCACGCCAGATATCAGATTTGAGGCCCTGCTAAACCATCGATGCCCAAGAATCTTTGATATAGGCGTATTATTGCTAGAAATTGGTCTCGCCAAACCTTTCCGGGGTGGAAAGCGTCGAGATATGGTCGCACAGACGAATCTCAATCACATGATTGCAACTGATGAGCTTCTTCGACTAGAAAAAGAACATTAGGATAGCTTCACAAATAAGACATATTTTGACCGGGCCGTGAAGTTTTGTCTTGATAGCGAGAACTTTATCCCGCCATCGAAGCCAGTTAAGCCGATTCGAGGAAGTGTCAAACCATCCAGTGAGCAGACGCCATCCTTGGACACGGGAGCAGGTATCCTCGCGCGGAGGAAGATCTTTTATAAGAACGTGGTTCGCCCACTTGCATGGCTAGCTAAAAGAGGCTTTAGAGCGCATGCCGGAGACATTACCTACGTCAACAAGAAGCCAGACTTTTCACTACTAGAAGAGGTGTCTAATCTAATATCACAGCCGGAGCCAGGGGCATTATTCCACAGTGCCATCGATTCCAGAATGTGGCTCCAGGACCTAAAGAAAATAAGCGAACAAGTTGAGCGCAAAAGGCGAGCGTGTAAAGTCGCTACTCCGGTTCGAATTGCAATCCTGGATACCGGCTGTGATGAAGATTTCAGCGCCTTTGAGACGAGTAAAGACCGATTTGCAATGGGGAAAAACTTTGTTAATCCTGGTGCCACCACTATGACAGACAGCTTTGGTCATGGGACCTTGATGGCAAGGCTTATTATGGAGTGTGCCCCTGGTGCCGAGATCCAGGTGGTGCGTGTTGCTGAAAACACAAAGAAGTTAGGAGAGAACCAGGAGAAAATAAAGGAAGTACGTGGAACCATGAGATATCTTACACTTGTTATAAAGCTTACATATTAATTGGAAAGGCCATCCTTTGGGCGGGTCGGACTGGCAAAGCCGACATCATCTCCATGTCTTTCGGTTTCGCATACGATGATCAAGGAATTCGCGAAGCCATTGAGACGGTGCAGAAAGAGCGCCATGAAGATATCATCTTCTTCGCTAGCGCTGGAAATTCATCTACGGATGACGAAAGCTTCCCGGCTCGCCATCCTGCTGTCATATCTGTCTACGCAACGAACCGTCATGGCACCTTCCTGCCATCAAATTCGGCCAGCACAACTAATGGCGCCCCTGTGCTCGGTACATATGGCGACGATATTCCGGACTATATCAGAGAAGAGTTTAAAACTACATATCCAGACGTTTGCCAGCCTGGCTCCTCAGTTGCCACAGCCATAATGGCGGGTATTAGCGCTACCATGCTGATATATACCACTATCTTGCCTTCGCTGGTGTCGCTTCAAGGGCAGCCGGCAAGCAGTGCTTTTCAACGGCTCCGGACGACTAAAGGTATGGAGAGAATACTGTATCTGCTAGTACAACAAGTTCCAGAACACCCTCGGCTCAATGCTGTAAAGCCGGCATGGTTCTGGAAAAGCAGGCCAAATGATATGGGTCGATATATGGCTTTCTGTGATGCATTGGCAGACCTTCACGGGAGTCTGTGAGCAGGGCGCGCTGGGCCTGGGTTCAACACGGATCTCAGAAACGGTCAATCTACATATGCCTTGATATATTAGATCTGTTGAGCTCGAATTGGCGTGTTATGGATATTAATATCTTGGAATAAGCGTGATAAAGCAGTAACTAGTTCTATGATCTAGCAGTTTAATTATATCATAGGCTACTGATGCTACTGATGCTACTGATGCTACTGATGCTACTGATGCTACTGATGCTAATGATGCTACTGGTGATAGTGGTGATAGTGGTGATAGTGGAACACCGCCGATTTATATCGTTACACACAGCCTGATAGGCAGTTGATGGCCTCCTCCAATCGGATGATTGATGTCGATTGGGCCGCAATACACATTTAGGTATGCAATTAACAGACAGGAGGCACCTAATACATGTATATAATCCGACATTGAATCTTTTTAGAGCCTACGGCCTACCCCGCAGATAAAATTACAGACTTTTCCTCCATCATATACCGCTATCTATCCTCTCCAATCAAGCCCATATTATCTAGTCATCTTGATTGTCTTAAGCAATGGCGAGTAAATCCTGGTTTCTCTGTCCCGATTTCACTTTCCTCCCCGATGGGCAAATTGCCCTTGGTAGGATCATTCCCAATCCTCGCCAACCAACTATTACTCTCGCGTCCCTCGCCGATTGCCCGATGATAGACTTACCAGAGATCAAGTCTATTGTCGAGAAGAATCGCAGCTTCTCACACGACAAGGATCGATCCTTTGGGACTAAACTATTCGCTAAATTCCTTGAGATTGCCAACGCCAAAATGGATATGTCTCTGTATAAGAGCGAAAATCGATCTTTCGGCGCCGTGGATCACGAGGTTCGCGCTTTCAATGGGGCTTTTACCACCGATGCTTTGAGGGCAATTGTGGCTCTCGATAATGTAAAAAGACATATTAATAGCGGGCGCTTCGGCAAGCGATACGTGTACATCATCTCAGGGCTACGTGTGGCACAACAAAGCTTCACAGTCACAGATGAGAAGGGGAGTAAAACAGCAGCTTCTGTTGGCGCATCTGTTCCAATTCCCGGTGCTGTGCCTGACGCGGTGGGTGCCAATATCACCAATGAGTCAAAGCATGAGATAAAGAGAACCTATGAAACGGCTCCTGGCATTGTCTTCGCATATCGGCTCCATGTGATTCGGTCCAAGGATGCAGGCGAAGAAGGGGAGCTGTTTTCGGATAGAACAGCCTTCTTCAGCGGCGAAGCTGAGGATGAAGACGAAGAAATTGAGATTGTTGAAGTAAATAGATCAGTGCTACAAGAGGACTTGGATGAAAAGCGAGATGGCTACAGCGAAAAGCGGTTTGAGGAAGAAGATGATGAGTCTTATATTATCTTTGAATATTAAAGATGTTAAGTCTCACATTATTTTTAAAGCTAAATTTTAAGGCATAGATATAGTAGATATAGTAGAGTATTACTTATAACTACATTAAAAGACGTATGCTAACTACACTTAATTACTTTCGATTCATAGTTCTTTGTGATTTTTAAGACGCATCAGCATACGCATTTTCAGCATCAACACCCCTATACTCGAAATACTTGCCAAATTCGGGATCTTCAATCAAAGTCTGCGCCAGCCTCTTCTCATAAAAGAAAGAAAACTCTGGGCCCTCGTCCGACTCCGGATCTAGTTTACGAGGCGGGTAAACGATAATGACACCCTCAGTAATGCGATCTGTGAGATGGCGATGAGTAATTGGCGTCGCGAAACCAAAGTCGGTCGATGCCATATAAGCATCACGATGGTCTGTGAAGAGCACCGACATGGGCGGCAGGGAGTCTGTTCGGATGTTGAGAGAAGTTTTGTCACGAACAGTTGCCACCATTTCCAGCGTCTTATCCAGACTCTCTTGAGTGACGCTATCGGTCATCTGCCGTACGTACTGAGCCACCCGAGACAGGGGCCACTCTGAAATGAGCTCGGCCACCGTTGGCTGTTCGACTGGTGCAGTAAGAGATAGAGCTGCAAACATGACATTGCCACGAATTCGTGGAGGAACGGCGGGATTGCGGAAACGTCGTCGCATATCGATTCCTTCGACAAAAAAGATCTTCGAAGCCGGGTCCGGATTAAAGACAGGAGCACGGACGCGCGTGATAGATCGCCATATAAAGGCCGTGAAGGCGTCATAGGTTGAGATCCATGTTCCATCCGTGGGAGAAGCTAACTTCTTCAGCTCGGCCGCTTTACTTTTTGGCAGATGGAACAACAAGGCTACACCCTGGACGTGACCCGGATGGCGTTCCGGTGCAGGGGGCCCATCTACCTTTTGATCCTCACAAGGCTCTTTCTTTACTAGGAGAGAAAGATCCAGGTTCTTGGGGTCCCAAGTAGGAAAGGCGGTGTTGGTGAATGCAGCGAAGCAGTTCTCAGCCAATTGCCGCGTATAGCCAGCCCAGCCCAAGGCATCATTGGAGTAGTGGTGATGGTGCATGTTGAAGACCATTCCGCCCCTAACAAAGTTCATCTTGAAAGCAGACACGATAGGGCTAGCATCAGGATGGGCTTCCGGTTTCTCGCCGTATGTCATTGGTTCGACACTCCAAAGCTTGAGGTCGCCAAGGGACACTGCGCTAAAGTTTGCCTTTTCGATGTCATCAATGGATGGGTACTTTTCAGTGTCTTCAGGTGCGTCTAGCCATTGCACAAATAGACGGACGGTGCTATCCTTCTTTTTAACAAATGAATAGCCAGTTCCAGATTCAGCGGCATCTTTTTCGATCGTACAACAAAGATGCCTCGCCTGGCTGATGGTGCGCGCGAGTCCCTCTTTCATAATCTCTACTGCTCGAGGCTTCATTGCATCGTCCATCCTGAAAAAGAGCGCATAGTTGTTGTAGGACATGGCTGAAAGGTAATCCAGGGTGGACAGCGCAAAAGTCTCCCGTTCGGGATCATTTTCCCATCCATATGGATGAAGGTGGAACACATCTTGCTTCGGTGCCATTTCTTCGAATGCTTGAGGAGAATTGAGAAAAGGCTTGAACAAAGAGGAGCAAATGGGGGAAACCAGGTAACGGAAAGAAAGCGGATGGTAGCATTATGGTTTATTTTATCATGTTCTATTACTTGTACCTTTCGAGTTGCTGTACATGTATCGTGCTGCTCTTTGCAACGCAAGTCCAACCCTCCTCCGCTATTGCTCATCCTTCGGCTGGTTTTCTCCTCTTCGACAAACAGCACTATCGCTTCGAGTACCGGCACTAGTTTGTGCGATAGCTTGGATGATGGAGCCTAGCACGAGGAAGCGAGGCCTTGAAGTGACAAAGATAGATAGGTATCCAGCTATAGTACGATGCATACTTCCATTCTTGGTAAAGGAGCGCAAAGTCTGCAAGACATGACGAAAATCGCCTATCATCTTCAAGACTATACCACAATGGAATTTACCTTAGCATTAGTCTTGCTAGCGAATGACTCGCCTAACCTATCAAGGTGAATACTTCGACATCTCCAGTGAGTGGAGAATTCAGGGGCTCCTTCGGAGTGTAGGTATGCATCTGTACATCCTCCGTGTCTATTTGTATGTATATGTCTGTTGGTTGTCGTGAGGTGTCACCTTCTTGTCAAATTGACAAATTGATCTGTGCCTGTCTCCGCATGTGTGGAGTGTGGTCAATGTGGATAAATGCGGTTTCTAGGTGATGTACTTTGACTTTCTACTTTCAGCAGTCCGTTGACTCCTCCGCAGCTCTCGCGAGAGCCGCGCAAAGGTTTTTCTTCCAATGGCTATTCATACAAATCACCTCCAAGTTATCAACAGCCCACCAGTATCAGCAAGTACTAAAACTACATATATACATGTACATGGAAAGCCATCAGAGCTACAAGCCAGCAAGAAGGCAGTTATAGGACATGAGCTCTAGATTTGGGACAGGATCTTTTTCCTCTACACATTCATCTGTTCTTTATTAAATAATATCTCCTTCTCTAGAGAGTTGTCTTTGTATTACTCTCACATTTATATAGTCATATCATTCTTACCACAATCTTCTAACCTACTTATGAGCAAAAGTATTGACGTCTTAAGAATTTCTTAGCACGGGCGCTACTCAAAACCGTTACGCTAGCCATGATCCTGGCAGTTTCTTAGCGTTGACCAACGGCTTTGTTAGCTTCAGTTCTACAGCTTCCATAGAGGGCTAGTCTCAGCTCAGCATATCCGAAATACGCGTGAAGTTGACGACAACAATTCGCGCAAGCCATTATCGCCGATTAAGAACGAGGGATCTTCAATTTTCTCTTCTCTTTTTAGATGACGATCAGAGGGTGTTGTCGACATCGAGGAATTGGCTAACAATTTCTCTGATCCGCAAGGTTTTTTCTAGATGATTCGCTTAATGGCAGAAAACAAACACAAAAGTGGCGAAGCCAGTAACTTGCAGTGGTAGAATTACACAAGTTTGACGAGTCTCTTAAAAGAGTACTATCGTCTGTTAAAGAAACTTAAAATCTTCTGCGGAGGAACAACAAATTCCATCAAAACCTATTGAAATGCAAGCAGCGCAAGAGATTTCATGCTAGCCATGCCCACTTCAAGTTGCTGAGCTGCCTGTGGTTTTGGTTCATACCCTGACTTTGGCAGGGATTCTTCCAGACCAGCTTCTCATCTTTCGATAACTAAGCTTGCTCACTTTTTTACGCAGTGGGAATCTCTTTGGAGCCACTCGAGTTTCCTACCCAGCTTATTCACGCAGATTCAGCAGCTTCTAGTCCATGTTTCTAATGCAGTATGCAAGAGTGATCAAGTGCTTATCATAAAGCACGCCAGCAGCTCTTCATCTACAATGTTTTGTGCTTTTGGTGCTCACAATGATGATTATTAAATACTCTATCTGTAAGCTTATTTCTAGAAGCATTTTTGAATGTACTAGCAGTATAAGTGATGTCCTATAGCATGCGACTTAAAGTCCGCATATGGCGCAGCTTGATAAATACGATATGACAGCCTATAGGAAGTTGATGTCCCTTAACAAATGAATTCAAGCTGCGATGCAGCTAAATTCGCAGAATCACAACACATCTGTTTTTGCATGGTTTAAGTCCATAAGATACCGGCTCCTCCCTTGTGTCGCCACGCTACGATCTTGCTCGCATCCTTCCCAGCAAGCTCATCAAGCAGGGTAGAGAATCGAATGTTCCCCGGATTCCTTCTATGCTCTCACACCCACCGTATTGATACAATACATGAGTCTCTTCTCCCCCATTATCTAGGTACATGTACTGCCTTCCATCGCCAACATCATACCGTAAGAGACGGGTATCGTCCCCACGATCATACATAGATTACATACGGGTAGACATGCTAGGTCTCCAGTGGCAAATCTACTGATTTCATATCTGTGCGGCTATGCCCGCAGTGGGGGCAGTGCAAGACCGCCCCGTCCCGTCTACATCCGCGAGCTAGCTACCTACCTAGGTAAGCCTAGAATCAGCTTAGAAAAAAGCATCTAGTAACTGGATGCAAAGTCTACAGAAATGCTTACAACGACGATGACCTCTCTTTTAGAAGCGCCAGTAGCAGAGACGGTAATTGGATCAAGGAAATGTCAGACAAAAGTCGAATATGACGATACAGCAATACGGCAATAAGACAACCTCAACGCACCAAGTATTACTCTTCAATCTTATCCATTCATCATTTGCAGAGACATGCGAGCAGCTGGGGCAGCGGCTATATTAGCTATGTATTACAGCCTATTCTATTACTACTTCAACTTTTTGACTCTCCTCGTAATCTAGTCGCCAATCCATTACACATCGGACAGCACCTCAAGTCCGGGCAACGGTCTCTACAAGGGTCTGCATATGCACCTGCATCCTATCTATCTATGTATGTGCCAGGAAGAGATTTTTAATGTATCATGCAGCTAGAGTGCAGGATCGTCGGCTTACACTTCCAGGCCCAATCAACCATGCCCACGAAAGCGGTGGACAAGACAGGTCATCGAACGAGGCTGTATAGCATCAGCAAGCAAGCATCCCTAATGCTGGTAGGCATAGATGCAGTACCCAGTAGATACATGTATATAGTCCTATATCCTCATCTATCGACAACTGCCTATGATGGTTCTACCGCCAATATCACCATCGTATTCTAACTGACATACATCAATAATACATCGTTTTCACAATTCCCACTTATTTTGGGCCCTCGTACGATTTGCCATGTCTATCAAAGGATCGGAAAAAAAACAAATGCTTCCCCATTGCAATCTCAAGGACTAGCGCTTACTGATATACAACGTGCCTGGTATCGTCAACCATGCGCCGCTTATCAATGCTCTCCTTCGGCATTGGCAGTGCGGCCCGAAATTCCGCATCTTGCCCTTGTTCTACAAGTTACATACTTGTACAGGCATTGCTGCTCCTTGTAAGTAAGCACTGGCCCCGTCAACTGCCGATAGCAACTGCCCAAACATGTTTCAATACTATGTACTACCGGGGATTTTATCCTGTTTTCGACTTGGGGGACCCTGGAGCCGCGGAGACGGAAGGTTTGAAGCCCAGATCTTGGATTCCGGCACCAGGTCCGGGGGCGCCATCAAGCCATCCGGCGCTACAACGATTGAGCCGCAGCACATCATTCCCGCTTGCCATGATGCGCGGATGCTAAGTCAGCATGTACAGCCACTCAGGAGCGCGCATTTGCTAAGCCGAGCAAGGCGCACCCGGCAATACGGTGAGAGACGAAATGTTCATGTACATGCATGCATGTAGTTAAGGATCCTTGTATGGATGGTATGATCACTGCATACATACAGCATACAGCATACAGCATACATGTACAGGTACAGGTACAGGTACAGGTGCAGGTGCATGGATAAAGGACAGCGCATTCTCAGCTCAGTGCTATTTCAAGGGAAAAAGCTCTTTCTCTATCACGGTATTCGGGTAAGCAGCTCGCAAAGGTAGAGAGGATGTCGCCATAGCATCATACCTAGGTAGGTAGATATAGCGCTGTTAGCGTACGTTGACATGTAGACGTGCGCTGTAAGCGCTCGGCTTTTGACGCCAGTAGCCAATGTCGTCCTCAGCGACAGCGGCCACTAGAAAATCCAACATCTATGAGTAATGGTACATCGAGACCAGGATGCAACATCTTGCCCTTTCCCCGCCACCGTCCCGTCTCACTAAGCTGATACTCGTCAACCACACGATTCCCACTTCTCAGCCCACCCATCGCTGCAGGATCAAGCTGCTGCAACCGGGGTGGTAACAGAAAAAAAAGAATTCCACGGCTATACCGTACAGAGACCTGCTCAGATCGTGTACAAAAGTAGCCTTACGCCCCTTCTATTTTCTTTCATCGCATGTGTTACAGTTGCCAAGTTGTTAAGGCTCTTGACTTTTGACTTGACAATGACTGCGAAGCAAAGCGAGTCTCGCAAAGGCCGCCCGGCCGTCGCGGCTTCGGAGCGCACGCCGCTGCTGAGATCCAACGGATCTGATTACGACGCTGTATCTCCCAGAAGCGGCAATCGGGCGGTTGCAACCACAGCGAAATCAAAGCGCCATCCGCGCAATGATGGCGATGCGGAGCGTCTGCTGGCGGGTGACGATAGTGGCTATGGCGGCGAGAGCGACTATAGCAGCTACAGCGATGATAGCGATGACCAAGGAGAGACGACGGTGATTGCCGAAAAGGTGTCCTTCTCCAAGCTGTGCCTCATCATGGGAACCGCCTATCTGGGCGTGTTTCTCGGAGCCATTGATTCGACAATTATCGCGACGCTCTCAGCTCCCATCTCCAGCGAATTCCAGTCGCTTAGTCTGCTGTCATGGCTGGCGACTGCGTACCTCATCTCCAATGCGGCGTGCCAACCCATCTCTGGCCGCCTGACGGATATCTTCGGCCGTGGCCCCGGTCTGGTCTTCAGCAACATCTTCTTCGCGGCTGGAAACCTCATCTGCGGCCTGGCCCAGAGCTCCAGCGTCATGATTCTCGGTCGTGTCATTGCAGGCATTGGAGGTGGCGGCCTGATGAGCATCTCGACTTTCTTGGGATCTGATTTGATCCCTCTGCGCAACCGCGGCATCGCTCAGGGCATCGGTAACATCTGCTATGGATCCGGAGCCATGATGGGAGGTATTTTTGGCGGGCTGATGAACGATCATACCAAAATGGGCTGGAGACTGGCTTTCCTCGTCCAGGTCCCTCCGGCAATCCTTTCTGCCGTGGCCGTGGCTATCCTCGTCAGAGTACCACCAAAGCAATCAGAAAAGTCGTATCTAGCACGTATCGACTTTGGCGGCGTCTTCTTTACCGTCTCTTTCCTCGTTCTCCTGCTTCTGGGTGTCAACGCAGGTGGAAACCTCGTCCCGTGGACTCACCCCCTGCCTCTCACGACCATTCCGCTTTCGTTTGCTGCATTTGCTGGTTTCTTGTGGTGGGAGAGCAGAGCATCGCAGCCCATCATTCCGGTCAGGCTCCTCCTTGATCGCACAGTACTTTCAGCTTGCATGTGCAACTTTCTATCCACCATGGTGACCATGCAGGGCATCTTTTACATCCCACTCTATCTCCAGGTCCGTGGCGATTCTTCAACAGGTGCAGGTCTGAAGATGCTGCCTTCGCCTGTCGGTATTTCTGTTGGCTCTTTGGTGGCTGGCTACTTCATGAAGAAGACTGGCAGATACGTCGAGCTGGGAGTTGGCAGCTTGATAATGGTTATTATTGGAGTGGGCATGTTCAATACGCAGGGCGAATCTACCCCGGGATGGGTGACCATGATTGCCTTCTTCTTTACGGGTGGAGGCTACGGTGCCATGCTGACGACGACTTTACTGGCATGCATTGCGGCTGTTGACCACTCACAGCAGGCTGTCATCACATCAGCAACCTGTAAGTTACTTTTTGCCCTTATCCTCTGAGTGACAGAACGTGTATTAACATTTCTCAGACCTTGCCCGCAGCCTAGGCGGTACAATTGGCATAACAGTGGGTTCTGCCATCTATCAAAACATCCTCAGCTCTCGCCTCTGGCAGCGATTTGGCGACGAGCCGCATGCTGGCGAAATCATTCAACATATCCGCGACGATCTCAACTTCTTGAAACATCTTCCTGAGGGATGGCAGGATGGAGTGATGAGCTCATTTATGGAGGCATTCAAGAGCGTCTGGTTGACCATGCTCTGCTTGGCCATTGGCGCTTTCATCTGTGTCTCGCTCATGAGGCAGCACGTGCTCCATGACACGATTTCCAGGCGATAAATCGATTGTCTTTACGAATGGAAATACAAGACATTCAATTGTTATGATTTATGACCGTCATCTTTTTTATTTCAGTGGTTATTTAAAATTGGAGCATCACGCACGGCGATTGCAGTGAAAGCTTTTGGATATATGGATATATGGATACTTACCAAAAAAGGGAGGCGTCATAAGGGATATAAAAGGTGCGGTTTACTTTTACAGTTACTAAAGCTAGCGAGAATAGAGAGGTTAGCAGAACTAGATGCTGAAGATTTAGATATGACCAAATTAGATGCATATTTGTCTGCTCGTGGGAAGCTCTTGCATCAACATCTCTGATCTGCAGAGAAGGCCCCTTCCACTTCATAGGCGGCATATGGAGACATGAGGCTTAATCCGACACGTTTCTTGTTTTTCTTTCTCTTTTTTTTAATTTTTTTTTTTTTTCGATACTCGCCGCAGTATTAAGTTGAACCCAAAATAAACCCCTCACCAGTTCTGTTATTGTTGCTTCCATGGATTCCAAAAACTGTCCTGCTGATCCGCCCACCGTCGAGTTTGAGCTGAACCCTATCGAGGCCAAAAGTGCCAGGAGGTACAAACGTGTTGCTCTTGTCATTCCATTAGACGATTCGGTAGGGCAGCCCAGACAGAAGCGTATACTATCGGTTCAACAATATTTCCTAAAAACAATTTCCAAGGCCGTGGCATTATGGCCAATGCTGGGTGGCAGCATAACCTACTCTGGAGAAAACAGCGGACAGCTCACTATACAGGGCCCGATGCCAAGCGTGCCCGCAAGACAGCGAAGTGATCTCATCGAGTTCGAATGTACGTTGAGCGACGAATCTCTCCTTGAGGACATGAACGAGGACTCGAAGAAATTTTTCTTTCCGACAGATCGGACCCTAGCAGCCGGGGTACCACCTGTGTTATTGAAGATCACGTTTCTTGACAGTCAGCTGGTTCTAGGGGTTTCTTTTTACGAAGTCATTGCTGATAACGCGTTCATCGAACTTTTTCTTTCCTCGATGGTCGACTCAAGTTGGAATTTTCGGAGAGGCCACAGCAAAAAAAGGGATTACGCTCGATTGCGGCTGAATCCTATCCCGGATCCCCCAGATATGCTCCCATTTTATGACCGAAGCAATAAATATATAGTCGTTAACACGCCAAGCAATCAGCTGGTCAGTCGATTTATTGAGTTCCAGCAGCATACGGTCTTGGGCTTTATCCAAAATCTTCGCAAGTATCACCTTCACTGCGGCAACAACTCACTCGACGACGTCAAAGACAACGACGTCATGGCTGCCATCCTGTGGGCTGCCATCACAAATGCTCGGCGCTTGCTGGGCAAAGTACAGCCATCTGATCAAGTAAAGATGAACATTTTGGTGCCAGGAGAGCCCATGGCACCCACACTCAGACACTGGTCGTACTGTGGAAACTTCACGGTACCTACTGTAGCCACGGCCTCAGTCTTGGGTGTCACCGACCTAGCCGCTGATGCCACTCCTTACAGAAACAGCTACTATCAAGAATACATCTCAGATTGCGGGTTTGGCATCAGATGGATTTCCCAAGCGGCCAACAAAATCCGCGAGGCGATAGACGATGTGGATGAAGTATATGTCCGGCGCGTGATGGGTGCGAAAAAGGACTTGAGTATGGAAGAAGACTCGGCGACATATGAACGATGCCTCGACCGGAGCAGAATTGGAACGACGTTTGAGGACTGGACCGGCTTTTATCGGAGCGGACGCAAGACTACGGGCATTCCATTTACTGATACGCGTCAGTTCATACGAATCTTGCCGTGCGCAGACGATTTGGAGGAAGGCAAGGTTATTCTATTATCGCACTTCAAAGCGTCGAAAACCGCAAATTGCCAGATTCGCCGGTTAGCTTGGCTTTGTCTTGAGACGGAGACAATGAATCATGTGCGGGAGCAGCTGGAGGCCGAAGGATGGATCAAAGAGAAGTCCATGATAGGCATGGCAACGCTGCCGGAATGAGAGGGGGGTACATGTCGTGAAGAAGCGCCGGAAAAAAAAAGGGGGCAGGACAATAATCCGCTTTGAGGATTTCGAGATGTAAGGCTGGACCATCCAAGGACGTGACAACTTGACCTGGGTATTGCATGGAGACCTCGGCGTTGCAATTCGGGTTTCGTATCAACCACATACCCGGTACCTACCGGAATAGGATGCTAATATTAACATAGAGTGCGAGTGCTTGCAATACGAACAGCTAGGTATTGAATAGCAACATCAGAGGAAGAAGAAGGATCATTGTATCGCATCAGACCATATCTCAAAAAGGTGTTCCATTCGAAGTGTTAATAACCGGCTTGTGCTAAAAGACGTTCGCCTATGTCCCTGCAGGATGCGGTTATTTTTGGTGTTGATGCGCTCGCAGTCTAAATGTGTACCTAACATGACAAAACATTAAACTGAACCATTTACCGGGCTCCGGGACATGCTGCCGAGACCCGCAGCAGCCGCTTCAGGCAGTTTCCCACCGTCGCATCTTCTATGCTTTCAGTTGATTCTCCCTGTTTCTCTCGTCGACTTTAGCGAAATCGATCGGTAAATGGGCAGTAATAAACCTGAATCAACCATCCCTTGACGCGCTCAAGATAGTAATACGAAGTGCTCCTCCGTATATCCTGACTTAATTAAACGACCATCTCTTCCAAATCAAACACACTGTTAAGCCCATCGTTCAACACTTGCTACCAGATCCATAATTCACTGTATAGCATCGTGCTGTACAGCAATCATGGATACCTACCTACGTAATGCTCTGTATCTGTCATTGACCCTCTTCAGCTGCCCGGTTTTGCAGCCCGGGCATTGGTCCAGCCGCCCAAAGAAGGGCCCCAGTAAAAAGTCTCGGCGGGCCGAAAGGTGGCGCAGCGCCTTGAATAACGCCTACCCGCGCCCGCTAAGCAGAATAAGCCATCAATCCATCCATGGCTGTGGCTGTGGCTTGGACCTGGCGCTGGCGCTGGTTGCCATGAGCGCAACGCGTGGCTCCGTCCTCAGCGTCAAGCGTTCAATGCCGGGCGCCCCTCCATCCACCAGCGTCTGCCCGGGACCCGGCGCTTGGCTGCTCTGTTCGCCTTGCCGTAAACAATAACAGTATTTCGACGTTTTCTGCATCCTTATTGAGAGACTTATTTTAGTGCTTTTTATTTGTTTCGCTCCCGCCCCTCTCTCCCTCTCCCTACTTTTTTGTTCTTCTTTCTTCTTCCCGCTTTTGTCTCTCGTACCTTGTGTTACGCATAAACGTCTCTTTGTTTAAAGGCGGTCGACGAACCAGGCCCAGACTCGCACAAGTCTCAGCTTACGGCCCTAGGGAACCCGCTGACAGCCCAAAAAACGGAGCCCCAGCCTCAGTTTCCTCTTAGCTTCAAACTCGACGCTCGAAACGAACGACCTTTTACCATTCCACGGGCCCTTGGCAGGCAGCTAGAAAACCAAAGCTGCGACTTCTTCTTCTTCTTTACTTCTGACACAATACGCCTTCTTCTTGCTTTTTTGCAAAAGCTTCGTCTGGAGCGTCAACACCGCTCTTCCTCGTTTCTTTGAATACTACATAGCCCCTCCACCGTCAACGACTCTCTCTCTCTCCTAACGCTAGTTGGCCGCCGCCGCCATGGCGCTCTTCGAGATTGACCCCCAGATTCTACCGAATCTGAAGCTGAGTATCCATTCGTTCCAGATTATCTTGGCCTTTCTGGCGTGGTGTCTGGAGATTGCCGTTTTCCGCGGCGACACCTCCAGGATTCTGGGAACAAATGGATGGACTTTCGCAGTGGTAAGCTTTGTGTCTCCGAGTGCTGAGGGGGCTTGTGAACCAAACATGGACTTGGCTGACGCTTTGTTGCTTCTAGTGCTTCATTTCCATCCCAGCTTGGATTTACCTTGTCATGACTCCTCGATTCGGCCGCACTCGCAGATTCGCCAACCCGTATATTATGCTTGCCGTCGATGGCCTCTTCATCGTCATCTGGATCTCTGCCTTCTCTACTCAGGCCGCGTACAACAGCTCTGGCGCTTGCGGTGGCAGCTGTGGCATTAGCAAGGCCATTGTTGCTGTCGGCGTCTTTGTTGCGTATGTATACTTTTTAAATGCCATTGTCTTTCCTGGCGTTTATAGCAGCAAACTAACTCGATGTGTTTTCTAGTCTTCTATGGATCGCAACTACATTCCTTAGTGCATACACCCTGCAGTACTACAACTTCCATGGCACTCTACCAGGCTATGATAGTCGCAAGATCAGCGGCAGCGAGAACATCGATCCCGACAAGGCTGCCTTCTCCATGGCGCCCCATGATGAAGAGGCTTACGAGCGAGTCAACATGGACGACCACGATGCTCCAAGCTCTTACGATGACCACAACACTAGCATGAACAGCCGCTACGGCGACAACACCCCTTACAACCCCGATGATTATGACGACCCAAGCCGCTATGGCGCTCTGCCGCCACGAACCAACAGCAACCCCCTTTTCGACAGTGAAACTGAATACCATGGAAGCGCTCTCGGTACCGATATCAGCGCCCCTCACAAGACACCGTCGCCCGGCCCTTACAGCGGCAACCATGCAGATACTTATGCCGATGGCCCGGTGCAGTTCCCCACTGGTCACTACGACCGGATAGAGACTTGAAAGGGAAAGGGAAATTGAGCGAAAGCATATGATGCAAGCACACACACACAAAGACAAAGATATGATGATGGTAGCGGGCACTATCAATGATTTGGACAATCAAATAACATAAACCATGGGGGGATCTTGGTGGCCTGGACGCTTATATTTGCTTGGGTAGATTTATCTCTACGGCGTTGACGGCATCCCGATTTTTTATTTCTTTGCGTGAGCATCTAACAACATGATGAACGTTGATGAGATACCAGGTGTATATAGAATGGCCGGACACTTTTTTGCACACGGAATGCGGCTTGTTGGGATTTCTTTTCATTTTCGCTGCTTCTGATTCATTCCTTATTTAAATGAGAATAAAGAAAGATAGTTTAAGACCATAGCAATGCGATTCTATCTCGAAACTGATAAAAGCTATACTTGCGTCTTTGATATTCAAACAGTTTGCCCTCCTAAACGCCGTGAGTTTAAATAAAATGCAGCCGTCTCTATGACCCCAATTTTGCACTATAAAGAAGAGGAAACCACATGCATGTAATTAGTCGCACTCCCACTATTTCTCCCTAGGCTCAAGCCTTCAGCTTCTTCAGTCGCTTCGCAATATCAGACGCCGTCTGCTGCATCGGGTTGAGCTTGAAATCTCTGGCCATCGCCCTCGTGTCATCCCCATGCTTGGCCACCAGCTTCTCCAGCCACTCCCTCTCGCCTTCACTCAGGTATCTGATCTTGGGGGCGGCCGGGTTCTTGGCCTCTTCGATGAGCGACTTGACCACATCCGTCGTGCCAACTCCATCATCATTGATGCCGCCCCATTCTTCGGCATTGGCGTACTCGTCTTCTGCCTCGGAGTCTGTATCAACCTCGTTGAGCGGGTCGTTTAGCGGGTTGGCTTTGCGGCTGATTATGCGGATAATCTTTCCCTCGGAGTCGCGCTCGACTTTTGCTTCGGAGAGAGCGCCCAGTTCAGCGATGGATGAGATGGCAAAGGGATCTGGTTTGGCGGCGGCTGGGACCTCGTCTTGTGAGGATGATTTGGAGAGGAGCTTTTCGGTGCCGCCGGTGGGTGTTTTTAAGCGGGCGAGGAGGCCTAGACGGCGGTAGTTTTGTGCTAATGTTTCTTTCTTGTCCCTTGTCGAGGAGTCAGTCGTGCGCATGAATGGAATTTTTTCTTCTTCTTTCGACGTACCAGTTCTTAGCAATGACGGAGTTGCCACGGGGATTGAGAATCTTCTTTGTGGTGTTGGATTGGCGGACGGGGGCGCGGCCGGAGCGGCGCTTTCTCTTTTGGAGTTCGCGACCCATTTTCTGTTATGAGGATGAAAGTTGAGTTGATGTGGTGAAGAGGAAATGGTTTTTGGGATATTGGATGTATATCTTCGGCTTTGGGGACTGCTGGCGGAGCGCTTAGAGAGTTGAGAGCCCAAATTTTTTGGCGTTGGTCTTATCGATAAGGATGGGGCCGGTTGGCGCATTAGTTGGAATTGAGTGCTGGTGCTGTCTTGTAATTGAAATGCCATTGGCACATGCAGTAGATAAATGTCTGCATATGTCTTTGGATTTGTTTTCAAATCATTCGTATTGAGATTACTTTACATTGTATATGAACCCTAGAAAGCGTAGTATATCTTTCATTCGCATGGTGGTATATGAGGACAAGATAGAAGGTCTGCACATTATCAGACACGATTTAATTGAAATCTCTGCCATATGAGAACTATCGTCTCCGAGGAATGTCTCAAATCAGCATGATTTTTTTGAATTCAAGAGCCTAGGTACCTGTCCGGATATCCTGATAATGGGCATTCATATAAGACGTCCTTCTTACACTGCTTCGAGGCACTTGCTCATAGTGGCCCCGCTTCACTAAGTGATTCCGAGTTTTGCCGCAACTTTGCCGAATCAAGCTCACAACGGCTTCCATGAGCTCATGAGCTTCGAAATCTCAAGCCAACCTGGAACATCGCTGCGGCGATGGCATCCAAACGATCTCTAGTGTCGCGGAATGGGCACCTCCGCCTATTGACAGGGTCGCGCGCGCCTGCCCTCTCGTCAATATGCCCTTTCTGCTCTCATTCTCCAGCACCGCGGGCCACCAAGATTCGATCAAGACTGAGTCCGAAATCTCAGAGGTGGCAGTCAACTTCAGCGACAGCAGTGCGCGCCGCCTCGTCAAATGCCCGATTTGAGCTTGAGCAGACCTTGTTACAGCTCCAAACGAAAATCCCGGATCTCGTAGACCTCTCTAGGCTACAATTGGCGCTTCAAGGATTGCGACAATCGCCTGGCCAGGAAGCGATCAGGGTTGCCGTTCTAGGAATTGCCAACGGCTCCGAGGGCAGAGATGCTGCGCGAAAAGTTATAAAAGCTCTCATTGTCGACCCCTTGGTTGATGAGCAGGAATGGGAAAAGAGATTGGACGAGCATGACACCAGCAAGCCGTTGATCATTCGAGTTGGACCGAGCCGCGGAAATGTTACGCGCCTGGAGCTTTCTAATGACAACTTGCCAGACGTTTTGGAAGTCTCTTCAGCAGAACTCAATGGGCTGAATTTAGAGCTCCTTCTTATGGAGGCGGAACTGCCTGTTAACGGATCAGGTCTAACTACAGTTCAATCGCTTGAGGAGGCCGTTCTGGTTCCCAAAATCGACGTTGAGGCGGCTGATAAACACACTACTCCGTTAAACGCTCCCGTTCACCAAGCGATTTTGGTGGCCGACGGACTAACAGGAGCTGTTGGAATCGCCGGACTGCCGATACTTGATAGCTGCGATGCCATTACAGCCGCGGTTGACCTGAAGGGGCTCTCAAAGGAACAACTGGGAGCCAATTTCACAGTAATCGATACGGCTTTAGCAGAAGAAGCGGTCCGCTTATTCCGACAAGGCCCCCAGAATGCTATGAAGTACGAGCATAACTGGTCTGCAAGCAATCTGAACGTGTTAGTCGCATGGCTCAAAGCTGGTCTCAAGGCCGCCGACGATGAAGCGACCAAACCCGCAGTGCGAAGGCTCATTGCATCAGTTTTACAGAGCGCCCTTTCTGCAATCGAGGCCGAGTCAACGAGCAGAAAGGTGTCACGCGAATTATCAGCCTCAATGGCCAGCCCCGAGATGCGCGCTATGAACGAGAGACTCGCAAAGTGGGCTCAGCTGGCACACGCTGAGCTGCAAGAACAGCTTGACTTGGCTTTCAACGGGCGTCGCTGGCAGAAACTGGGGTGGTGGAAGCTATTCTGGCGCGTGGATGATGTTGCAATGTTGACGAATGAGATCTTGAGCCAACGCTTTCTCCCTACTTCCGAACAGGAACTGATTTATCTCACGGGACGGATTGCTCAGCTTTTAGGAGAAGCTGGACAATATCCACAGCCTACATCTTCCCGCGAAAGCGCTTCTGAGAGTCTGACAACTGGCTCTAGCAACTACGAGCCGATAATTCCCACTACTCCTCGATCACGTCTTCCCAAGTGGCCAGGGCATATCGCCTTTACGCGCCGCTACATCCAGAATGAGACGGTCCCAGCTCTCCAGTCGCTTGCTCAGCAATTGGTCGTTCAATCTCTTGCCACATCATCCGTCACCTCGTGTCTAGCCGCTCTGCTCTACGTTTCGTCATTCTCATCGACGATATTCGAAGCCGGCGCTGTGGCAGCCCTCGGTATCGTATACAGCCTTGGCCGAATGCAGAAGAAGTGGGAGACTGCTCGCGAGTTTTGGGAAGGTGAGGTCCGCGAAGAAGGCCGCAAGGCTATAAGAGGCGCGGAAGAGAGCGCCGCCGAGGTCCTCGATGGGGTCCAGCAAAACAAGCTCTCAGCTCAGAGAATCAAGGAGCTAGCACATGCTGGTGAACTGGTAGCTCAGGCGGAAGACGCGCTGGCACGGCTAAAATAGATGAGGAGTAATGGCATATTGTACGACTATGGGTAGGGAATTAGACTTTTGTATGAGTAGGTATGGAAAAGCAAAAATTGAGAGTCCGATGACATTTGTATGTATATCTAGATGCCTATTAGTCTAGAGACGAAAATTCAAAGAGTACGAGCTTTGCGCAGCCTATATCTCCTTTTCTCCTTCACATTTCCAGATTTGCCAATCCAACTACCCAATTTGCCATGGTATCTTTTGCCGCTCTTAGCACACATACACACACGCCAAATAGCCATAAATCTTCTTTTTCTCTTCTCTCTCTCCATATAGAAAACAGCACGATTGAAAATTTCCCGTGATCCTGAACGCCAAGCCCATGTTTATCTCCCTCTCATCGCTTCTAAGTGATTAGGCTTTCTACCGGCCACGGCCACCGCTGGCACGAGCACGGCTGACTGTCGCACGACCTCTGGCCAGACCAACACCCCGACCGCGTACGTTGCGGCTGCGGAACATGGGCGCGTTTCGAAGCATGTCGGGGACAATGAAGAAGCGGACGTGAGATCCTCGGATGTAGACTTGGTCGAGATGGGAGACGCGGCCATCGCGGGCGGTGACGGTGATGTCCTTAAGCTGGACGTTCATGTTGTCCTCGGCTGCAGTTTTGGCGATTGTTAGTTTCGGTTTCGCTTTAGTGTAATGCATCAAGGCCAATTCTTATGCTTTGCTTTGATGATCTTGAGGTTGGACGTTTTGGAAGGGGGTATTACCTTCAAGGAGCTTTCCACGGTAAGTCTGCCCCGATGTGATCTCGAGGGTGATAATATGACCCTACAGTTAGTTATCCATTAGCACCTCCAATTCGTTGGCAAGTTCAGAGGGCTAAAAATCTCCGGAAGCTCAAAACGCACCTGAGCCTCATTGAGGAGCTTAATCGGAATACCAATGGTGGAAGTCATTGTGAAAAAATGCTGCGGCGCGCAAGGGAATGTCGCGATCAGAAGCTCTGGTTGGAAAATTGACCTTTCGAGGACCTAGCAGCCTACGATAGCGGGCTGGTGAGGTTGGAGGTGCCTGTGATGGCCAATCGTTTATCCGTTTTCCGGGGCAGTGTATGGTACTCTTGCGAAGGCTAAGCTATTTTGCCGAAGATATTCCGCGTATAAGTTGCATCAACTCGAGATATAAGATGAGATCAATAAAAGAGTATAGCACATAATCAAAGTCAAAATTGTATCATTAATACGGATTATAGCGCTTATAACGCCATAGAAACATTTGCTTCCAGATTATAGCTGATTAAGTTCAAGTTTACGCAGTGTCAGTTGGTGTCGCCGTGGCTGACACCACAACTTGCGAAGTCTGGGTATTAGTCGCCTTCTTCTGCTTCTTTGACTTGGCTTTCCCTTCGAGCATCTTCCTCTTCTCCTCTTTCCGTGCCTGCTTGTCCAGGTTTCCAATCGTCTTCTTCTCGTTTCCGCAAGGCCACTTGGCCATAGCTGCAGCCTCATCCTCCTCAGTCCATTCACATGGCAGAACGGCAAATACCAGGTATGATGTATGAGTCTTGAGATCGCTTTCTGGCCTGTGAACGAGTCGCCCCTGCATGAATAATCTCTCCGTATCACCAGCGGTTTCGTTTGATCCATTCAAAGGGCGATTATCGCGACTAGGAGTGGAATCGACATCCATTTCGCTATCAACGCCTTCGGTTCCAGATTGTAAAGCCCGGACTCTATTTGTCTCGTTATTCCTCTCAGCGAGACTCTTGAGCTTTGTGACAGCCTCTGCAACGTCTGCAGGGGATGAATTAAATCCTTTCTCTGAAGGAAAGTTTACACCAACGCGCTCTCTTGATATGTTAATCTTCTGGTTCGAAATCTCCACCATGTCCACGTCAACCCAGCCCAGTGTTCTCAACTCTGTGACTGTTCGATCAACTTGCTCGATGCATGGTGAGAAGGTGCAGATGTGCACACTCTGCTTAGGATCCAGCGGCGATACCCAATTGCTGTCCTCCTCAGCTTCTTCACCCCCCTTCTTTACTTTTCTCCTTGAAAGATGATGTACCGCCTCCCAGGGTGCAGGTACATCTAGAAACACGGCAGTTGCCCTCGGTGACTTGCCATCGACTAAGAACCCATCATTGTATACATCGCGATGTGTGAGCTGAACCAGACCATCAAGCCCGTGGTGTCCGATCTCCGCTTGCATCTTGTGATATCGTGACTCGTTTTGCTCGAAACTAAAGACCTTGCCCTTCGTATCGGTCGCGTCCCGCGGATACCCATTGTAAACCGCTCTCACAGATGCATGAGTGAAGCTTCCACTTCCAGCTCCGGCCTCGATAATTCTGGTTCCAGGTCGTGCTCGTATCCTGTGGAGGATATAGCTGTAATCGGGTGTGTATACAACTTGTGTTCTATGCGGTAAACTGGTCGTCCAGAGTTCGGGGGTAGGTCGCAAGACATAGATGAAGCCACTTGGAGCTGTAACAGCCTTCTTGACCGGCGCATTGGCAGCAGTGGAGTCTTCGTCGTCATCTTGGCTGGCTATCGGTGTGTCTTCGTCCGTCGCATCTCTTCTCCGCTTCTTGCCTCGGGAGCCCGTATCGACTTCTGATGCCCTGACTTGGGATCCCCACGGCACATCGAGCAGTGTTGAGTGAGGATAGGAGCCGAAGCGTGTATTCAATGTTGCGCCCTCGAGGTATCCATCGACAGCGCCGGTTGACTTCTCCAGAGTCAATGGTAAAAAGTTGTCGCGCGATAAGCTGATAATGGCGAGTGTCCCGGCAGACGTCTTCTCGCCGGGCACTAGAAAAGTCGACGGTTTTGTCATTATAGTATTATATCTGTTCAATTGAAAGCCGAAGGAAGAATGGCAGAGCTGTTTGGCAGAAGCGAAGCTTGTCGGCGCTGAGCAAACCATCCAACCGCTTATCCTCTTATCAGAAAAAAAAAAATTCCACGCGAGCAAGCACTTGCGATGGCGGCAGTTGGATTTCCGCAGCGGAACAGCGCCGTGCCCCGTCCTTTTCGCGGCTGAAAGCTGCAAATCACCTGGCTAGGGGCGATTATAGTGAGGGGCTTAGCGGGCTCAGGGCACCAAGCACTAACAAAGAATGCTATTGACGTTCTATCCTTCGAGAGGGAGGGGCATTTTTGCAAGGGTCCGTGTGAGACTGAAAGAGTCACTGCAACGACTACTGCATCTCCAAACCTTCGAGTGCATACTGCATGCTTGGGTCTGACTCACCTTGTCGCCTCAGTGATGCCCTCGTATCTCCTGCGACCTTTTTAACCTGAGACGTGGCCACTCTGAATGAATCTCCTCCGTGTCGTGTCCCGATATCGACCTCAACCTCGACCTCGACTCCAACTCTGCGCCGTCGCAAAAAGCCACGTCTATCGAAGATACTCGTTCTCTGCCATGGAGTCGCTCAAGCTCCATAACTCGCTGAAGCCCGGTGCGCCGGTGCCTTTTGTGCCAATCAGATCAGGCGAGGTGTCCTGGTACGCCTGCGGTCCGACTGTGTACGACAAGAGCCATCTGGGACATGCGCGCAACTATGTGTCTACCGATATCATTCGGCGCATTCTGACGCATTACTTTGGCTTCAAGCTTAACTTTGTCATGAACATTACAGACATTGATGACAAGGTGCGAAGCCTCCTTGGAGCATATATGCTTTGCGCAAAGCTTACCATCTAGCAGATCATCATCAAGGCTCGACGACAGCGATTGCTCGAGATCGAAAAGAACAAGAGCTACTCCCAGGAAGAGCTCGCAAAGCTGACACGTACAGCTTTCAAAGCTTATGCAGCTAGCAGCTTGCCACTGCTTGTGGAGGGCGGAAACGACTTGGACGAGACGACTTACACCGCTCAACGAGACGCGGCGTACGGCAAGGTCCTTGCTGGAGGCACTCTGACCGGAGAAGGGAAGGCAAGCGATGCCGAAGCTAAGATCAAGATGCACATCAGCAACATGGATGCGGCGGCGAACGCTCTCACGACTGGCTCCATCTTCCCCGGGGCCGACGAGATCTTCCTCCCTTATCTCGACTCTCTCTACAAGGAAACCATTGATACAAGAGACCAGACCATGTTCACAGACTTGACAAAGAGCATGGAGGACCTATTCATGGCTGACATGGATGCGCTCAATGTCCTCAGACCGGATCATATTACACGAGTGACCGAATACGTCCCACAGATTGCGAAGTTTGTCGAGACGATCGTAGACAAGGGTTTTGCATACGAGTCTGAGGGATCAGTCTATTTCGACATTGCTGCTTTCGAAAAGGCCGGCAACTCTTATGCGCGACTACGACCAGAAAGCAAAAACGACAAGGCTCTTCAGGAGGAAGGCGAAGGATCCCTGTCCAAGAATCTGGGAGGCAAGAAGGGCGCTGGTGATTTTGCTCTCTGGAAAAAGTCCAAGGCTGGAGAACCATTCTGGCCCAGCAAATGGGGTGATGGTAGACCAGGATGGCACATTGAGTGCTCTGTGATGGCGTCTGATATCCTGGGCTCGCAGATGGACATCCACTCTGGTGGTATTGATCTAGCTTTCCCTCACCATGACAACGAGCTGGCACAGAGCGAGGCCTACTTCTGCGAACACGGCAAAGGCGAGCACACCTGGGTGAGATACTTCCTTCACATGGGCCATCTCTCCATTTCTGGCTCGAAGATGTCCAAGTCTTTGAAGAACTTCCAGACCATTGAGGACGCATTGGCTACCAGCTATACTTCGCGAAGCATGCGCATTGTGTTCCTGATGGGCAAGTGGAACGATGGCGTTGAAATCTCGCCCGATATGAGAGCCCAGGCTGACAACTGGGAGTCGACGATCAGCGTAAGTACAACTTATTATCTCACAGTCAATGAGTACAAACCACTAACCATATCTGATGCAGAACTTTTTCACAAACACAAAGTCATGGCTGGCCGAGGCAGGTATCGAGAGCGGCGTGAAAGCTCTGAATATCAGCTCAGACAAGCCTGCCACTGGCCTCTTGGCTGAGCTTGCGCAGGCCGAGAAGGAGGTGGAGGCGGCGCTCACAAACTCAATAGATACCCCGCGAGCAATGCTCGTCATCCTGAAGCTGGTCAACGCCACCAATAGCTTCCTGAAAGACAACAAAGACGCAGACCTCGAAGAGGTCGAGGCTATTGCCCGCTGGATTACAAAGCTGGTTCGCATCTTTGGCCTCGATGCCAATGCTAAACCTCCCTACGAAGGCCTTGGCTGGGCGTCTGTCATTTCTGAGAACACAGACCCTGAGACTGCCGTCAAGCCCTATGCTGCTGTACTCGAGCAGGTCAAGTCAGACATCGCGGCCCTCTCGCTTTCCAACGAGACTGTCTCGGCGCTTCTTGCCAAGGACCCTACATCAGAGTTCCAAGCTATTGCTCAGGGAGGCTCTCGCGACATCGAGGGACTATCGCTGCCTTACCTGAGAGTAGTGTCACAAATTCGTGATGAGCTTCGTCGCACGGTCTCCACGTACGATCCGCAAACCAAGAAGGCCATCTTGCAAATCACCGATCGAATCCGTGATCAAGACCTGACCAATCTCGGTGTTTACCTGGACGATCGGCCCGATAACCAGCCATCTCTCATCAAGTTTGTTCCTGCTGCAGAGCTTATCGCTGCTCGGGAAGAGAAGATCGCCCGAGAAGCTGAGAAGGCGAAGAAGAAGGAGGAAGCAAGACTTGCCAAGGAAAAGGCGGACCAAGAGGCTAGAGAAAAGGCAAAGGTTCCCCCTGAGGATCTGTTCAAGAATGACGAGCGCTACAGTGCCTGGGACGAGCAGGGTATTCCCACCAAGCTAAAGGACGGAAGCGAGGTGCCCAAGAGCCAGCTTAAGAACCTCAAGAAGGCATGGGAGAAACAAAAGAAGATTCATGAAGATTTGAAGGCTAAGGGTGGGCTCTGATTTTAGTTTCATGTTTGAATGACAGACAAGAGATAGCAGATAGAAAAGCGTAGGTTAGAAACGATGCTTTTTGTGCTCTTTTATCACAACAGCCGAACGTAAACATTTTTTGCCTGCCAATCACCGCTTGACCCGTTTGGAATATCATATTCATTGGCTCTATTTTCTTCATTTGCCAGTGTCGAGCGTTGTGCCAGCTGGCAGTATTGATACGCACGTGATAGGGGACTGACGTTAAAGTGAGCTCGAGCTCTAGTTATGAGGAGGCTCCGTTCTTTCAGAGCCGCTCAGCTACATCTCACAAAAGCACTCTTTTATCTTCTATCCTCGTCTCTCAAAGTCAGATTAGTACTTTAAAGCTTTTTTTTTTTTTTTTTTTGCAGACATTGATTTTTAATAGAACGCTATCTCCAATGAAGGTCGATAACTTCTATGTCTCTTACAAACGAGACACCAGACTCCTGCTATACTGGATTATCAAGACTTCCAACGCCATCATTAAGAAGCTGAAAGATTCTGCACACAAAGTTGCATTAGAGGTCAATATCACAGGTCAGGTCTCCGTCTCCGACCTCATTCCATTGTCAGAACTCATTGTAAAATACCATGGCGACATTCCATCTACGATCTACCACTTGTTTCAGTCCGTCATCAAATTACGATCTATCTATCACTCTCAGTTCCAGCAGCTTGCGGCAGCAACTCCCAGTGAAGAGCTGGAGACAAATAACTCGACCCACAAATTCTTCATTGATACTCTTACGCGGGCCTTTGAGGTCCTGGGTGGTGAAAATTGGCTATCTAAAGAACGAACGAAGCGAGCGAGCAACGATAAGGTGGACGGGTGCGACACCAACACCTTTGAATTTACAAACAAGTTCTCTTTGTTAGATTTGGAGAGCGCCTCAGAAAACGATGATGGTTTGGGTGCTAATAGCGAGGAATCTGACAAACAATCTGCACCTTCTCGGAAAAAGCGAAAGTTAAGAAAGGGCAAAAAGAGAGTCAAAGCAAGGAAAACCCATCGAGATTGCAAGTCTTCGAAATCAGATGGCAGAGCTCCGGACGTCACATTGGAGAGTTACCGCATAATCGAAGATGACGATATGACAGAGTATTTCATGGCTGTACTGGCGCTCACAAGAGACATGCTTCAGTTTCGATTGTTTCTTCAAGATGTTTGGCGTAAAGTAGCCTACAATAATCTCAACAGTGCAGTGGCTGCAGCCATCTCCAATATCGCTGTAGCAATGGTCAAACAGTCTGAGATAACCATATTCAGTGACTTTCCGGGGTATGAATCATATGAAAGGATCAAGCAAGCTATCCTGCGCGGCGATACCGAACAATCAAACAATGAAATCCGCTGCACCATCGTTGTAGAAGGCCTTGCGCAGACTACGAAAGCACTGCTGGATAAAAAAGAACTCTTCCTCATCCATACCTACCATGACTTGGTCGACTTCATAACGGACTATCAGAAAACAAGGAGTGGAAAGCCTACAAAGCGTATGCTCGCCCAAATTGACAATTGGAATCCAAATCTGAATCTGCAGAAAGCGACCAAAGAAGAGAGGATCAAATGGAGGCGCTCATACACCATTAACTGGCTGTACGATCTTGTCAACATAACTGCATGCGTTGCAGTACATGGGGAACATGCAAAAAATGAACACTATGTGTTGGAAGAAATGGATTGGTCTGACCAAGGTCCATTAAGATCACATCACAGGATGTTTGGTCTGATTAACTTTGCCGCTGAAGTGACGACGCTCGCTATGCAGAAACATGGCACAGACTTCCGCCATAAAATCTCGCCGCATCTCGTTTTTCACCTTCAGTGCATTATAGATGCATGGACTGTGTCTCGTGGATGGGCAATTTGCTGGATGAAAGGCCATGTCCTCAGCGATCCGGCGCAGAACTTCCAACCTCGGCGTGACTTGGAAATCTTTCTCGGCTGCGAAAATTGGAAAGAAGAAAAGGGCGACGGATTCTTTCAGGCAATTATCATGCTCGACAAATGTCTAGTGCGCTTGAAACACAAGGGCAGAAGCCTCGAGGTTATACAGGAATGCATCGGTATCCTCGACGAGCTTCGTCTTGAGTTCCTGGACGCATTGGGGAAGTGTAAGATTTTCCACAGTCTTTCAGCGTTGCTTCCCTCGAGATTCGCTTCAAGAAATCCCAACGGCGCTTGGGACTATTCTCCTTTTCTCTGCGGTGCGGGCCTGGCGGAAGGCCTCGAGCTTTTGTATCGGAGCATCATGGTCTTATGGGAAGGGATGCCGGAACCAATGCTAATCATACACCTGCACCACATGCTTGTGCAAAAAGGCCACCTCAAACAGACTATATCGCTCTATGGCAATCTGGGAATGATATTTTCCGGTAGCTTCTTCTCTGGCGGGCAGCTTCCTATCAGTGGTTTTTTTAAAGCTTTCCATTCTCAATTTGACAAGAGTCCCAGTCGAGAAGAATCACAAAAGATGATGAATCGTCGCGCGGTTGAAAAAGCCACTCGCGCCCGTGATCTTCTCAACCTGGTTCCTTTGCCTTGTTTTAAGCAGAAATCCAGTTTGACCATGTACGCATCGGCAGACTGGGATCCAGATCGAGTCCCGGATAGCGATGTCGACCCATTGTCGGCCCTGGGATTGATTCGGCTTAGCCAGACCAGGCGCATTCGAGATCCAGTGACATCCGTATGGCGACTAGAGGAAACAGACTTGGTCCAACGGGCGCGTGCTGCGGGCATGGGCGAATCAATCATATCAGCGCTTGATCCATTGTTTGAAATGTTTAGAGACGAAAGACAAGCGCAGATGGATCGAGTGCGCTCAGAATATCCTTCTTGGCTCTACGATGTCAACAAGGCGTCTAAGAAGGCAGAGAGCAGCGTCAAAACTACCAAATGTGAGGTAACGGCAGAAAGGTTGCTGAGAATCATCTACAAAGACGTCCACAATGACGTCTGCGGTCGTCTTCGAGCCTTTTCCAATCTCAGCTATATATATATCACGATGCAGATAATACTGACTTTTGAAAAATTTGAGTCAGAATGTCAAACTAGCAGCAACCCTACTTTCAAGCTTCCACCGTTCGACGATGCCGAGTTGGGAGATCAATGGGGAATGCCGACTTCAGTTCACCTTGCGCTGAGTGCTCTACATGGCAAGGATGAAGAGCTGTTGAAGTCGATGGCTGCAGCCTTTGAAAGAGGCGGAGGCCGGTTCATGGATTATCTCTACTGGAAGGCTGAGGATGAGGACAAGGACGAAACGAGCCGTGGGCCGGTGACGGAAGATTGCAGTCCTGATTGCTGTGTCATGTAGGGAGGGGCGAGCCCTGTCAAGAAAAGGGCATGGCGTGGGAAGCGGAACACATTGAATTCTGGCTAAATTGTACAATGTCATGCAGTCACTATCATGTACTCGGTTTACTAAAAAAAAAATTCCTCCTGGTATGAGAGATTTGGAAGACTCAATTTGCAAAGAATAATAACTTGTCGTGGCTTGTAGTCAAGCTGGTTCATATGCCAAATGAAGCCAATTCCAACATGTTTAAATAAGCTCATCTAGCTTTCAATCTCATTGATCATCCAACAAGGCAGCAAGTGTAACACCCATTCTGTTATCAAAAGTTAGGTACATTCATCATAACAATACAGAGGACGATTGCGTGAAGTAACTAACCACTTCCTTCGAAACCTATCATCGTATTAGCAAGCCAAAGCGAATATCCAATTAGAGCTTTCATACGTACATGACCAGATGGACATGGCAGCGGGAATTGAAAACAGGTTTCATAGATGGCGCAGCCGTCAGTCTGGCGAATCTGCAGAGAAGGGGCAGCCACAGCTACGCCAACGAACAGAGCGAGAGAGAACTTCATATTTGCTGAATATACTATTTCCTTTTAAACAGTAGATGGATAGCGAATTGATACAATTTATTGTTGTTGGCTTCTAAGTTGCTCTAGAAATCAAGATGATCATCCCCCTTTATATACATTCCAAAGCCACCTGTCAGACAAGCAAGGAGTCCAATTAGAATAAAATAAGTAAGACATACACGTATTACACACACACAAAAACTCTTTCAGCCGCTCGGCCGAGGTTCCGTGTCGACAAATTACAAGAGAAGCAGCACCCTAAAGACTCGCACTCGCCTGAGAGGTAGCATTCTCCTGTAGCACTGCAGCTGATACGAGACTCCATCACTTTCACATTCCAGGGCTGAGGGCAGCTGAAGTTCTAGGCTGTAGGCATGTATGAATCCTATCCCGTAGTTCTATTACTCTACATGGAGCAAATTATCCAATTAGCCGACAGAGGTCTTAGACATTAGGTAAGAAGAGGTGCTTGAAAGCTAATAATAGTCGGGTAGTGTTGTGTCGTTTCTCGCACCAGGTTCTTTTTTTTTTTTTTTTTGGATGGGAAAAGAGGGAATTGCCACGATTGTTACTTAAACTACTTTCTCTTCCATTAGTACTGTTGTCATATTCACAACTTTGTACAGGTCTCTATGTGCTTTTACAGCACACACAATACTCGCTGCGTCGACTCCAACAGAGAGGCAGAGTATCGCGGAGATGATTCACCCCGACCGCCGCAGAGCTGCGACTTGTCCATCCGGGCCTTGCTTTGACACGTTATTGCTTCTTCTGTCTCTACCTAGATGGTATGTCTCTGCTCCTCTGCAGGTCAAGCTCGAAAAGGAAGCGGTTCAAGTAGGGGGACCTCTATTAAAACACCCACCGAGTAAGACGGAGTATATTAGGTAATTCTATATATAAGAGACTGGTAATTAGGCAAAGCGAAACATGAAGGCTATATTATACAACCACACAATCATATCTTAGCAGATATAATTTGTTATATCCAGTTTATTGATAACAGCATCCATCCCGAAAAGTCCCTGGTGGATCGATCACCCAAAAGCTCCCCGAAAGGTGGTACGTACCTCCACCCCGCCACAACCGTCGGACTGGCAGCTCTCCCGCCGCGGCTCCGATTCCGCGATCTCAAACCCCCAAACTCCAACCAAACACCAACTCTCCATCCTCAACTCCAATTTTTTCTTTTCTTTTCTTTTCCCCTCGCCTCCTCACTACAAAAATCCAGCCGAGGGCCATACAAACCGCCCCCAAACATGGCCCAATCCACCGCCCACCGCCGCCTCCTCCAAGAATACCGCGCCCTCACAAACAACCCGCCCGAAGGCATCACCGCCGGCCCCGTCTCGGAAGACGACCTCCTCCACTGGGAATGTCTCATCCAGGGCCCCGAAGGAACGCCCTTTGAGGGTGGCGTGTTCCCAGCCGAGCTCAAGTTTCCAAAGGACTATCCGCTGGCGCCGCCGTCGATGAAGTTTCTGGCCGACATGTGGCATCCGAACGGTATGGTCTAGCCAGGTCGAGAAAGAAAGCACAAACGATCGCCCCATATCACAAAAGAGAGAAAGTGAAACAAGGCCCATACGATGATACTAACCCATAAAATCACAGTCTACCCCAGCGGCCTCGTCTGCATCTCCATCCTCCACCCCCCCGGCGACGACCCCAACCACTACGAACACGCCTCTGAGCGCTGGTCGCCCATCCAGTCCGTCGAAAAGATCCTCATCTCCGTCATGAGCATGCTGGCCGAGCCAAACGACGAGAGTCCCGCCAACGTCGAGGCCGCCAAGATGTGGCGCGAGCGCCGGGACGAGTACGAGAAGACGGTTCGCGACGGCGTTAGGCGCATGTTGGGCTTGTAGAAAATTCTTACTGCAGAGAACGGGGGGAATAGCGCACACCAGAGGTAATGATAAACAGCCGCTGTGTGATGAGGTGGGAGTTTAGATCTACGGACAAAGGAGGGGTTACATCTTCGAAATTTTGTTTATATATGAACGTATATACATTAGGTATGATATAGGGCATAGCATGGCGTATGGGGGGAGTAAATCCAAATACAAAGCAGACATCTAATCATATGAGCAAACAATCAAGTCATCATATCCATCGTCCAACACCATGATGTTTCATGGCCATTGTCATCGTCAAATAGAAAAATGCTTCTCTGATATCGCCCTTGCTCTGGTTGCTTATATGCAATGAAGGAATGCATATATGAAAAATGATAAACAACGAAAACAACAACAAAAACCGCTTTCAAATGTGACGCTTCATAGCCCATTGTCTGCTTTAAACTTGTCCCAGCTCTCATTCAGGGTGCTAAACACCAACCCAGCAATGAGTCTCACCTCAGTACTTGCGTCTTGCGGAAGCTAAAACATCCAAAGGTAAGCATATATTCTCTCAAGCTTCGTTCGGTACATCTCAGGTGGAGGAATATCTTGCCTTATCAGGATGGGTCTTTGCAATCGCCTTCATGTACGAAATCTTCACCTTGTTCGCCATGACCAGCTCATGCAGCCCGACCTTCTTCCAACCGCTATTCTCCCAGAGCACTGAATCCATACTGGCCAGCAGAGCCCGAAGATTCTCTCTCTTCCCGTCTCTCCATGCGGATACTTTGGCATCGACCTTGTCTGCTAGGGCAAACTTCTCGTCATCCTCTTTAGCAGCGGCCTGGTTAGCTTCACGCAGCCTTGTGACTGCCTCTGAATCTTTCTGAGGTGCCCGACTAGCCGCCGATGGTTGAGGTCGCGGCTTTGCTGCTGGTCTTGGAGCAGCCTTGGGCTTGGGAGCAAGGGCGTCCTGGCATCGCTGACGGCCTTTAACAGCCGTAGGTCCGCCAACGCCAGCTTCAACGCATTGCTTCCATACCGTGCCTGCGTCCGCCCATCTCTCCATCTGCTCCAAAGCCTCTGCTTTCCTGCTTAGCGCCTTGCCGTAAAGCTCTTTCATGTCACGGTTCTCTTCTTGTCCAGTCTCATTCTTTACAGCTACTGTCTCTCCTTGGCCGTTCCCGGGTCCAATGATTTTGAGCGCTTCATCTGCATCAGTCACTGCCTGTTTAGGCTCTCCTGTCTTCAGGGCAGTTAATGCACGGTTTGTGAGTAGGATAATCATCAGAGGATGCGTTGCAGGAACAGAGGACAGAGATGATGAATAGGACGCATGTGCCGCGGCAAAGTCGCCTCGTTTGAAATGCGTAGTTCCCTGTAGCCTATGCGTCGTCGACGCTTGCAGTGCTGCAGGGCTAATAGGGGGGATTTGTCGAGCGGGTCTAGGTGTGACCTTGCGCGGGGGCGCGGCCGCTGGTGCTGGTCGAGGTTGACTTGAGGCTGTTGGCGTTGATCGCTGGACTGCTGGAGAGGGAGTCCGCTGCGTTTGTCTTAACGCCTGTGGGCCGAAGAGTAGATCCGGCTCAGGCTCAGACTTCTTTGGCTCTGGTGCCGGGCTTGCCTTCTTTCTCCTACTGGCACTTACATAGTTAGAGAAGCTGTCGTCGTCGTCTGCAGCAAGTCTGTTCAGCCTTGATCTTGCATCTGAAACCATGGGCGGCGGCGCTGCTTGCTGCTGCCATCGGGGAACAGGACTATTTCGGCTTGGAGTTCCTGAAGATAGGGCAGGCGATGATCCTCGTGAAATCTGAGGCCCAGCTCTTGGGTCCACGGCAGGGCGACTGCTGCTGCTGCCTCTAGCAGGTGGTGGTCTACTACCAGACTCAAGCATGAGCGCCTCATCCGTGGCACTGGAGCTAGCTTGGGGAGGTCTCGGCCGTGCTTGTGCCTGCTGAGCATCGCGCATCCATTTCGGCTGGCTTGGGTCTCCTTGTCCTTCTTGCTGGAATTCCGCCACCGCCTGTTGCATCTTCTTTTGCCCAGTCTTCCATAGAGTATTGGCAGACTTGAATAGGGTGCTTCCCATAGCAGCCGCGGTCTTTGCAAGGTCAACCTCTCCTCTTGCAGGTGATCGGCTATCACTTCGCTGAGTCTGGCTTCCCGATGCGGGGGAACCTCCTCGACCTTGAGAGCTCCGACCTTGCGATGCCTCTTTTGATTTCCTATGAGCCTCGTCCAAGAGCCAATTGGCCGCTGCTTGCGCGTTGAATCCCGTTCCGCTTTCCACGAGCCCTCGTCTAGCCTGCTCAGGACTAAATCCATAATCAACAAGTTGCGCAACAGCCTTGTCAAAGGGATCTTTGTTCACCCTTGGTACTCGCTCAACGTTTCGTTCTATAGGTTCGTCGTCATCGTCGGAAGAGCTCGAGTCATCTTCAATGGGCTTTCCTGGCTCGCTTCGCAATGCTTCTTGTTTTGCCTGTTGTTCCCTTCTAACTTCATCTACAGACTTCCCGAGGTCTCCCAGAAAGTCAAAATCATCTGCGCCAGAGGAAGTGCCCCGGCCAGGTCCAGCTGAAGCAGCAGGTTTCATCTCGTGCAGTCCAAAGGGATCGTCATCATCAACTCCTCCAAAAGCCCCGTTGCCATTGGAGGCCGTTGTTGAGCCCCATGCTGAGGAGTCTGTCAAGTCCAGTCTGTCCTTACTTGGGGCAGCGGGTGGAGGATAATGGCTGGCATTATCCACTTTTGTATCTCTGTTAAATGCGGCAAAGAGGTCGTCGTCGTCGTCCTTGGCTGAGCTCTTAGCGGGCGCGGGCGCGGGCGCGGGCGCGGGCTTTTGTTGTTGCTGCTGAGGCGCAGGACTAGGTGTGAAGCCTCGTGATCCTAGAGCATCCCAGTGCTGTCCATCTCCAAACTGCGCCTCTGCCAACTTCCGTCGCTCTTCTTCCTTCTTTCGTTTCTCGGCTTCAAGCTGCGCCTGTCTTTCGGCAAGAGACAATTTCTGGGTTGCTTTGGGCAGGCCGAAAGCCAGATTGCTGAAGCTGTCTTGCGCAGCCTTCGCCGGCGCCGCTTTAGGAACCGAGTTGTTCGACAGCTGGGCCGGCAGCGGCGTGCTTTGCCCGGTGCCAAAGGGAGATGGCGACGATCGATACGGAGGATACGAGGGGTTGGCGGCCATGGGCTTGGGCTTGTTGCCGGAGGCGTTTGCGCTCCAATCGAGGCCCGAGAGATCATCCATGGCGAATACGGTGCTTGTTTCTACCGCGGGGTGTCATTCATTGCCAGGTGTTTAATGTAGTTATTCGTGGTCCATGAAGCTACCGCTCGGCCCCGTACAGAGGGGACTCCAAGTGGGCGCAAACCGCTCGCCGCGATTACAGGGGCTCTGATTCGTGTCAAGCTGCAGAATCGCTACTGCTGCAGGTCACATGACCATGGTTCTGGCAGCAGCGCTCTCTGCACAATCAAGTATCACAGAATGCGAGGATCATGAGTTAACTGTTCAATAAATAGAAAGAAAAGTGGTTCTCTAATTGTACGCTGAAATATGCCCAGCTAGCAACTTCCATATTTGAATATAGACACAGAGGTGAAAGTTAGTGAGTCAGATGCCATATATGCCACATCATGTACCAAAATGCTCAAACAAGATTCATTTCGAGGAATAACTATCGTTAAAACAAGAATGGCTCAGTAGAATGAAAAAAAAACCCCCCATAAAATTTTAGTTTTCTATTGAGCAGTAGATTTACTAATACGCTATATATAATCGCCGTCAAGAAAACATAGATATGATGCAAGATGCAGGGTAGGGGATCACTTCAGGTACTATCAAAAAAGACAAAAATTCAATTCCGGCGCCGGGAGTCGAACCCGGATCGCCGCGGGACTTTCACTGATGAAAGCGCGGTATGCTAGCCACTACACCACGTCGGAGATCTTATTTGATGTTACATCTGGACTTTATAATAATATATAAATGCCACAATATGCAACCACAAAATTCCCCATCTGGGCCGTCTTTCCACTTACAAATGAGAGAGCTTTACCAAGCTATACATATGTCATATAACCGTAAGATGCCGTCCTCCCCTCTGTGCATATTGCAACAAACCAATAATATCTGTCCTCTTAGCCATATTCACTGAGTCATACCCGTGATACCGAAGCCTGTGCCATACAGCACATAGAGTGTGCGCAGGTACTCTGATGCCCTGCTTAGCCCCTGATGGGCGATTACCTATGTTTTGGATTGTCCATCACTTGTCGATCGCTTTCTTCGTTTAGCCAGTAAGTCATATCGGAAGACTGCCGGTATGCGGCCCCTCAGCATACCAAAAACTTTTGCACCCTCGATCATTTCGTCATAGGACCTCAAGCTGTCAAAGCCTCTAACCTAGCGGGATTCTAGCGCTCTTGGCAAGCAACAAACACTTCCAGATCGACATCGTGTTGGTGCTTTCGAGGTGATGCTCTTTATGGAAAGCCTCGCGATTTGCAGCTGGATCTCGGGGTGCTATGGCTCACAAATAGAGGAGCAGCACAAGCACAGGCTACACCCATCATACAAGCCTGGCAGCGGAGACAGAGGCTCGTGCCAGAAGCCAGCGAGATGATACGATTTTAAGAATACCCGTAGATGAGAACATGAGATATGCAGCGTCTTGGGGCCGTTTCTTCGCTGCCGGGCGGCGCCGCAGCTTCTCCTTCTCCAGACTCCCGATGGCCTAATCTAGGTACCGAGCTTTGAGCGCAAACAAACCAATAGCTGACTGTGTCAAAAGGCGGACAGGGGAATTGCGCTCGAGCACCGCATTTGCCAGTTATCGACCAGCAAACAAGCTTACAGCCATCGCCTGTCTATTCACTTCTGCATTGGCCTTCGCCTAGCCACCAGGCACAAGGGAGCAGGGGCTGCTATTTTGGGGCAGATCCTGGGATCTGATTGGCCACGAGCGCTGATGAAACCGTTTCAAATGCATACAGGGTCTCCCTAATGCAATGCTCGGCCCCTCCATTCTGGCGCCCCTGAATCTTCGAGGGCCTTATGCGGGTGCCACCCATCCTGTTCAACAATAAGAGGCAAGCAAGGCAAGCTAGCGTTATATAACAGCGTTAAACAATGGAAATGCATCTTGCTTTATGAGGCTAGCGAGGCCAGCTTTATCCAGTGGCCCCTGCGGCGGCCCCAAAACTCAAGGATCACAAACATCTCGTTTGTCGTCGAATACCATGCCTGGTTGATGCTCTGCTGTCTCCCGAGTCTGGTCCCCCGAGTCCAACGGCATGGCCGACTGTTGTGCTCTCCTGGCTCTGCGATGAAAATTGGGATGAGCGGGAAGCGACATGCTTGCTGTCAAGTCCCTTTGCACATCGCATGGCCGAGGCTCCACCAGCCTCGTCATATGCGCCAGAAGCCATCCAAAATTCCCAGCCGTTTCATGAGAGGAATGGGAGCTGCAATCAAGCACAGGCGCAGGCCGCCGCACCACTGAGGCGCTATAGAAGCCAAGAACACGCAGCGGGTGGCGTTCTCTGTTCTGATCTAGCGTTGCTTTTATTTCTATTTCAGCCGCAAGCCTTGTTTCTGATGGCGACCTAAACTCACCGCAACGACCATGCGCTCTTGGATTCAGGAGGCAGAGCCTGAGTCCTTCTAAGAATCCCCTTACTGTAATGGGTAGTAAGGATTAGGTTCTGCATTGACGACGCTTGAACGGTATATTCCAGAAACCCCAGCAGAGACGGATTTATGCTCCCTGAAGTGGTATCGTCACGCGGGTCGGACAAAAAAACCTCCCAAGGGGTACATGAACATCCCTGCTCAACCCCATGTCTCTCAAATTTCTTGAGTCCCTTGGCCAATCAGCTGTTAAGCATGCTTTTACATCATCCCATCGCCTCGAGGAAATACCTCACGGCAAGCGAAGTTTCTATGCCCCCAAGGCCCCTCATCGCAAAGAAGCTCCTAATCGCCGCCCCCCCTGTTAGTTCCTGTGGCTATTAATGTTTGCCGCGTTTGGAAAGTCGGGCCATCGATGGCGAAGCCTGACTGGTCCATTGCTGGGGCGTTTGGTCGACCCTTGATCCTCCGTAATCTTCTTTTAGTGCATCTCTGCGCAGATGGCCAGCGAGAGATGCCTGATAGCCGGTTATTTGCAAGCCTGGAGGAAGGCCAAGGCTACGATCCGTAAGTTGTCGCAGCGTACGTCCATAGCGCTGTGCTCCGTGATGCCTGCCGCTGGGTCTTTATCATTTCTTCCATCTTCTTCATCGATCCCCAGGGCCTGCCCTTGACAATCTCTCACCCATACCCAACTTGTACATCGGTATTGGCGCGAGGACCTGGAGTCCCCCCAAATCCCTTGATAGAAAGATCGCCCTTATTATCCCTATACAACCACACTCATCCCTCGTTTTTTTACGCTGCTTTTTCTTTCTGCGCTTTTGTCGCGTTGTGTTTTGCTCAGCATTCCCACGTTCCTTACCATTCCTTTCGGCTCATCGACGTACATTCCTTCGTTTTTGTCTATACGCATTCCTTTTTGCACACTCTTGAGTACTTTGATTCTCTAGACATCGATCGCTGCTCTAGTCTCTCTTCTCGCCGTTTGTATCAGCACAGGCAACAATAACCCCTTGCGCACTGACAGGCTGTCATCGCAACCAACGATTGTAGCTTGAACTCACCACGCACCGTATCGATATCCATCGGGCCGGTTTCGACTACGTCGCAAAGTGCTCGTGGCATTGCGACAGACGCACCGCGAGGAATTTTGTTTGGTAGTTGGATACGTGTCTGTGTTGAACACACCAGCGACATCTTTCTGGAATCTTTAGTCCAGAGTCATTTCGTGAGGTTGAGAGATATCGAAAGATTTCATAATTGTGTGCCGGGAGTAGTATTCTTCATTTCCGCGTGTACTCGCGATTCTCTTCTTGTGGAGGTTTGACGATAACAGCGATACTTTGGTAAGCCTATTTTCCTGTTTGACAGTTTGAAGGGACATCACATCATACACACGAAGTTCGAGAAGATTACCAGAAATCGCCGCATGTATAAGCTCGCGCAACGCAACGGGTCACAGTGAAGCGATTGGCCCCACGACACAGTTACTGGTTGGGCGAGGGAAATTGGCCGATTGCACGAAGCAACTTTGGCGTTGGCTTGCGAGGATGCAGATGCAGACGAAGAAAATCTCCGTTCAGTGACGGGCTTGGGACTGCGGCTGCTCTGCTTCTTGCCAAATGCTGCGACCTGGTGATGCTCGCGCCTTCTGTTTGCGACGCCATCATGCGGACGACCGCCTTCCTCTTCTCGGGCTCTCCCCGCATTCTGCCATAACCACATCCTTCTACCTCTTTGTTCTGCTCCTTTCGCATCTCTCGTTCTTGCATCTCCATTCATTCTCTCATTTCGTTTCCTACTATAAGCCACCAGTCTGCAGCCTGCAGGACGCTGACCTCTTCTCTCAGACAGCCTCGTTGCGTCGTCCACTCCTTACCAACTCTTGATATCAGTCTTGCCTGGAGCAACACCTCGAGCTTGGATACATCTCTATCACAATGCTCAAGTCTGTCATCGCCGTTACCGCGGGGCTGGTCGCCTCTGCCGACGCCTTCTGGCGCATGGAGTGTCAGGGGCGTGTTGGCCTGGCACGAATGGACCCAATTGTTTATCCCGGTTCAGACTCGCCTCACATGCACGCTATTCACGGCTCGTCGGGTGAGTACTCTTATTTCTTATAAGCCTGCTGGCCCTGCAGGCTGGCCTTATTGTCGTCAGAGATGTCGTCTGTCTCGACCAATGAGATCCAGTCCGCTCAACTTTTAAATACTGGCATTAAATCCGATTTCCTAAGAAACTGCGACTGACACGCTCTTTAGCATTTTCTGAGACCTCTGGCACTTCCGAGCTGGTTACTGGCAACTGTACATCATGCCGTGTAACTCAGGATAAGTCTGCTTACTGGCACCCTGCCTTGTACTTTCAGGATGCCAGCACTCAGGAATACGAACTCGTCCCCCAAGTTGGCGGTATGCTTGCGTAGGTGGTCTCCATTCATTCATCTGCACTGACAGCATGGCTAAGATGATATGCTAGATACTACCTTCTCTACGGAAACAACATCAAAGCTTTCCCTACCAACTTCCGAATGGTGGCCGGCGACACCAGCCGACGCAATTACACAGCTGGCGATCCCACTCAACCTGACCCGCCAAAGTCCCTCTGGGCTTCGTTAGGTCAAACGAGCCAAGAAATTCTGGCCCAGCGCGCCCTCGGTTTCAACTGTCTCAACTACGACAAGGCCCCCGAAGGTACTTTGTACCGCCACTTCATGCCAGACAAGGCTTACCTCGATGCCAACTGCAAAGATGGTATCCGTTTCGAGATCATGTTCCCCTCATGCTGGAAGGGAGGCGACGCGACCGATAGCCCCAACCACAGGGATCACGTTGCCTACCCCGATCTCGTCATGACTGGAGACTGCCCTGCGGGTTACCCTGCTCGTCTTCCAAGCATGCTGTTCGAGGTTATCTGGAACACTAATGCCTTTGCTGGTCGCAATGGTCAATTTGTCATTGCTAACAGAGACACTACTGGTAAGATTATAGGCTAACGCGCTGTATGATTGAGATCGTCTAACACGATTGATAGGTTACGGACTTCATGGCGACTTCATCATGGGCTGGGACGAAGACTTCCTGCAGCAGGCCGTCAACACTTGCACCAACCCCTCTGGTCTCATCGAAGACTGCCCTCTTTTCGACGTCGTTGACCAAGGCACCGCGATGCAGTGCCAGCTCGAGGACATGCCTGCGAATCTGCGAAAGGAAGACGGCAATGGTCCTTTCAAGCAGCTTTTTGGAGGAATGGACGGACACGGCCAGAGCCAGCCTACCAGCAAGCCTACCAAGGTCTCAACTGCCCCTACCCTACCCTACCAGCCTGGTGTGACTGCACCTGTCAAGGGCTCTCCTCTTCCTGGACAAGTCTTCAAGGATGGGTCCTCTGATGGATACTCTGGTGGTATGCAGATTGCTGCCGTTGAATCGAGCCCTGCAGTTACCCCTGCCCCCGTTGGAGCGGCTGCCACTCCTGTCACTTTCGTCAGCACTCAGTACATCACTGTCGGCAACGTCGTTAGTGAAATCCTATGGAAGCAGGCATACACCACCGTCACTGTGGATGCCCATCCCTCAACTGTGACCGTTACCGCGACTGGTGCTCCTCCCGCCAAGCACCGACGCAGTGTTCACGGTCATGGGCACGGCCACAGCCACAGCCACGGGCAAGGGCAAGGACAGCTCTAAATGTTGTGAGACCAAGTGAATGAAGCTGATTTTATCCTTTTTCGTCATTTTTGCAAGATTTTCTCGTGAATCTGGACAGGATCCAGATAGTTAGGGGTATTAGTGAGGCATGATTGAATCGACATTTGGCTGCTGGCTTTGTTCATAGGGTAAAAAAGATGTTATCCAGTCTTTGGCATCAAAAAGATTTAACGAGAGTTGCGCAGGTAGATGTATTATGTGACAATCAATTAAGTGAGATTTAATTTATTCAGTTTATGCAAATTTTACAGTTACGGTTCGTATTTTCATCCTTCAATCTGCTCTTACTTTACGTCTTTCGTTGGTACAGGGATGTTATGTGCAGCCTCATCGTGGACTGGTCCACCACGATGAGTATAAGCACAGATCGGATCGGGGCAAAGTTAAAATTTATTCATGTTTCTGTTATTCAAGGTACGTTTCACATACCTGATTGATGAGCCGTCAGGTCTCATTTTCTAAGTCTGTGAAAGTTAGGCAATCTGTAAAAGTCAGGCGGCATTGGTATTGTGGATGGAATGGACTACGCCAGGCGACGCATTCCTCGAAACAGCAACAATCAACCACAAGCACTGACCGTCTGGATTGCTGCGATGTTATTCACGCTGAAACAGTGACAAAAGCACAAGGACCCGGGGGAAAACCCATTTCCCCCATGCTCTTGTGTTTTCTTCTGTTCATTGGCACTCACTCGTTTATGCCTGCAGCGAAGACGTACAATTTCATCTGTCGTTATATTTGAATTATTGTATGATATGAATGACGGCAATATTGAATGAAATTGGAGGACACACATAAACCATGAGCTACGCGACGCGTGCGCTTCGACGAGAAGTCGAGCAGACGGAGCATCCCATCGGGCTGGGCTGGCTGCTTGCCATTGCGCTCTGCGGCGGCGTCCTGCTCTTCACGGCAATCGGATTATTGCTCGTATGGTGGGTGAAGAAGAATCGCCATCGCCATTCGGGCCCGCGGATGGTGTACGGATACTCGGCGACGCACAACTCACTCATGCCGCCGTCGTCTTCGCGGTTGACGAAGAGACGGCTGCTGGGGTCTCAGTCTTTCAGCAAGATCTCCAGTCGATTTTCCAGCCGGTTTTCGTTTTCTGGCGGAGCGCAGCAACATGCTGTGCCGTCGCCGCTGCCGACATATGAGGGCGTTCAGCTGCCTGAAAGGAGGAGGACGGTTTCCAGGGGCAGGAAGAGGTCGAGGAGCTGGGTGGACGAGGATGATTTGCATGGGCCGAAGATGGTGCGCAACAATAAGAGGAATGCGAAGAACTCGTGGCTTGGGAGAGATGGGCGCTTGGGGATGGCGCCGACGTTGCCCAACATTGGGATGCTTGTGCCAGAGTCTGAGAAAGGGTATGTTCAAGTCGGTGAGCAGCCGATGGCGCAAGGGACGCAGTCGAGATGGCTTCCGCGGAGTCAGACTGAGCCAAGGTTGGCTACGATACCTGGCTCGCCGTTGTCGCCGGGTGATAAACACTCATCGTCGGTGAAGGTTGTGCCGATACCCCTTCGAGGACTGACGGTGCCCGTTCCTCAGCAGCCAGCTCAAATCCGGCCAGCTCATATACGGTCTTCAAAGACAGATCCAAGCCTCAAGGGCATCTTGCGTTCAACAGACCTGAGACTCTCACAAAGGAGCTCACGTTCTCCTATCAAGGCATCTGAATCGTCGTCTGCCGTGAAGGTGTCGCCGACAAAGTCAACTTGTAGCAGCCGAACCGGCGCATCAGGAAGATCGGGCCACGGCTGGCGTGCATCGGGTAGTCCATCCAAGAGAGGCGGCTCCTTTGCTGGAAGCAGAAACAACTCCACAAGCTCAATTGGCAGTGCTGCGAATAGTCTGATTCTGGCGGCGACGCAAGAGCTTGAACTGCCTGGGGGTGCATCCAGCCCTAGTAAAGCCAGGAGCGTGCATTGGGAACAAGATAAGGTGAATAGAAGCCCTGAGAGGGCTCAGTATACGGCGTCTCTGACTCAGAGTCCGCAACGACAGAGTCCTCAGCGGCAGAGTCCTCAACGACAGAGTCCGCAGAGACAGGATCCTCAGATGATGAGGATGATGCCTCATGTGCAAATGCAGCCTCCACACATGAAGTTCCCCCAGATGCAGCACCCGCAGCTGGTTTTCCCTCAGATGCAACGTCCTTCCATATCGCATGTCCAGCAACAGCATTCTTCAAAGAAGAGTTCTGAGCGTCGGATGTCCGTCGACAGCGACAAATCAAGCTCCTTGTCGACCCTCTACAGCACCAATGAGCCAGAAGAAGAAGAAAGACCAAGGCCACAGCAACCAGCTCAAGACGACGATCCTTTTGTGGAAAAGGGCGGCCCCAGAAGGTGGCCTAGCTGGCAAGCGCGCCAGAGACATCCGAACACGGACTCGGCGCAGAGGCGGGCGAAAACTTTGAGTGTAGCATCTTTGGCATCATTAACATTGGGCGAGCCGTCGGGTCCACCGCCGTCGAGACCAGTCTCGGCAATTTCACAGCCAGATATAAGCTGTGTGGGGGGCTTGATGCCTCCTGTGATATTTGAGCCGACACCAAGATCTGCCAAAAGGTGCTCCATTTCCCAGCTGCCCTATCTGCTCGAGGCGCCTTCAGAAGCGAGTTTCGCCTCAGTATCCGTGGACTCGGATGCGACTGAAGTGCCTGCGAGCGAGATGCAAAGAGTAGACTCTATTGACAGCAGCGACTCGGCGTCGTCTACCCCCACGACACCAACCAGGGGTACACAGTTCCGGGACACGTCCTCAGCGTCGCCGTTTGACGAGCGGGAGATTATGTCCTTGATGATGGGGACGGCGCCGGCTCATCGATCTTTACCGCTACCTCCTTCGCCTCGCATGATGGCTTCTGATGGAAGCATCATCACGATCCTTTCGCCTCCGCCTCGCGGTGACGGCGGCGGAGGTTTGGTGCGACAGGGATCTACCTCGAGTTCCATATACACTCTTGAGTCTTTCATTGGCGCCGAGCCAGGAACCGCATTATCATCCTCGCCGTCTCGCAGATCTGCTATACGGTCATTCGTCGAAGGCCAAAGGCTGAGCAACACTGTCGCCGAGCTGCGCCGGATGAACAGCATGATTAGCACATACAGCGTCGCGTCGTTGGCCTCCACAGTTGCCGGAGAAGGAGACTCGCCTACTCTCCCTGCTTCATTGAGTGGCAGCGGCACTGGCCTAACTGCGTCTCGATCCATTCGTTTCGGCACGGCAAGCATTGGCAGCAGGCATTACCTCAATATCGGTAACAACACCAGGAGATCCATGGTTGTTGCAGGCAGCAATAATAGATACGGGCCGAGGAGATCGCTGCATCGTCGTGCAAAGACTTACCATTACGGTAAGGAGAATCTGGGGCTGGGGTTGGGGCTGCGACTATCCTGCATTATGGACGAGACGATTGATGTCGTTACGCAAGATGTCGTTGCGCAAGAAGAGGAGGAAGATGCAATCGACGGTGACGACCTCGTCGAGATTATTGAGGGAATCCCTTCGGTTGTACTGAGACAGAAGCTGACTCCCGTGGAACAGCTCATTGCCGCGGAGCAGCGACAGAATTTCCACCGGGCGAGTATAGATAGCCTTGGGCTGTATGACAATGATGGGTTTTTGCTGAGCTCACCGGATAGAGATGCGAAGAGGAGAGGTGTAAGAGCATGATCGAGCGATGATCGAGCGAGCAAACGATAGAATACGCTACCTGTCTTTCTTTCTCTTTTTCTTTGCGTTCTCTTCGATTCCTGGAGGCGATGATGGCTTGCTGATATTAGTGGTATGATACATGTATTGGGAACTTAAAATCATTTCTTTCCTTTTTTCCATTTCTGTCTTTGGGTGTCATGGTAATGGAGGCTAGATAAACGAGGGGAGTTAATTGAGTTGACTTCATTTGTATATTAGTTATACCTTATGGCTACATTTTTGAAATCTAATGTTTAGTTGCTCTTTTTGTAATATAATGCACTCAACCCGATACCTGTTTACTCACATATTTGTTTCTTCCTAGACATTGTAAAATAATCCTTTTTGGCCAGGGAATGAATCGCCATATCCCTTCTAACCGTAAACGCCATCCCACCTTTCCCATTGTCTGCTTTCCAGTCAGGCTGCAGACTACTCGTTGTTTTCAGTCTCTACCCTTGGCCGTTTGCTATCCGGGTCCTCAGCTGAGTCGTGTCCGTTGACATCGTCGTCCTTCTCAAGCTCATCCCGTGGACGTGTCCTACCAGCGCCCTCGCCAAGCTCTTCCGTATCTTCATCAGGGCCCTCTTCCACCTCCTGCCCGGGACCTATATAGTTACCATCTGCATCAAAGTAGTTGTGCACATTCTCTGCTGTGATCCAACCACCGCTACCGGGGAAAGGCGGAGGAAGCCCGCCATCTGTGACACCATGGAGCACTCCAGTGAATCCCTCGACGGGCTCGTGTCCCGCGTTGCCCTCAAAGACGATTCGGTCATATTCATTGTCGTCATCTTCCTCGTTGTCTGGGTCAGGATGTAGATCAGAGCAATTGGCCATGGCCTCGTACAGCTGTTGTGCAGAGTTGGCCTCGGCGGAGCTTGGAGGGACGATTGTCAGTTCGATGGTTTCGAAATCGGAGTCGTCAGCGCCGCCGTCGGCAAAGTCAAGCTGCATCCAGACGGCCTGGGAGTCGTTGATAGATTTGAGAGCATGGATTGAGATTAGAGGGTATGGGATCGAGACGCCGGCTTCGGCTTGGTGGCTGAAGATGACGAAGTTTCTGGCAGCAGGTTAATAGATGTGAGCTATAGGTGGATAAAGACTGATTTGAGTACGCACTCTGAAGTCGCAAATACATCGACAGTCTGTTCTGCCAGCTCTTCGGCAGCTTCCCCATCATTTGCGTTGTTAGCAGCCGCAGCAGTATCTTGCGGAAAGATGGCCAAGCTGCCACACTGTGAGCGTGGGATTGTCGCCTTTGCGCCGGCGAGATGGTAGTGTAGAATTGGCTTCCCGTCTGTGAAGGACTCGGGAGTCTGAGACTGGTACTCGGCGAGGGGCGTGTAGTCTGCCGCAGCAGGCGGTGATCGGATGGTGGTTGGCGGCATGATGGGCTGACTGTCTGTAGCTGTGAGCTTCTGAATTGAGCAGAACAAAGCTGAGCTGAGCTTAGCTGATGACTGGAGGGAGAAGGGCGCAGGGAAAAAGAATAGGATCGTGGGGTAGCTGCATCTTGCTGCCTTATCGATACTGCTTCCAGCTAGGCTAGGCACTGTAACGGCGTGGGGCCAGTGATGGCACGGCTCCGCCGATCACGATTCCCGCCCGCCTTGATTCAACCTTCGACCTCCAATCTTCTTGTAGCTGCGATACCCAATCTGCCACAAAAGCCCTTGACGGCGGATGCCTGGAGCCTTCTAGACCATTAAGCTTTATTTTCCCCTTTTAAAAAGCTCCACCGATTTCTGCAGCCTCAACCTCGCCCATTTGTGTGCAACTTGGCGAGTTCCAAGCCTTTGCTATCCCGACACTGCCTGGTATTCGACCTGCTTGAAAGAGATACCATGCACAGCAACCGTGAGTAACATCCCAACACTGCCCAAGCAACCATGGGCACACGCTGATGGAAAGGATATAGGAGCACACCACCTGCTGGAACAGGTTCCTCTCACAGTCTCGCCATTCGTCTCCCTCCCATCCGCCACCACCCTCTCGTACAACTACAAAACGATGCCTTCCAACATCCCCCCCTCGCCATTGGGCATTCCCAATGCGTCAGATGACCCCTCCTCACAGCCGAAAGCCAAGTACGTGGTATCAAACTCCGGCCATGCTGCGCACCCCGACGATATCATTGCATCGTGCCGCGCACTGCAAGCACACATTACAAAAATGCAGGAAGATGCGGAAAAGGACCTGAGAGAGCTCGAGGAGCGGATCAGGGAGCGGGAGCTGGCGGAGAAGAGACGCCTGGCGCCGGGATGGCTGGATAGCGATGCCCGACTGTTGGAGCCTGAGAGATCCGGGCCGGGCCATCAAGTCGAGCCAAGCCCGCCGACATCTACAGGGCAGAGCGACCAAGGCGGAAGTGGAGATATATCCAGCGATGAAGGCGCTCAGCTTGATCGAGCTTTTGGGGATATGGCGTTGAGGTAGATGTGTTGTCGTCGCGGGGGACGAAGCGCCTTGCCGCTACTCCTTTCGTCTTTTCATTTTCCCTTGGGTTCACTTGGCTGGAGTTCAGTGATCAGTTTCATGATGGCTACATTATTTTGAAAGTTTGTTTTTATTTTGGTATTTGACAGCGTTTTTTATACACGATTATACTCTCGCATTCAATCTTCGTTCATGAAGAGCCTTCTTTTCGTCACGCCGCTTTTTTTCAAGCAAACCAGCTGTTATAACTGCAAAGCATCAATGCTCTTATATACATGCTTATCCATTTCCAATTGATTCTAACTGCGTGCCCAACTACCGCCAAACAAGTTGACACCGACTCCCTCTCCAGGTTCAGTCATTAAACTCCGAATGTGAAGGTCCATCATCGCAACACAGCATGCTGAGAATGATATTCGTCGACAAGGGATCCACCGCCATGATCTGAAGCTTCATCCCCTTCGGTTTGAAAAGCTCGCGATGATCCCACGCCGCACTGCCCCAAAGCACCGTTGTAATTTTCGTGGGCTGAATGCCTGGGAGATCAATCACCATGGGCCCGCGGAGAGACTTCTTGCCTAGATTGACGACGCTCAGCATTAAAGTCTTGTTGAGCATCCAGTAAGTAACCTCCAGCTCTTTATGCTTCTTCACCTTGAACTTCCTGGCCGGTGACTTTGTGAGAAGCTCGCTCACGATATCTTTATTCATGACATGCGAGAATTTCTCGTGGAGGGCTGTGGTCTCATTGTCCACTGGCCAGGCCCAGGGGAGGACTCCCCTTGCGCCGTTAGCGAGGGCGAGAGCGCTCATGGCGATGACTTCGTTGGCGCTTGGACTGACGGGTAAGGAATTCTCGCCGCTATGACTGGTCTGCAGGTTTTGCATCTTTGGCTTGGGCCAGTGGTTCAGCCACCTCTCGTACTGCGCCATTCGTTGAAGCCGAGTTGCTACGTCTACTACATTGCCTTTGCAGTTGTCGCAACCACAGCTGCCGTAGGTCGCATTGCAGCTTGTGTGCCATTTGGAAGCGCCGCTTCCGATGGGATGGGCATCTGCCACGATGATGTCGGCCCCTCTGGAATACTCCTCGAAATAATAGTTGTCGCATACAAGGCTGACGGCGATTGGATGATAGGGGTCAAGCTTCTTGACGAGGCTGCTTGCCTTCCACATGCGGGCGTGAGTTGCCGAGTGGCCATCTGGTTGGTCAAAGGTCCAATATGCGTAGAGGCCGTCCGAGTCTTTGATGGCTTCGACTTGTTCCCTTACCGCGCTCTGGTTCTTGTAGCTTTGACGCAAATCGTACATGTATCTCACACCGACAGAGTCCAGAGTACTGTAGACATCCCACGAGGTCGCTGAAGCAGGCATCATTGGCACCATTGAGTTTAGGCCATGACTACGGTACGCCTTGATGTTCTCAACGCTATTCTCATGGCATAAAAACCCCTCACAAGGGGCGTAGAATCCATATGGAAAGAAGGGCTCAAACTTGCTCCCCGGGCTGCTGCGCAAGAACAAGCCGCCAGTCAGATTATCAATCCTGACGACGTTGCCTTTTGACTTGGTCGGCAAGACGTATATCTCGCTCTTGGTAGTGAAAATGTACTGCCTGTGCCGGTCGAGCGGGAACTCCTCCTTACGGGGTGGTTGTTTAACGGGGAAGCTATCAGGCCTTCTCGGCTTGTAATCAAGCGATTTCGCCCTTCTTTTTGGGATGGGCGTGGCGTTGACCGTCACCTCGTAGGGATCAATTCTTGGCTGGAACTTGCCAAGATCGAACTTGAACCGATAAATGGGACGATCCGAGGTGGCGTTGTGCAGCTTAATGGTCGCATTAAGCTCGTCCTGAACAAGCAGCTCGCCAGTGGCCGTGTTTGTGATTGTGAAGTTGACATCAAACGGGTAAAGAAGATCCTCGTCCTCCATGTGTGGCCACGGGACGCCATGGTAGTCGGACGTTTCGGCATGGACGAAGAATTCACCCTCAGATTCATCGGCTATGAAGACGTTGTATCGCGGCTTGACGCGGATGTTCAGAGTCGAGAACTTTTGCATTTGTGGCTTCAAAAGCTGGCCACCAGGATTGAAGTCGGGGTACCTTTGATGAGGTTAGATATGGCCCTCTAGATGAGTTTCAGAAGGCAAAAGGGGGGATTTACTCTGGCATGTATGCTTTCCCGCACCACCGAGGCCAGTCGATATGCTCGCCGGGCTGTGCCGAGCAAAGCGACACGAAGAATATCACGAGCATCGCTGTCGCCCACATTTTGATTGACGGCTAAAACTTATAAAATAATACTATGTTTACCCTTATAGGTAACCTATAGAACCTATGGGATAGGTTTTCAATTCTAGCGATAAAGTCCTTGAATACCTAGGTATCATTTATTTCTTGCCCTGCTAGGCTAGTATATCAATATTCTTATGGATCAGGTGCTCGCTTATCATCGTTAATTAAGAAATCGCTCTTAGAATAAAAGCCAGATTATCAAAATCCCATATCAATGAAGTGCACTGTGATGTAGGAGGCTGCTCTTGACATTCGGCTCTTCTACTACAGCCTTAACCTTATTATTCCATTAATAACTCAAGCTTTGATAAAGCCTGTTCTCGAAGAAGACAAGTATTTACCGGTATATAACTCAAAAAGCTTAAATCTTATGCATACACGTACTCTCTTTCGTCGAAGCGATTATCGGGGATGTGCCATCCCAGCAAAGACGATTTGGCTGTCTCTCTCACCCACCCACCAAGCTAGGCCGATACTGTCTTATTTACAATATGGAAATTGTTCTTAAAGAAGTTTGAAAAAAAATACCCCCTCCCAACAGTGTCTTAAAAAACAAAGAGGCGATCGGCTGGAACTTGGCACAAATTTGTAGTCCATGGACTTCCTTGCGCCTGGCGGTGAATGTAGTGTTCTCGGTTGGTTATTTTGGATGAAGACGAGATGGTAGGTAGATGGCCTGGTATACTTTACCAATCAACGTATCATATTTTTCATATATCATCTCGACGCAAACGATACGGCATTTGAACGTGGCGCTGTTATTTGCCTCATTATGAGATAAAGGGTGCCTTCTAGAAGAGGAGGCATGTCCTATCCACATCATTATGCCCCTCAAAATATGCATTGGCGTTGATGATGTGGGTTAAAGTCAAAAACATCACAAGAAAAGAATAAAAATAGCTTGTTGAAGTTTTGCAACTGGCTGAAAATCTTTTGCATGTCAGCAGACCATGGAAAACGTTTTCGGCAGCAACTTATCTGAAGCCCTATAGTCACGATAAGTAAGTCTTCATAAAACCTGTTAATGTTAGTATGTGTGATAATGCCATTCCTTTGGAGTGGCTTAAGATGCCCAACCAGCCATCAGAGCCAGCCCCAGCTCCTCTTCCGGCTTCAATGCCCAATAATGACTCGACCGATTGTAATCATCTCATTAAAGAAAGCTATTATATACGTGTGTATCTACTAATTGATGAGCAGGGGAGACGCCACTACAGCTTGAAGACGAAAGTCTAGCACATATCAGTGCAATTATGCGCCAAGTTGGATACCAGCACTTCTATCATCATTTGAACAATGGATACTTGGATTGGGACTTTGTGTCCAGTGAGACGCTAATGTATATATGTGTACCTGCTGATTCAATCCCAAGATACGGCAATTACGTCCAGACAAGGATGATTTAAGTTTTGCTTGGCTCAATCTCTAACTCTATCTGACGGATCGGTCCGACAAAGCCACTGTCAAGCCATCAAACTTTTTAAGGGGAAGACTCTGTATTCAAGATCTGTACGCGTCAGCAGGAGATGGAAAAGCCTTTCCAAGATTACTCTGTATTTCTCGTCTCTGCGTCGTAATTTCGTCGTAATCCATTTCTTGGTGTGGACGGACCGATGTACTATATATAGAGGTCTCCCCTCCTCCCTTCACCTCTCCTGATTCTTTTTCCTTTGAAACTTACCTCAAAGACATTCCTGGTCATTTGCTCAGTCTTGTGAACTTTTCAATTCTTCTCACTCACATAACACTACCATCAAAGACAACAATCCTTCCACATGTCTTTTTCACTCTTTCCCTTGGTGGTATTCCTGTCTCTGGTGTGCATGACGAGTGCACGGCATTTCCTGGGGCCAGCCTCATTTGCATGGCCCCTACCGAGAGAATGGAACCGCACTTCTGACAACATTCAGCCTTGCGGAATGTCACCTCAAGGACAGCGGAGCAAGTTCCCCTTGCGTACGTTCTTTTCCCTTTTACCATGACTATCCCAGTCCTACAGTCGAGCGGCTTTGTCCTGACCGTCAACAGACAATGGATATCTGGCATTTCTCTCAGTATATGAGACGCAGAATCTGGAGGTGAAAGTCTCGTACAATTCGGGTACGTATTTATCCTACATGTACCCGCTGCACTTTTCCCATATTCCACAGATACACACCATTGTGCGAAACCGACCTGATGAAAAAAAAAGATCCCCAATCAGCCGCCGACTTCTCTCCTCTTCTGAAAAGGCGCATCTCTTACTACGGCGTTGGTTGGACCTGTTTCAAGATCAACGACGCCCCTCAGGGCATGGACGCTGGAGCCAATGCCACCTTCCAGCTGCGCTTCGACTCCAACTACGAGACTCCCATGCTCCGGTCCCATTTCTCCTGCGCAGACATCACCTACGTGGAGAAGGAAGGCCTCGACTTCGAGTTCCCGTGCGTCAACACCACCGATGTGGAATGGGAAGATCTGCCCACGCCCACGAAGAAGGACGATCCGCCAGAGCCCACCACCACTCCGTGGTCCCCGATCGTGGGGAAAAAGAAGAAGCTCAGCAGGGCGGCCATTTCCGGGATTAGCATAGGAGGCGCCGTTGTTGCTGCAGGAATAGTCGTCTTGATTTGTCGTCTGGTGAAGACTCATCGCGAGCAGAAAAGGCGCCAACAGGAGGTTCCTTGTGTATGGGAGCGGGGGAGTTACGGGGTGCCGGATATAGTAGCTGTACCATTCGACTTTTATGGAAGGCCTACGAGAAGATGATAGCATAACGAGAGAAAAAAGAATTAGTAACATTAAATTAAGAAAAAGAGTCCACATCTAGCACAACAGAGTCTGTAGTTGTTCTGTCGTGACCATCATGAGACTCGTACAATAAACAGTAGAGTAAAATCATGTAGAGCCAAAGAGCCAAGCTTGCGGATCTCGATACCTGACTGCGTACATGTGGCTGTCCAGGTATAATGATTAACTGACTCTGAGTGTCACAATCAAGTATTCAAGGCGATTAGGGACCGGACTACCAGCATACGCCCTAAAATTTTGAGAAATTTTGCTTTTATTTGGTTGCAATCTAGTCTCTCATAATGCATCATGTCATACCCATCGTTATCTCAATAATCCAGCTCCAACAGTGAAAGATAACGTCAAGTACATGTAGTAAGCAGTCTTTGTCAAGTACACAAAAGACAGCCAGGAAAAAGAGAAGCATTAAAGACAGAAAAAAAACAAAAACAGGCATGCTCCGCTCCCTTAAAACTCTATAAAACTTTGCGGTACCATCTTAGTCCGATGTCTCATCCAAATCGTTCCAAACAAACTTTGTCGTAAGATGTCCCAGTTTTCTGCGGCTGTGCTTTCCCTTATGTAGCCGCGCCATCTTGAAAGAACATCATTGTTCTAAAATATCATGTGTTCTTTGTCCATCCATGTTATGTGTGCATTCGCATGATGCTGGTTTAGAAAAAAAGAAAAAGAAAAAAAAGGTTGAAAAAAAGAGAGTGAGAGAGAGATGGCTGTGAGTCCTGCTCTACACAGTAGTCTCCTTGTGTCGAGACTCAGGAGCCACCAGTGACTTTTCCCACTCGTCCATCAGATTGTTGGCGGTCCTCTTAAGGTTGCTCGGGGATAAATGATGAACCACGCTAGGAAGTAGGTCCTCCAGCGCTGGTGAAAGAAGCAATGTATCGGATTTCCTCGCCCTATAGTTATTGGCATCCAAAATCAGCCATTCATCCCTGCACACAGATCATGAAATCAAAACAGGAGAGAATATCCTTACGGCTTGGCATCTTCCTCATCCTCTTTTTCCGGAATGTCATCAATGCCACTGCTATTAACGGTAGAACCACTCCAGCGGGCAGACTTGGTGGAGACGGGGGAATCCCAATTGGACCAATCAGTATCGTCAACAGAGTCGAAACCAAGCGGTGTCCAGGAGAATTGCTTCCCTCTCCCAGTCTTTGGCTTCAGCTCGGGGGTTCTGTTAGCTTGGGATGAGGTCGACGTGGCCGTACTGGAACCTTCATTACTGCTGGTCCTAGTGTGGGTGGTAGTATCATGGTTCGGCTTACTCGTATCTTGCTCACGAGCACTGGCGATGGACGTCGAAAAGGGTCGCTGCGACTGGCCGTTGACCGGTTCATCTCCCACGGTAATCTGGCGAATATCCTCTACAAAGGCGCGGAATCCTAGCTTAAAGTCTTCGACGATGGAAGGGACGCCGACAACGGATGCTACACTTTGCTGGGACCGTGGTTGCCAGGACGAGCGTTTCGATAGGGTCGGGTTGGTGAGCTGGGCCGTTCTCTGTTCCACCGTTGGGAGGGCGATCGGATCTGCCTGTTTCACTTCATTGAGAGATTCATTGAGAGAGAAGACGCTGTCTGTCCGGACAGGGGAAAGAAGAGACAAGGTGCGGGCGTGGCCACCGCGCATCACCTTGCGGCGGGACTGCGCGGGAGTGGTTTGGCCGTGAAGGATTTGCTTCCGGCGATCCAATTCGACACTGCGTCGAGACGCCACCAAGGCATCATCGTCAATGCTGGCCTGGGAGCTTCCAAAGAGTTCAGCTCTCTGGCTATCGCTCCTCTTGCGGTAGACCTCCTCTGAAGCCCACTGCTTCTTCAGCTTTGCCAGCTCAACTTCGGCCTGTGCAAGTTCCTCCTTCAACTCCAAGACTCTCCGCTCCTGAGCTGCAATTGCTATTATGAACTCATTTGCATTAGATGGAGAAGTCGCGACACTGGCAGGAGTCTCCAGCGGCGTTTGGGGAACAGACGAGGCGAATGCTGACGCAGTCGTTATGGCCGGTGAGTCGGCCAGCCTGGGGTCATCTACAAGCTGCAGGGCAACGGGAAGAGTAAGAGAGAGGCGATTCTTGTGGCGAGAGACGGAGGGAGATGCACGAGGGCGGCCTCGGGTGAAGGAATCGCTGCGAGGAAGCGGCGGCGGAAGCATCGCATCGGTGGTATCAACGGTGGAGGAGCTGGACGCACTGTGCGATCGTGAGATTCCAGGGGAGGATGAGGAAGACGAAGCGAACGTGGTGGTTCGGGCACGTGTCGTAGCCGACTCGGCGGCCGGGCTGCGATCGACCGCAGACGAGCGGAGGCGGATTTCCTGCTGCTGCGAGGCCATGTCGAGATATTTCGGGAGATTGATGCGTGCTCGGAGCGACAACGACTTGACGACTAGTAGAGAGTGGCTGCCATCAACCGGACGGCGTTTTGGGGGGTGCAAAGGAGTGGCTGGGCCCTGGAGGCGCCGTAACAGAACGAAGACGACCGCTACGCGGACAAGGAGCGCTCTGTGGTGGTCCTGGTCGATGTTCTGATATTCATCGAAGAGAGGGTGCGTGCTGCGGTCGTCGATGCAGATGCCAAAGTGCAGGCCACTCATGGGGCAGCCGGCGCTGATAAGGAGACGCAAAATCGGTCGCTCCCGCGGCTGCTGCTAGCACCGGCGGAGCCCTTTCCAGGTTCGCCCAGTCCTTGAACTTGAACTGATTGAGGCCTGTGGGTGCCGTTTCGTTTCAGCGCAGGCCACTTATTGGACGAGCGGCCGGGGTCGCCTCGCTGGTGCCCAAACGACGGCCGGGGTTGTTTTTTTCGTCAACAAGGCGCTGTGATTATCTGGGGCTAGGCCGCCGGCTTAGTCTGGTACCAACCAGAGTAAACAGAGGCGGTGGGTGGCGGTTGTGGGTAGATTTGACGGGCGAGATGTACCGGCGCAAGAGGGAAGAGGAGGCGAAACGGAACGGAACGACAAAAAGAGCCTTTTCAGGCGATGCGCAAGAGGTGAGGGGTTCTTGAGTCTTTTTTCCTTGCAGTCGGCGTTGACGTCGAGATCTGCCTCGTCTCCTCTTCTGGCGCAGGAGGGGGAATGTCTCGGTCAGCAGGCGAGCGATCCAGGCAAGGCGAGGCGAAGTGGTGGTGAGCGCTGTGCTGTACTTGGTGGTACCTATGGCAACCCCTGCTGTATCGTCTGCTGCGTTATCCCGGAGTAGCACTTGTGCGAGCGTGCTAAGTAGTTTAGAGGTACTCTCGGCTGGTATAAAGAGGTTGAAATCGCCTTTACAAGCGTCTAACATGCGCTCTCCCGCGTGGCGGCCATGTATAGTAGTTATAGCAAGTTCATCGGCACCGCCTCGTACGAGGGAAGTCAGACATTCGCATTGGGCTCCCTTGCGGACAAGTCAACTGACTTGCACGCTGGAACCCGAAGCCGCCAAACCCGCCAGAGCGCAGCACATCTTCAGTGGATCGCTAGCACCTAGTAGTTGACTCTCAGGGGCTCGGCGGAGAGGGCGAGTGGGGGCACGGCCTAGCGCGTTAATGCTCGATTGCAGGCTGGTGGCTGGAGCTTACAGGCGGTGCGCAGCCCAGCGACAGCTACAGCATAGCAGCTGATGGAGGGGTCAGGCAAGCAGGCTAACGTCAGTAGTACGAGTACAAGGGATTGGGTACCGATGCCAAGTGCGATTAGGCTCATGGTACGTGATCTCATCGCCATGCGCCGTACAGGTACTCGCGCCTAAAATACGTGCTCGCTGCCCTTGCTTTTCTTCGACTTAACTGTACTACTACTAGTAGTAGTACTCGTAATAGCACGCAGCAGCGTATAGGATTTCATGTACTGCTTGAACTTCAAGACTCCCCAAATTTCCGCGATATACGGCGAGTCCTGGTCGAGCGGCGCTGCCGTGTTTCGCATGACTTCTTCCTTGCGCCGTCCTGTAATAAGAACGAGCATGATTGATTACATGGATACTGTAGCTGATGTGTTTTTTTTGTTGAGTTTGTGACTGGTATCTTCCTGACTAACACTCTGCCGCCAACAAAGCTTCTCTGCTTCTCCACAGCCGGCTGCTCTTCCAAAGGGCTGCAGCCCATTTCACGTGCGGCCCGTTCATGTGACTTCCCGTCCATCTCGCGTCGCGTGCCCATTGATCCATGTCCCGTATCCTGTCAATGTGAGTGGAGATTTCCACACGCATTCGCTTCCCGGCAGCTTCTGGTCCTATCGCGCGGCCACAGGCGCTTCCCTCCATATGCAAGCCGTGATCACGGGCATCTCGTCGCTCTTGTTCCGGGCGTTTTAAGCTTTGAGCTGGAGGGATTGTCTCGCAGCCTTGCCGATCTAGCCTTGCGATACTGTGGGGGCCTCCGACTACCTCCATGTTGACTGACGCGTCATACCCATCCGAAATAGCGGGCGAGAATCGGCGAGAGATGTCGAGCGAAAATGCCCTTGCCATTCTCCCTGGTCTGTGATTTGTTGGAAGAGGCCTATATCCTTGCCACGACTCGCAAGCCGTTCAACCAAGTCTTTGTGGCTTGGTGTGCTCACCATCGCAGTCGTATAAATGAACCCGACACAAATCTAGCAGCATTGTTATCTACGCTGCTGCCCGAAAAGAGAACAGACAGGGTATATTGTATTCAGGCAAATGGTCTTGAGCGCATCATCAGTCGTGCTTTGATGCTTGGCTCTTCTCGTATCAAGGAACTCGCCATCTATAAGCAGCCCGGCCTCGGATTAGATCTTGGTGATTGCGTAGAGCGTATCCTGAATGCTACTGTAAGCTACGACGAAATTGCCTTAATTTGGAGAAGCGTGATCTGATCCATCTCTAGCCCAATCCGATTTTCCCGGAAACGCTTGAGGTTACTGTCGAGGAAATCGACGAGGCCTTGCACTCTGTTGCAGCCAAAGTGAAATGGAGCTCGCCAGCTATAAGAGCCTCAGACGCTAGCTTTGCCGAATCACCTGGTCGCAGCGTTTTGGAAACGATCTATAGACGGCTCTCTGCTAGAGATGCCAAGTGGTTTACAAGACTTGTTCTGAAGGACTTTCAGCCTCTGGCGTTTGACGCATACCAAGTGTATCGTTCCTGTGATTCGATTTTACCATCAATTTTGCAAATCCGCCAAGACTTTACCATTGCTATCGAAACTATACAAAGGCTTAGAAAAGATAGTCGATCCTTAAACCAGGGATCGGCATATATTGACCAAAAATGTTTGGCACAGATCAAGCCACAGCTTTCGACCAAAGTGGGGAGGCAGCAGTGGTTTAAAGCTCGCAGCATCAAACATTGTATTGACATGTGCACAGGCTTAATGAGCGTTGAGGCTAAAATTGATGGAGAATACTGCCAAATCCATGTTGATGTCAGCAGAGGCCGACGCGGCGTTCAAATCTTTTCCAAGAGTGGGAAAGATAGCACCGAGGACAGAAAGCGTTTAATCGGGTATTTACATGCTATCAATTTTACTACTGGGCTGTTAGACTAACTATCCGAATAGAATTATTACGGATTCCTTAGGAATAGGAGAGGTCGGATGCAGTATTAAGACAGAATGTATCTTGGAAGGAGAATTGGTAGTTTATAGCGAGTTGGTAAGTTGCTCTTGTTGACTGCAAGGTAGGGCGTTTTATTGACAGAGCTACCGAGTTAGGAAAAGAAAATCCTCCCTTTTCATCATATTCGCAAACACGTCGCTCGTCGCGGCTGGTTCATGAATACAGCGGAGGATATCCCGTGAGTCTGCCCTTCAAGATTGCTGCAGACCGCAAAAGTTACTAATATGTCCAGGCCGAGACCCTATGAACACCTAATGATAGTTTATTACGACATCTTGCTTCTCGATGGCCGATCGTTACTAGATGTTCGGCACTCGGAACGCTTTAAACTGCTTGAGGAAATAGTTCGTTGTGATAGGGGACAGGCTGAACTCATACAAAGGCAGATTATCAATACCAATCACCCAATGGCAGCTTCGGCATTGCGAAATGCATTTGCGAAAGTCATCACGGACAGGAGCGAAGGCCTAGTGCTAAAAGCAGACCAGCCGTATTTCAACTTTCATAACCACAAACGACCATTCAGCAATCATTGCATCAAGCTCAAAAAAGACTACATCGGCCGCTTTGGCGAGGTTGGCGACTTTGCCGTGGTTGGAGCTGGCTTCAGTGCGGCAAAGGCAAGATCATACAATATTGACAATCTCAAATGGACTCATTTTTACGTGGGTTGCATTGATAACAGGGAGCAAGTCAAGCGATGGGATGCTACTCCCGAATTTACTGTCATAAATGTTGTTGAGCTTAATGAAGCCATGCTCAAGACGTTCTTGTCATGTACAAGCCCAAAACCAATCCCAGTGGAAGGCAATGTCAAGACCAAAGTGATATTTGCTGCTGGAGCACAGACAGTACCTATGACCGTGGCATTTACCGATCCCCCCGTTTTCGACATGAGATGCTTCAGTTTTGACAAAGCAGGCAACACAGACTGGTGGAGTTTGCGATTTCCATCTGTTGCAAAGATTCACTTTGACCGAGATTATTCTGATGTACTCTCTTTCGATGAGCTACAAAAGATTGCAGAGGCCGCCACTGCTGCTCCTGAGTTGGAGGATAGCCAGGATAATCTGGCATGGATCGCGAAGCTAGAGCAGGCAGACCCAAGAGGATTAGCTGTCGATGCTGCCACGCAGCTAACAGCAACAACTATACAAACGCCATCGCCGAGACGGGCTTCTCATAATTCGTCCGCCTCGCAGCCTCTCATCAGATATGTCGGCGAAGGCTCCCTAGAGCGATCAGTTGAACTCTTGGGCACCCCAGTGCCAGAGCCTCAGAAAGTTGCTGCAACGCAACCACCCCCAACTGTGAACCCTTTGAAGATCTCTCTTTTCGCTAATGACAGGCGAAAACGTGCTGTATCTCCGCCGATCTTCTTCTCTCCGTCGAAAAAGCGTCGTGAGATTTCTATAAATGAGACCCCGCCACGAGACGCTTCGAGCCACATGCCCCAGTCTGAACCACCAAACCGTCGCGCATTGGGGGAGATAAATGGTAATTCAGTGCAAGTGCCTCGCGTACCGGCATCGCATCCCACTGACTGGCCGCCTAAAAGTCAAAAGCAAAATTTCTCCCATCATTCTATGGGCAATTTGGAGAAAGAAAAAAGTAATCATGATGCATCCACAGAGTCGTCGTCTTCATCCCCTTCATTACATGACAGCGCTATTGCAATACCAGATAGCGAGGATGAGGATGACGACACCGACGACAACGTTACCGTCTCATCTTCGCCTCTGGCGAGAGGAGATAGTGAGCAAATTGAAGACAAAGAATATCCATATCAAGAAATTAAAAAAGCCGAAATTACCTGCCGATATGTTAGATATAAATGCCAGCTGGCTAATCGACTCATCTTACTACCATCGTACCTTTCGGATATCGAAGAACTCAACCCCTTACTTCGAGCCCACGGGATAGCGAACATCGTCAGTGACGCTGAAGCTTGGGTCAAGGAGAATGCAGCCAATATTGCTTTATCCCTAGATAGACAAACAGGGCCTAACAGAATCCTGTTTGTCGACTCGGTAGGCAAAGAGCCAGAGACAAAGGCTTTGCTCTCTACACTGGAAGATATCCGTGAGACTATTCTCGAAGAACGACGGGAATGGATAAGTGTGTTTGATTGGCGTGTTTTGAAACACCTTACTATTTACGAAGACGAAGAGAATACGAAAAAGTATTATGATGGGTTTCAAGATCCGTGGCGGCGTTGGTACTGTGGGCTGGTCTAGATAACAGTCTTTGTGGCGGAGGATGGGAGGCATCTTTCCCCTTTTGATTTCTTTCTCTTTTTCTTAGGCGTAAAAAATGAGTGGGATTATATGTATATGGCGCTCATAATGATAACAAGACATTAGACTTTTATATACTTCAAAGCTATCAATGATTAGATGTAAGGTTCACGGCTTCTCATCATACAAAGTCCCGTAGCTAGCCTTTAGTCTCATGAAAAGATGCTCATTTGCCGTCATGACCTTTCTCTCAGCATACGGGTTCTGATTGGGATTGCTCTCATCCGGCACAAAGTTTCTCACCCTATCACTCGGCACAGGCTCCAAGGGTATTGTTCCCTTAGGGTGACAGAAGAAGGCAATCGAATACCGCGGCGCGGAGCTCGTTTCGCCGTCCACTCTGCTCACCTGATTATCAGAGGGGAAGACCACCCTATGGACGGTACTTCTGAACAGCCCGTTGGTCCAGTAAGAGAGCAAGTCTCCAATGTTGATCAGAATAGGGGGGCTGACGTCGTCCTCTGAGCCAGGCGGGCAGACGGGCACAGGGGCCCAAGTACCGTCCTTCTTCTGGAGTTCCAAGCCGGCTTGGCCCTTTAGCCGGAAGAGCAGCGTGATGGAGCCGTAGTCGGAGTGTGCGCCGGCGCGGATGTCATCGCTGGAGCGAGAGGTTTGATCAGGGGGTGGGTAGCGGAGAAGACGTAGGATGGAAGCGGATTCGCCGTTTGTGCCGTGGGCTGAGGAGAAGAAGTCGCCGACCTGGTTGATGTGAATAACTCTTGGATGAGCAAACAGTAATGAAAGGGGAAGCTACTCACGCCAAGGCCTATTCCGAGGAGGTGCAGCAGTTTCTTGCAGAGCTTGTGGCAGGAGTCTGCAAATGCTTGAATCTGAGGCTCGTTGCCAGCAATGGTGGGAGGGAGAGGCTGCTGGGCCTTTCCATTGACAAATTCGCCAAAGTTGAAAGCTCTTTACGGAGATGAGAACGCTTATAATGGTATGTTGGTATGAGAGGGGGCCAATCTTACTCTTTGAAGTCTCCAACCTAAAAGGAAATATTAGTCGCCTGACAGCTAATGCGTCATAGTGTAGAGGGAGGAGTGTACTTTTTGGTTCTTGGGGTCCAGGGTCTCCGAGTGCATGCCAGACCAGCCGCGGTTATCTGTGTTGATGGTGCAGGCCTGTTTTTCTTCTACAGGGGCATCAAACAGCTTCTTTGACTGTATTGAGTCCCAAAGTTAATCTATGAGCAGCATATCTTGTGTGAAAATGTTGAAAGGGAGCCTTACCAGTGCAAAGGCTCCATCGATGCTGCTACTGGAGATGTCTCTCCCGAGATTTTTTATGTAGATGAAGCCGTGTTCTTGAGCGGCGTCGACTAATTGCTGGGCCACGACATCTTGGTCTCCTGATATGTCGATAATGGGGATGTTTGCTGTGGCAGTCATAGTGAAAGAAGAGGCTTGGCTTTTACTTTCCTTCTTTTTCTCCTCTAATGAAACAAGGTTTGTATGTCCGATAGTATAGCAGTATGTGGAGAGAAGAATGGAAGGCGATGGAGATGGAGAGGCTCTCGTAGATACACCTACTGTACTGTCATACGATGTACAAGCAGATAGCTTAGGCAAGTTTTACAATCTTATATGGATCTCTAGCCCTAGCCGCTATGGCTGGCGACGTTCCGGGATCGCTGCGATAACCACCCATAGGCGCATGTAGGCAGGCATTAGAACACCCCGCCTCCAAAGCTTATGCTCTGCGAGGGTTTCTATGGCGGGGTTGTTGGCGGCGTGGGAGCTTCCCCACTACTAGATCCGGCGGTTGAGGCACGGCGAAGTGACATGAAATTGATGACACATCAATGGGATATAGGCCCCATTGTGAAGATAGAGTCCATCTTTTGTATGTGTCTTTGAAACCTTATTTTATTTCAATGGATTATCAAATTGTATACATCCGTCGAAGAGCTCATCAAGGTTCTAGTACTACAAGTAGAGATAACAGCTCCCTCGTAATACCGAGGCTCCATTTCAGCCCAGGTCCCGTATCTAACCAGCCACAAGCATAGCCACACCCGCCACATCCGCAATGGGCAAGGCGTTCACCGTCCCTGGATTAGCCAGAGCAAACCTCCTGCCGTGGGCGCTTGCCTTTGCATCTCCACCGTGCAGCGACCACTCTGGAACTGTCTAGACCTTGCCTCATTATCTCGCCTCGTTCCTTTTTTTGTCCCTCCACAACGACCGCTCTGCCTCCCTCCCGCAGGGCTGACCATCGATCACCGCTTTTCTCGGACGCGGCTGTTGGGGAAGTTGCCAGTTTCTTTGTTGCCGGAGAACAAGCTTTGGCCAAGCTTTGGCGCGCAGCCTTTTATCCTTCATCCTTCAGCCTTTGTTTGCTGTCCTCCAAACAAGCCTGCTTTGGCTGTGCCTTTCTCTCTCTGCGGCTTGCATTGGGCACACGCACTAGGAAGCCTTCAAAGAAGCTTTCATTCTTCGAACCCACATCTCGCCGAACCCTCGATCCCATAAAGTCGACGACACACCCTGCCAATTACACCCGCTTCCTTGCTGTCTCGTTTCCGCTTGTCCTTTTTGGTAGCCAGCAATTCTCAGCCTCGTCTTGAATCAGCCCACCCACCACCTCGCCGCTCCCAGTCGCATACCGATTCCAATAAACAATAAAGCTGCTTAACCTGAGGAGGATTTGCTCGAGATGCCTTGTGAGTCTTTTCCTGAACCCTGCAAGGCCTGCGCCGAGCTCGGCGAAACGCATGTCCTGTTGCTCGTGACTTTTCTTGCGCTACTTGTGGCGGGCACGTTCTGGGTCCTGCGACTCCTCGGGCCGTCGCGGCGGGCTTCTCTGAGATACTATAGCAGCATGCAAGTGCCTACTTTGCTTTTTGATTTTGTATGACGGCTCAATTGGTGGATTGGGCCAGCACTTGGAATAGCTGTATTCTTCTCTCAGGAGGCTGCTGCATCGGGAATTTCGTGTCCTTGGTGTCCTTGCCCATGCTGCCTACAATTTCGCTCTGAATATATCTCGACTATAGAAAGAGACGCATGCTAATTTCTCCATCATAGACCTTGTGGAGGATTCCTGGATCAATGGCCAGGCAAGGTATGCTGACTCTACTCCCCTGGCAAACGAGAAGTCTGTGCTGATGACCTAGTAAAGCACCTACAACATTTCCGACCTTGAAGACTGCACCATTGCTATCGATGCTTCTTATTTCCTGAGCCTCCTTCTAGATAACGAACCTTCTCGTGAGTCTTTGCTTCCTGCACTAGGGGGCTTGACGGGCATCCATTATCATATCCACCAACATCTTGATCTCTGGGACAAGCATCGGATCACCCCCTTTTTCATCTTTGATGGCCAATCCTTAGTTGGGCAAGATGAGGTCACTTTGACGCGTGCCAGAGCTGCAAATCAGAGGACGGATCAGGCATGGGTGCTGTACTTGCAAACCGAGGGCAGAGAAAGTGTCGATGTCTTCAAGAAGAACCCAGGTATGCTTTCTTTCCTTTGAGCTGGCGCAGAAGTAAACTAACCAATTGAATCATGGGGAAAGAGGTCTTTCGTCTTCAGAATTTATACCCTCTCTTTCAAAGTATCTTGAAAGAAAGAGGACTGCACTTTTTGGTCCCTCCCTACACCGCGTGCGCTCAGGTTCGTTGCACCCCCATCCCCCTTTTCTTTGCAGCACAAGCAACCAAGTCTAACGTATGCAAAAGCTTGCTTATTTCGAAATGATTGATTCGGAACTATGCGCCGGCATAATGGGGCCTCAGGAGTTGCTTCTATACCCTATCAACGAGTCAGTCATTCGCAACTTCGACTGGGATGCCGGAACTGTGACCGCCATCTCAAAGAAGAGGGTCATGCGTGCACTTGGAGTTAACGAATCCATGTTCATCGACGCTATGCTCATGACAGGGACGTCGTTTCTCCCTACGTTTCCGCCGCTGCAGGACACCTCCATTTACCCAGCCCCCTTCACCATTGCGGAGGCAGTTAACATCCTGCGGACCTCAGATAAGGCTGTGGTTAGCGCTTGCGCCTCCTTCAATGACATCTTGCAAGCAAAAGACCCCAACTGGCTAGACAAGTATCGCAAAGCCAGAATGGCAGTCCATCACTTCATCTACATCGCTGAGAGTGGCGAGGTCACGGTTCACGACTTCGACCAGCTCACACAAGACAATCATGAATACCTCGGTCTTCAGATGCCTGCAGAGCTATTTCACTATCTCAACACGGGTCTAATCGGTGCTCGTATCTTGAACGGAATAACACACGGGCAGATTCTCGTCTTACCGACTCTGGATGGCACTGCTTCTGACGAATACAAGAAGCTCGTGACTAACCAACTTCTTCCCATCAAAGAGCAAGCCCTCGGCCTCATCATTCCAAGAATTCACAGGGGAATTGGTCACAAGGACATCACGATGAAGGTTTGGTTCGATCCGAATTACTCTTATACTTTCAACCATCGCTCTACCCAACCACCCCCATCTCAGCGGGTGGCAACCTGGGATGTCAAGGAGAAAGACCTGCGCCACTTCTATCCAGCGGATTTTGGTAGCCCAGTGTACTTGGAAGTGGTTGCTCTTGCAAGCCCGGACTTTGTCGCGAAAACAATCTCCAAAGAGAAGCCTATCCGCGGCATCGACAGCACTGACATGGTGGTATCGGTCGCCATCTGGCGCTTTCTCCACCTCAGGGGTTATATTGACGACTCTCACAAGCTGACGAATTGGGGAAATGCCCTAGCAACCACGCTTCTTGCCATCAACGACGCATCGAAAACAAAACCTGATGTCCCAGGCATCAATGAAGCTGCCTTGTTGGCGTTTGAATTATTGCGTTTTGGACTTTTGAGCGGCAAATATGTTCAAGGCGCGCCTGGTATGCCCCGGAGGGGAACAGATGACGAAAAGTCGAGTGTGGTTCTCATTAGCCAATGCGCTACACTGTTGAAGTTGAGACACGACGTGTGTGGATACACCGGACCTTTGAATAAGCATCTAACGGGATTCCGTGGGCTATCGACAACGGTTCGCGAAGCTGACAGAGACTTGATTGAAGCAATTGTGGCGTCCATGTTCATGTATGGCCAGTCCAAGCGCGAAAGGGCTGATCAGCTACAAATCAGCCAGAAGTATGACGACTCTCTTGCTCCCTTTCAATATGGTTTGCACTTGGACAACTTTGATCGCTAATCTTACTTAGGCTTCCTTTCTCACAAGAGCCGGATATTACACTCGGCATCGCCACCTTTACCTTCTTTGAGGAATATGAGCACACAGACGATGAGAAGGAGCAAAATAAGCGGCTGACAGATTTCTCAGCACACTATGTACCGCACGCAGAGGCGTTCGTTGAAGATCTCCGCATTGCCCTTGACTTCGTTCGCGCTCTCAACCAAGGTGTGCAGACACTGGATGCAGCCTCATTATCGCCAAATGAGAAATCGATCTGGGCAAAAGCCCAAGATTACATCACTGCCAGGCCATTTTACGGATCCGCCACATCAGATGCTTAAACAGATAAGCATAGAAAACAAATTTAGCAAGATAAACAAGCAAGAAAAGTCCGCATGATCATGGATAGCCTCTTTAGATACCACCCTGTACTGCGTTGACATTTCTAATATTTCACAGAGGGTTTGCACCATGAGTAAGAGGTATATGTTGGGGGGAGACGTGGCGGCGAGAAGGAATCAATTACTACTGTTTGGTTCACACAAACCATGTATGATCTCATTTTAACGAGACGATTTGCGTCTTTGAAAGAACAAGAGAAACAAAAAAAAGAGGAGATGTAGAAGATGAGCATTCAGGAAGAGGGTTCTGTACTCGTTTCTGACGGATGCAGTATCGTGGGCTGGAGAAGAGAGGGGACGTAATCGACTATCGGAAGAAGCGGAAAGGTCTTTTGCGAGCGACAGCTTCTGGAGGTAGAGAATAGCAAACACACTTAGATGATAGCAAGATCTTGGAAGTTTGCGTTTCAAATGGCTTCTTTTGTGTGTTAATATCAGTGTGATCCAAACGAGACATTCCATGATGATAAAAGAGTCCTCAATATCAGACCTGCATCGCAGGCAATTTCAACGCCGTAAGTTCTGGGGAGCAGGTTCTGGGGAGCAGACTTATAGTCGTATACGTAGTGCCTACTCATAATATCACTGACATTTGTAAAAGCATAAATTAGCTGGTTATCACCTGTAGCTCATTTACTCTGGCAGACAAAACGCTTTATTGGTAGCACAGGGATTTTCACGCTGGGTGTGGAGGGCGCTACTTGCGGTGCGGTGCCACGGATGTTTCATCTCAAGGTTATCCGAGTGACAGGCTCCTTGGCTTCTGGGATGGCGTGTGAGATGAGATCTGTCTTGAAAGGCCTAGGTTTTAAGTAGCTGCTGAGGGGAGTTTGAGGTGGGCTTTGATAGGGGATCGATCTACGTATGTCGTTGCTTTCAGAGGAACAAATGTGTCTTGGAGTAGATGTTAATGTAGAAAAAAGTCGAAGATGAAGCGTATCAAAGCCTGGGTATCAATGTTTTTCTTTGTTGTGCGCTTATATATGTACACATATGTCTAGCTATATCAGCGATATACAATGCGGGAAAAGATGAAATGAAATGAAATGAAGAGAAAAGTAAAGTATTGCGTATATTAAATAAATTTGACTCGAAAATTCTTTTTCCTAAATTTTCTCCCCCACGATTCTCCTTCTTCATCGCCCCTATGATACCGTAATGGCAATAGGACCGGCAACAGTAATATCATCTGTCAGAGCACCTGTCAAAGGCGCCGAGCTGGACAGCGAGAGATAGGTGATGCCGGCAACTCCCTCGGGCACCTTGCAGCCGTCGGCTTCGGTAAAGGGAGTGAACATCGTGCCACCAGGGTTGACGCCACCAGAGGTAAAGGCGCAGAACTTGCCGCCGGCAGAAGCAGAGGATTGGAGCTTCAGGACCGAGTTGACGGTCGTAGGATCGGTGGGGCTCGCCAGGCTGAGAGTAGGGAAGGCAGTGAGCTTGAGGTTTGAGCCGCTTGGGCAAGATGCGATGAATGGAGCAGCGAGAGAGAAGACTGCCTTGGGGCCGAGAGGGGCATCGAAGCCTTGAGGCACGGCCTCCTGCTTGCTGAAGACACGGATGGAGCTCTGGTGACGAGCCTCAATGGTGAGAATGGAGCCGGCAACACCAAGAATAGCCGGGGATGCCAGCAAGGGGGCAGCGCCCAGGTAGGCTGAGATGCCGACGTTCTCGAGAATAGCAGCCGTTGCGACCATGCCGGCGGCATCGGTGAAGCCAAAGTTGTAAGTGCAAGGCGCGACGGGCTGGATGCCGTTCTGCGCAAGCGCGGACTGGAGGACGATAACGTGCTCGGACTCGGTGAAGCCAATCTGCGTCAGATCCTTGATTTGAGCATCGCTAAGGCCGAGAGCAGTGAAATCAGAGGCAGGGAATTTTGCGAAACCCTGTTGATAGAAGGCATTCTCGAGATTCTCCAGAGTCAAGGCGCTACCGAAAAGTGTAAGTAATTTTGCTCCAGTTCAGATACCGTGTTACTAGTAGTGTTGAAACTTACAATTGCAGAATGTCAAAATCATTGAGACCGAGAGCCTGGGCAGCAGCATTTTGCCTCTTGGCAACATCATGGTACTGCAATTGCCGAGTAGTGAATCTAGGCACCGATGGGAGTGCGGCAGCAGTAGCAGCCAGCAGAGAGATTGCGGCAGTTCTGAGAGAAGGCATCTTGACAATATTTTCTTGTCGAATTTATTCTGTTGCGTCTCTTTTCGTTTTTATTTATTTGGTCTCGACAGGGGGAAATCACTCGTCAAGTATGGTCCAGCCGTGCAGTTATGCGGTAAGAATGAGCGTAAGGAAAGTAAAATGAAAAGATCGAGTCAAGAGAGTAGAATAGAATATTAACGAAAGGGTATACCAGCAAAAGCAGGCCAGCGCTTTTTGACAACCCAAGTAAGAAAAAGAATGAGAGACGGATCGGAGCGAAACGATGAAGATCAAAAAGAGAAAAGAAGAAGCATCCAAAGAGCGCAACAACAGACTTATATCCAGATCCAGCTGGTTGATTATCTCTTTTGTAGGTCGCCAGCTAATTGCCTAGTCGGGTGTAAGTGAGGATAATAAGCCCAAGGGGCTACCGGAACGTGGGACAAACCGTCATGGCGGCTCCACGAGGATCCGTTTCTAGGCCTCAATTCCTCTGAATCCTCCCCCCCAAATGGACGGACCCGAGCCTCAAGCTCTGCCCCCTAGACCTCGAGGACGAGTCCGGAACCTCCCACAAGCGAAGCTCCCCCAGCTATTCCAGCAGAGCCCTGGTTCATTTAGCTCGCCCCGAGCAGCGCCCAGCCCATGGTCCGAAACAAATCTGATACACGCGCAAAATCAGTGGCCCGGAGGTAATCTCTTCCGCCATTGGAGGGGCCAGATGCGACCAGGCTAGCTTTTAACTTTAATTGTGTCCTTCTTTTCCCTATCCAATTCTGCTGAACGTGTTCGCTCCGTATTTCGTTGAGTGGAGGACGGGACTGGCGTGCGCGCGCCTTGGATCATCGTTAGCGCGTGCGTCATGACAGCGGAGAGAGAGCTCATGTCGCACGATGAAGCAGCAAGCGCAAGCGTTGTTATCGTGACTTTTCCAGCGTTTACTGATGCTGGGGCATCACCATTTGCATCAGGGCTGTTCCTCTCTTATTCTTTGGATGGATATTGCTCGCAATGCCTCAGGCACCCGGCACGTGGGTTGACTTGGCGGATTTATGTAGACAAGGTACGGAAACCGGAGAATCTTGTATAACATTCTACACAACCAAATTTAATTACTACTAGTAGTAGTAGAGCACCAAGATAGCCATCGCCAACCGTCAGCTTTCTTAACAGGGGCCGTTTTCTTATGGAAAGCGCCAGAAGTTCGGCACCAGTGACTTGACCATGTTACCAATCACAGAGACCCTGCGTGTCACCAAACTGACAAAAGATAGCCTTCTCTTGGCAGCTCCACCGGTAGCCCTCCCCATAACTCCAACCGTTTCCAACCCGGTAGAGCATGGATGTTTCTCGACAAATGTTTCAACTGTCTCGGGATCCTATCAGCCGGGCAATCTATCAGATTCTAGTCACAGCTTGACACATGCATCCATCAACAATCACATTGACATATTCATACATGTACAAGAATGCCCAAGCGCGCGCGTTAGCAATGCTCGCCCTATCATCACCCATCCTTTCGGCTAACAGTACATATCAACCATATCTCATTCTGCTCCATCTTCTGCGCAAGTCTCCCCCATTACATCAATGCTTTTGCCATTACATGAAATGCGTCGCCTTAATAACCATCACGTGGCCACTGGCGTAGGTATTTCTTGCCAATCCGCTTTACCGTGTGCCAGATAATAAATAAATATACACCACACATCACTGCTAAAAACAAGCAACTATACTCGGCCGACTGCCTTGTAGCATTCACCGATTACATCAATCTGCCCACTGCTTGCTCTTTCTTTCCTTCTCTGTCTCTCTCTCTGTCTCTGTCTCTCTCTCTCTCTCTCTCTCTCTCTCTCTCTCTCTCTCTCTCTCTCTCTCTCTCTCTCTCTCATTCTGTTGGTCATCTTCAATCTCCTCTAAACGTTTACTCCCATCACAAGGCGTACGGGTTCAGAGACCGGATGGTCAGGCATCTATTGGCAATCGCATGTTAGCATGAATCAACGTAGCGGTTATAAATTGAATGGTACTCACGGCGGGCTCTTGGTAAGATCCGTCTTCAAGATGATTGGCACGCGGGTCATCTCCGTCACGTCTTGGATGTAGTCTCCGCCCTCTTCCCGTAGAGTAAACAGCTTGAGGTATTTCTCCTTGTTTGTCAGTCGGGTTTCTACAGCCTCTGTAACAGGGACCTTGGAGTCAGATCGAGTGCGGTGCAGAGCTCCAGCGTTGGATGCCGATCGTGCTGGTGATCCAGGAACGCTCTGGGTAGGTCGCTCGGCAAGGGATGCTCCTGCCATAGCCTCAGTCACGTCTGAGGTGTTGTCATCGTCCTCATCATCATCAAACAGAGCGTCGACATCGTCCGTAGAGATTGTTCCGGTATCAGTCTGCTTTCGGTTGGCTTCTTCTCTTTCCTTCTTCACTCGCTCGGCCTCCTCTGCCTGTCGGGCGGCAGCTAGGGCATTTGACATCCTCATGGATGCCGCAGCCTTAGGCCGTTCATCTTCAGGCACGTAGGCAGAGCTGGGGACACCCTTCTCCCAGTAGAGCTCCAAAACGCGCTTCTCCTTTCTGAATTCCGCCTTCTTAAGGGGCAGCTGATCACAGTGGACTCGCTTCTCGAAGCCCCACTCGGGAATCAGCACGTCAAAAGCTGACTCGTACACGCAAAGGACAATGCCCTCAGCAATAAGATCGCCATTGACCTCTTGGCGCTTCTTGTCCATGATACGGCATGACTCAATATGGATACTCTGCTCTTGTGCGTTCTGAGCCGAGTCTTTCTTGGTGTTGCAAGCCTCTACAGTCTTGACAAGATTCTCCATGTCATCTGTAAACTCAATCTTGCCTTCGGAAAGAACAGCCTCCAGCTGGCGGTGGACAATGATGTCTGCGTAACGGCGAGTAGGGTTGGTAAAGTGAGTGTAGAGAGGGAGGTTAAGGGTATAATGAGGCCACACAATCTTGGCAGTCTTGCCAGAGATGAAGTACTTGGCTCGCTGCATTGACTTGAGGAGAACGGTCTCCATACCCTTGCGCAAATCAGCATCATCAACCTTGAAGAGGCTGTTTTGGAGCGCCCCGCTTCCAGAGGCATCAATGTCGTATCCCAGAGCCGTCATGCGCTCGACAAACGTCTGCAGGCGTCGTGAGTTGGGAGCAGCCTGGCGACGGAGCAGAGCCTTGTCAGGGAGACCCTCTACTAGGCGCTGAGCCACATAGCTGTTAGCCTTGTGCATGAGCTCCTCAACAAGCTCCAGAGCCTCAGTAGAGTCAAAGATGTTGTGTTGCACTTGGTTGTTTTCATCATCGAGCCCTTGCAACAATCGGAGAGGGGCGATGGGCTCGCTGCCAGCACCCAGACGAGTTTCCCGGAACTTTTGAGCTACAGCGCGCAAAATCTGAATAGTGTTGGCCGGAACAGCGGCGTTGTCAAAAGTAGAAGCGTCGGTCAATGCTTTGTCCATATCGTTCAGCGATACTTTGCCGGCGGACTTGATAATACTCTTGCCCACCCAGCTATCGCCTTCAGCTACGGCGCCGTTGACCGGGTTCACGGTGAACACAACACTGACGGTGAGACGGTCTTCACCTGGCTCAAGAGAGCAGAGTTCGCCAGACAGCTTCGGTGGCAGCAACGAACAGAAGCGGTTGATGAGATGGACAGCGGTGCCTCGCTTCTTTGCCTCGCGATCAGCGAGAGAGTTGGGCTTGACAAAGTGAGCGACATCAGGAACGTGAATACCAATGTCAATCTTGCCATCAGGGCGGGAAGTGACATGAACAGCATTTCCGAGCTCAGCAACGCCGTTGTAATCAATAGTGAAAACTTTCTCATCGCGGTAGTCACGGCGTGCCGCAATGGCCGCTTCGTCCTCTTGCGCGAGAGACCAGTCTTGAAGACCGATACTGCGCAGAACTGCATCCGAGAATTCGTCAGAGGAAAAGTTGTTGTCACGCAGGAGGGCATCGGTCTCCACCTTAAGTTCGCCCATGCGTCCCAGCTGCTCCACTAGTGTTCCAAAGGGATGAAGAGAAGTAATGGGCCATCTTTTGATGCACGCAACAAAGATGCGATCAGCATAGTCTTGGTGCTTCTCAACGAAGTCACGGGGAGCCTGCTCTGTGGGGATAGCAATCAGGGGAACTCGCTTGTCAGTAGGCTTGAACCAGACGATCTTGGGCTTGTCCTGCTGGCGGCTATCGTTTGAACGAGAGTTGCCGCCCTCGCGAGCTGCCCTCTCAGCCTCCTGCTTCTCCTTGGTAGCCTGGCTGCTAGGTCGGAGCAGGCCCAGGGTGCCCGAAAACATTTGTCCGGCTACGCGCTCAATAACAGCGACGACATGTCCGGCGTATAATGGCTTCTGCTCATCATTGATTTCCTCTTCTTCAACAAGGAGAAGGCTTTGGCCTTCGACTTCGACGTCGTCGTTCTTCTTCTGCGTGGGTCGCTGGCGAAGACTACCGCGACGGCGGATTCCTCCCTCGGAGGCATTGCTTTCGTCGTTTTGTCCAGCGGACTGGCTGCCCTGGTTGATAGAGCCAGAGCGAGTGTCGGTGATATCCTTTCGCTTCTTCTTTTCTTCCTTTTCTCGTTTTTGGCCCCAGACTTCGTCAACGTCGAGGAGCTCGATAGCGACCAAATCGCCCTCAAGGGCACGGTTGCGGTCCTTGCTACCACAGATAAAGATGTCGGCATCCAAGAGGCCATCGAGAGTAGTGACATAAGCATCGCTACGATTCTTTTTGTTGACTCGGAGAATACCAGAAACAAGCTGGCCATCTCCAAGCAGGGCAGGAAGAGTAGCTTGAGGGAGGTAAGGAGTGAAAAGAGTCTTTCGCTGCTGTTGCTGTTGCTGGTTGCCCAACTGTCCGGCATGCTGCGAAGCTTGAAGACCTTGGAACTGCTGGCTGTTCATCTGCGCAGCTTGCAAGGCCTGCAGCTGACCAAGCTGCATAGGGTTGAGTTGCTGGCCATACATCTGAGGCATCATCATCTGTCCCCCAAGCGGAAGGACCGGAGCTTGGCTAGGGTTGTACTGAAAGCCTCCAATTCCAGACATGGACTGGTTAACAGAGCCGCGGGATCGGTGGCCGGGCTGGAAGCCCTGGTTTTGGGCAACGTTACCAGGCTGGTCCTGACCCTGGCCTTGGGTACGCCAGTTGCCCTCGTAGTTTCTGGAGTTTGTACGGGCATGGCCGCCGCGGCGCTGGAAATCGTTGCCACCTTCGGAGGGGTTGGTGTTGAAGGCACTGCTGCGCAGGCCCCCTCCGCGGCCATTGACAGCCATGCTCTGGCTGCGGCCATGGCCACCACGGCCTCCACGTGTAGATCCTTGAGCCACAGGGACGTCGAGGGTGGACTGGGAACCAGGTCTGTTCTCATCCTCTGGCTTGTCAGAAGAAGGAGACCCAGCGGCGGGGAACTGGAATCCAGAGGTTGTTCGCTTCTGCTGTGCGAGTTCAGCAGCCTTCTTGGCGTCAGCCAAGGCCAAAGAGTGTCGTCGTTGATGGCCGCCGCCGGCACCGCCCCCGCGGCCGCCTCGGGAACCAGCGTTCTCACGCCCTTGCGCTCCCGGAGCCTCAAAGTTTCCAAAAGTTGATCCGGAAGCTCCTGAGGATGGCGCGGGCGGCGGACCCATGCCCATGTTGGGCAGAGCCGACTGATTACGGCGATGTGAGAGTGGCTGGGACGGAGGGCCCAGCGAAACATTTTGTTGAGGGATCTGATTAGGGAACTGGAAGGCATTGCCCATGGGCTGCAAAGGATTGAATGGACCGCCAGGGCCGATGGTTTGGCCCGGAGGCATCATGCCCATGTTGACATACTGCTGGTGGGTGGCTTGGATCTGCTGCTGCTGCTGCTGCAGGAGCTCAATCTGTTGCTGAATTGCAAGTTGTTCCACTGTGGGCACGCACGCTTTAGCACTCAAGGGTCACGGATTTCGATGAAGATTTTTGGCCATGTTGCGGATGCAAGGGGTCGCGGATCAGCAACCGCGTTGCCCCGCGCCCGCCTCGAGCTGCGGCGACAAGGGCAGCGGCCACAACAGCTGCGGCGGCGGGCCAAGCATCAGGAAAACAAGGGAAAAGAAAACGGCGGCAGCTTACTTCCTGGATTGGCAAACATGCTCATGAGCGGCGTCAGCTCAGACGGGCTCCGTCGGTGCGCAATGTGCAGCCTGCGACCGGCCGGCCCGTGAACGCCGCCGGAGGGATGCTGCTGGGCAGCTTGTTGCTGCGGCTGCTGCTGCTGCTGCTGCTCCATGGCGGGCAGGCAAACGGCAGCGGAAAGGTGCACGTCGGGTGCGGGCTACTGGTGAGTGATGCTGGAGGAGGGGGTGGCGATGGAATTGCCGTGCGGAGCGTGTGCGATGTGGTTCTTGTTGTTGTGATGCTATGCTCGGATTCGTGGTCAAAGTTCGGCTCTAAGAGACAGTGGCAGGCCCCCGTGGACAAGGACAGATTTTGCCAAAGGAGGGTCGATGCAGGGGATCAAGCGAGCTCGGCAGAGCCAAGGAGCGTTGGAAAGGAAGGAGTCGGGCAGACAGTGCAAAGCAGATGGGAAATGAGAAGAGAAGGTGAGGATGGATGGGATGCAGATGGGAAGTCCAGCTCCTTGCCAGAGGCTGTGAGGGAGGAGGATGGAGAGAGGGATGCTGCTAGCAGCAGATGGCTAAGGATTGGGGGACGCACGCTGGACCTGGAGCTCCAAGGCCGGGGGCGAGAATTATGGGGATGGCAGTGACGCTCTTGACCACTAGGCGTTTGGCGCACGCCACCTGGGCTGGGGCTGGGCAGCGCGGCTGCGACCGCTACGGCGAGACCTCCACCGAAGGCTTGAGCTACAGCAAGTGGTGGCGGCCATTCAGTGCCGTAAGTCTGTAGCCACACGCACTGGATGACATGACATGCGCTGTAAAACCACCCTTGATCTTGATCTTGATTGCTCAATTGATGCTACTGCAGCTGAGGCGGCTGAGATGGACTTCGAGTGGGGATACAATGGAATGCAGGCAATGCAAGGCAGCACGATGTGAAATACAATGCCGGCCCACGACTGAGGGCAGATGAGAATTGAGGCGGAAGCTTGCGATGGAATCGTGGTTTTTAGACTGCAATTGCCTCGTGGTGTCCATGCCAGCGCGCTCAATGGACTCTCGCTGAGCTGCCGGGCACGCATCGCAAGCTATAAAGCGTCACGACAGGGTTCGGTAACCCGCCTGGACTCGACAAATTGTAACATCTATGATCCATACGCCTTGCCAAGAGACATCAATCTTACCTACTTTGCACCTTGTGCGGATACGAGACAGCTACCTCAACAAAGGCTCGACTCCCAAATCTCTCATAGCCGAGCGGATGCTGGCCAGGGCAGCTCACTCGTAGTTCGGCTGATATCAAAACAACGGCATCCGCCCTCGTTTCGCGCCCATCACAACTCATTCTCGACCCCCCTGCTTGGAGCTGTTGGCGCCGCAGCCGTAGCGCTCCGTGTCCCGCTATTCTAACCCATCACGGCGTCACACGACACCGCGGAAAAACAACAGCTATCATGATCAACGGTTTGCTCTCGGTGTCCTAATTAGCCTTCTGCCTGTTTCAATGTTCAAATGGCTGATCCAATATGGAACGTGATGTAGAGCACCATCGTCATCAGCGGCCTTTTCCGCGCATGCCCAGCTGCCTGCTTGCAGTACGAGCCTTATCGTCAGATGGATGCACCGAGTGCTTCGTATGGAGCATAGCTATCAACTTTGCTACCCGCCCCTGAAGCTACCGCTCTCTTGCCCACCCTCATTAATACGAGCCCCAAATTCTAATGACAATGTGTCCACCCAGACCCTATCGTAGCCGCCTTAGTTAGGGCATTAATCACTTGAACGTATTCAACGCCCGTTGAACTATGTCAGTTCCCATGTATTAATAGAACAGGCGAGCGTGGTTCATGAAAGGCACTCGCTAGCTTTGATCGAGCTGACGACGAGGCTGTTCCCAATGCCGCGACTCTCTATGGCAAATCCTACCTCGCAATGGCAGTATGTGCTTCGTATTATGACCATCGTGCTGCCTCTCCAGCATGGACAATAGATGGACAGGCAGAGAGTATGGGGTAGCATGGATCAAGAGGTCGAATGTTACAGGTACGCTCTGCATTTGCAACCCTGCCGCCACAAATACAGGGGTCAATTGACCAAATCGAGTGGCATACAGATCCAGGCCCTCTATCAGCGCACTTCGAGAACAGGCGTCCAGTTGGGTTCCTATTGGGCATGCACAAAAGACGCCGCAACGTGTTACAGTAAAAGCCAAGTTTCTTCACTCGTCCTTTTCGTCATGTATGCAAAGACCAAACGGTATCTAGCGCGCCCTTTTCCTGTTGCCGGGGCTAAGAAAAACAAGACATCAAGTACCAGGCCCTTTTTTTCCCACCGGAAACTAAGACAGTCATCCCCATCATCGACCTACCTAGCTTGTACCTTTTTATGAGTTACGAGTAATCCCACTGTGCTCCGTAATTCTGTCATCGAACTGTTCAAAGCAGCACGCCGTTTGCACGCCACGGTATAAAGGAGTCGAATGTGATAGGGCCACGTGGTTATGGGAACGAGCAAGACATGACGCCGTCATCTAGTTGTAGGCAACAAGACAGCGCAGGGCACGATATCGCAGGGTACTTTGCTCGCATAATCTGTTTTGGGTGTCTGGAGAAGGCCGGCCGACGCATCCATGTTTCGCGAATGCGTCTTAGGCGAAATGAGACGAGCGTCAATCGTAGATCCCGGCCCTTGCGACCCTAGTCTGGAGGTCTCTCTCCAGGCTTCTGTGCTCGGTGAGCCAAGTCTACATTCGGATAGCGTCGCCTGTGCGGTAGGTATCGGGATAACGTTTCAGCGGCCCCCGGCGCGTCATCTGCTCTACGCCTGACCACCGTGCGACCAATGTACCTTGGCAGTCCCTTGTTGCCTGAAGTGGAAAGGAAAGCTACAAGGCTACAACCTTGGACGATATCAAAACAATTCAACGTTATCTACAACCACCCTTCTGCATCTGATGACTGGACGATTTCTGCTTTGTGGGCTCTAGAATTTCCCAATAAAGAGCGATTGGACTATTGCGTTTCCTTTCCACTTTATATTTTTCTTATTATTGATTCCAGGTTGATATTTTCACGAACCAATATCAACAAATGCCGTCGCCTTAAACGATCTCCAATCTCGCCATCCCCCACGAGAACATGTCCAATTCCCCCCCTCCGAGGAGGAGGAGCCAATTGCTGTCGAGCCCCGAGAACGGCCTGCTATCCAACTTTCTCATTGACGGTCGGAACAACGAGCTGAACCATCTGAGTGCTCTCGATGCCGCTCAGGCAGAGCATAAGCGCGTACGAGAAGCGGCCATTCGGGTTTTTGAGCTCCATGAGCTTCGAGAAGAACATGAACGGATTCTAGAGTTGGAGCGCAAGGAGCAAGAGAGGTTAAGAGCGGAAGCGGCCATAGTGGAAGAAGAGCGAAGGCTTCGAGAGCTCAAGGCCAAGACGGTGCCAAAACTGCCTCCAGAGCCTACGCCGGCGCCGCCCAAGAAGGTTGAGCCAACACCAGCTCCTCGACCAGAGCCGCCGAAGCCCCAAGAGCCTGTTAAACAACCAATTGCCGAAATCAAACAACAGCCACCAGCAAATGTAGCTGCTCCTCAAGTAAATGGAATCTTGGGAGGACAAAATGGACCAGCCACGAATAATGCCTTTGCATCTCCCGCTCAAGCAATTAGCGCGCCAAAACCCGAGCAGCGCTTAGCACCACCTCCAGTGGCATCAAACGCAATCCAAGCTCCAGGAGCCCAGGCTCCAGCGGCTTATTCTATATCAGCACAAAAGAATGCCCTGGCGCAACGATATGTCGAAATCCACAAGGAGCTAAAGACGCTGCGGCAGGTGCTGCAGGCTGAAGCAAAGGTGCCTGGGTCACCTCTCAAAGGCAAGATGGGAACCTATCGAAGAGAGATCCGAGTATCTATTGGACAGCTTACCGGCGGCAAAGGCGCCAACGCGCAACCAGTAAGTCTTTACACAGATAATCTTGCTTTGAACGCGCTTTCAAGTCCTGACATGCATGACAGATTCAAAAAATTACAACGGCCTTGAAGGAGTCTCTTGAGGGCAGAGTTCCCAGCGCTCCTATCGAAGTAAGCCGATTCGTCGTAGGACAACGACAGCCAGTCGAAGGCGCTTTGAATAACGACAACACGCTGCCTTCTCTCTTCATCTACCTCTTGAATATCTGCGCCAAGGGCATCATCAACCAATTCATCAACGAGTGCAGTGCCAATCCCAAAGCTGCAGATCCAATTGGCGTTTTTACCGCCCATATATTTTCTCAGAAAGACTTTCTATGGCGCGGCGAATCACTAATTGACATCCTCATGGCCAAGTTCCGGGTCGTATGCCCAGTCTTATTTGGCCTGAGGGGAAGTGACAAGACCGAAAGGGGCAGATTAGCCATAGGATGGAAAAAAGATGGCCCTGGCTACGTCACCGAGCAGACTCACAACGACAGAATGACGGGCCTGGGCGCTGGGTTCGCTTCGATTTCCCTTCGCGACTTTAGCAAGACGTCCAAGGCGAATCCATATCCTCCAGTCAACTACTGGAAGGCTCTGGCTGGCATTGTCAACTCACCACCGAATGAGACTTCGAATACGCAGTATGTTGTTTTGAGAGCAATGATTGAGGGGCACGAGCAGCGGTTCTTGAATTTCTACGGAAATGCGGCCATTGCCGCGTTGCGCCTCGCGTTAATCGACTTTCCGCAGAGAGCGCCTGCGAACGCATCCGCAGCACAGTCATTACGAGCTATGGTAGAGCTACTTCGCACCGAAGGACTTGTTCTAAGCTGAATGAATCACCTTATTTCCATCCTTTTCTTTTCTCCTTTCATATAACTGCAACCGTTTTCTTTTACCAGAGACTAAGAGATGGATGATTTAATGTATGTTTTTAAATACATGGAAGGCACCGGCGTTTGGGTGGGAAATTGGCATGCCGGAGCATGTGTTATACTATTGATATATTCGTTTATATAAAGTGTCTACGACTGATCCTCGGGGTCATCTGTTCAAGTTAGATAAGAGACAATCCCTGCACGTTGGAAAATGTCTCTCTAAGCTATGGGCATAATGAAAGACTCAATGCCCATTACTCTCGCTCTATTTCGCATCATCCTATCGTTATAAATGTATAAAAAAATTGCCGTGGAAGTACATGGAGGTATCAACCATGATAAGTCGGCACGAAGCCATTCCATTAGAAAAACTCCTAACCCCAGTATTCAGTCGCCCATTATAAGACCTTTGTTCCCTTTTCTATATCTCTCCCCATGAATAGAAGTCCCAGGCATGAAAATAGTGAAAACACAGAAGCCAACTGGAACACCACGCCCTCAATTACCTGCACGTACCCTCTCTTCATACA